AAGCTGGTGGGTCTGGATTAGTTCGCTGGGTTTCTATGCAGTTTATCGCCATGAAAAAACGTGCCCTCAACACAATGTGATATTGAACATTTGCCGTTTCGAAGTCAGTGATGCTTAGTAATGGGTGTTGATTAGTGTGGGCACACCCCTCCCCCAAACATTCGAGGGGTAGTCTTTAATACCAAACAGCGAAAAGTCCATTCCTGAAGAGCCTGGGATCCTAAGTGATGTATTGCTTTGTATTCATTTCCTTTCATGTACCATTATTTACAACATATTTCTGACTAACTTCCTCTTCGTCTCTTACTTTGCTATTTACTTTCCTCTTACTGTGCTATTTCCTTCACTATTCCTAATAGTTTCCTATTGCTTCCTATTTCCATTTTTTACTAGCTAACATTCTCTTCGCCTCTTACTTTGCCGTTCACCTTGCCATGTACTTTGCTATTATTTTCCTTTTCCTTTCCAATTAGTTACCTATTGCTTCCTATTTCCATCTTCTTACTAGCTAACTTCCTCTTCACCTCTTACTTTGCTATTTACTATCCTGTTCGTTTCCTGTTTACCCTGCTATTACTTTCCCATTAGTTTCTTATTGCTTCCTATTTCCATCTTCTGACTGGCTAACTTCCTCTTCGTCTCTTACGTAGCTATTTACTCTCCTGCTAGTTTCCTATTGGCTTCTTATTTGCTTTGCTATATTCTCCTATTAGTTTCTTATTGCTTCCTATTTCCATCTTCTCACTGGCCAGCTTTATCTTCGTCTCTTACTTTGCTATTTATTATCCTGTTAGTTTCCTATTCACTTACCAATCTTTTCGTATTAGTTTCCTTTTTGTTTTCCCATTGCCTTCTATTTCCATCTTCTGACTGGCTAACTTCCTCTTCGTCTCTTACTTTACCATTTACTTTCCTATTAGGTTTCTGTTCTTTTCTATTTCCATCTCCTCACATGAGCCTTGGCAAATTGTTGGGCATTAAGCTTTTTATAACAAGGGTTGGATGGTTTAGGGAAGCTGAGGGTTGGGCTCAAAAGCTGAAGGAAGCTGAGGGAAGACAAAAAGGCGAGGAGAACTAGAACCCCGGAGGAAAAAACAACTGTTTCGTTATAGCTGTTTTTTTTGGCAATAGTTAATCAATATTTAACAGCTTATGGTTCATTTTTCAGATGTCATGTTTTCCCCCTGACAAAATTGGCATTCTGGAAAAACAGTTCACTATTCCAGACCACGCATCTATGTGACAGATTATGAAAAACCTGAACCACTGTTCACAATTCCAAACCATCACACTATTCAACATCCAACATTATTGGCTTTCAAGCGAACCTAGCAGGCCCCGGCAGCAGGCAAAACCTGCCTCTGCCTTGACGGCTTTGTTCTTTGTTTTATGTTCGGCTTTATACGAAGGGGTTGAAACACTGGCGTCGCTTCAGCGTAGTTTAGCAACGTGGACGTTTGACAGTGCCAGTTCCATGATCTCGTTGAGCTGAGGCGCCCGGCTTGTTGCAAACTACTGGTGCGTTCCTCAGGCATATCAGAATTCTGAAGTTTTTAGAGTGTGGGAGTGTCATTGATTTGTGGCATGATTTGGTTTGGCAACTTCTGTCTACCCTCTTGGCGAGGTTGTGTTCCCGACCGAAAATGGGGGTTGACACACGTGGGAAGCTGAAACATGTGACCTTGTGGAAACAGAACCAACCCTGTGCGCTTCGACGCTCCTGAATTCACATGTGCAAGCAACATTGACAAAGGTGGTGGTCTTAGACGACAAGAAGGCGCAAAAATGCCAATTCGTCATTGTTAGGCGAATGAAAACCATGAACTTGAAGCAATGGTTAGCGCACCTCTTTGTTGTTTTTTCCCGTTTGCAATGGCATGTTGCTTTTCTTTGCCTTAATTAAGGATGTGCTTGAACAAATGTTTTGGATGTGGATCCCCGATCCAACACACTTTGATGCGACATATCCAACTTCAGGAGCAGCCACGGAGTTTTCTCAGAGGTGCGTTGCAGCTGCAAACACTTTGCAGTTTAGTGTCTTGCTCCCAAGAGCCATGCAGTTGGGTTTCAATCTCTGGGTTGGGGTTGGAGCGCCATTTTTGCCCAACCCCAAAACCGGAACCGAACGGAAACTTGGAACACTGAAACTCTGGAGCCTTGAAACCGTCGTAACCCTGGAACATTTGAACCTCCAAACCCTTGTAACTTTGACGTACCTGAAACCTTGGAACCTTACCGCCGGCCCTGGAACCCTAGAACCTTGTAACACCTCTAACAATGCAATTTTGTTGCCTTGCAACTCTAGAATTTCGCAAATTTTGAATCTTAGAACCCTCGAAGACCAGAACTGTGAACCGAAGAATCTTGGAACCATGGAAGTCTAGATCCTTGGGAAGTATGCAGGTAGCCCTGTAAAATTGAAGAACCCTAGAATCCAAACCATTTGACTCCATGGAACTCTACCACTTTGAAAGCAAGACGTTTGATAGCTCGCTTCAACACCCTGAATCTTTAAAATTTGCTACATTGGAGCCAGGGAACAATGCAACCTTGTAACCTTGAAATTTTGGAACGTTGGAATCCTAGAACCTGAATCTTTGAGTCTGGCACCGGTGCGCCTTTTCATTCCCGAACCCCGAAGTTGGAACCCTGCAACCTTGTTGATGAATTTTCGAACCTTTGCTGCTGTTGGGTTGCAAAGCTGGCTTAATTTCTTTGGAGCATTTCCGTGTTGAAATTTGGCGATTAGCTGCTCAGCAGGCGCGATGTTTGTTGACAGAATGCACCGTGGCAGGGCCAACTTCCATTTTGCCAATTTCTTGTTGTATGGTTTCCATTCTGGTGGCCACGCAGGTTGGATAAAGCTTGTTTGATCTTGTTTGTAATTATTGCTCAGTTTGGCTACGTCCAGGGATGAGGCGTTGTTCACCTGAACTTCAGCAGTGCAGTTTTTTCACGTTTTCAGTGTTTGTTTTGTTGAGGCAGGTGCCCAAAACTGAACATAGACTTTGAAGCGATGGATGCACGCCTTGACCGAATAGAGGCTCACCCGTGTGAGGTATAGTGAGAAGGGGTGTTTACCCCTTTACTGCCTCTCAGGCGAGGAGCGCCAAGGCGGAAGAAGAATTTCTTTGGTTCAAGCGCTTGTGCCACATCAAATTTGTCGTGTGCAGGGCTTAGCTGGATGCACGTCCATTGAGCTGGTGGTGTTGAAGTCGTGGAGTTTTTGCGTCCTTTGGCATCTTTGTGTTTTTGGCGCTGAGGTATCCAAAGTGATGGCCAAACTTGCCACACCTCCAAGCGTTAATAAATCCTCATGACAAATGCCACCCGCGGAGCATGGTCAGATCCATTAAAGCAAGTTTGTCTTGATGTTCATTCACGGATCAGGGCGTGCTCAAGACAACATTCTGAGTACATACACATGTACTGTAGTACATTTGTCAGTATGTACCTAGTGGACCAAGATACATACTACTACATACATGCAAATGTACCTAGTGGACCTAGTTCTGGGCAGGCCACATGGCACGCACACAGATCTCAGCTGCAGGAAAAGACATGTTGCCACGGCCCCTGGCCGTGTGAACTTCAAGTATTTGCGCTTGAATTCAACTGACGCAGTCCTCAGTAGAGCCAAATTTCTTTGACTGTTCACGTGCATTTGTGAGCGCCATTTGTCTCTTGCGCGCGCGTGCTCTGCTTTCTTCGCTGACCCTTGTCAGCCGACTCAGAATTTCTAGCTCTCGAGCAGTTGCGTGCACTAGCCCTTTCCAGCCCATCTGGGCCAGACCCCTTCAGTGCACATGAGAGTTATGACAGCTGTGATGTCTCAGGTGTGAGATGCAGAGGACTGGTTGAAATGCGTCGTGAAAGAACTGGCGAACATTTTATCAGTTCATATGGAACTTTGTTCTGGGACATAGCCCGAGGATTCAATACGTTGCCGCACCACGATTTGTGGTGCCGACGACGCCTGTAGTCGCTTCTGACCCCCGTGGCTTGGCGGAGCATGGCAATTCCGTTTTGTAGTGGTGTTATGCAGACCCCTAAAAACCACCTATTTAATCCGACAATGCTGTCAATGAAAAATGGGCGCCCTGGTGGCAACATTGATGATCACCGGTTGACGACCGGCGTGATGACAGGACTGATGATCACTAATTCACGCTGGATGATCCATAAGTTCCGTCCACACTGACATTCAGTCTTTCGGCCTCGCCCGGTCTCGCCTTTTCTGATCCGCTCTACGAGTTAGCGATGCTTTTCTGGAATGGTTGGAGTTGACTCAGTTGGACTCAACACTTGCAATCATTTTGAAAACATGTCCGTCAAAGTCAAAACTGCCCAGATTTCGGCACAACACAACATTTAGCATTTCCCCCTGCTTTTCTCCGCAGTTAATACTTCACATCCCATCAGTCGGCGCGTTGGCCACAACTCCACAAACATCCCCTCAACTTGAAGTCACGCTTTCCCGCTGCACCGTTTGTATATTTATATTCAGTGCAGCGGGAAAGCGTGACTTTATATTTATAATGTATAATATTGTTGTGCATAACATATGTATAATATACATACATGCATGCATGCATGCAGGCACCCATCCATCCATCCATCAATCCATACATACATACATACATATATACATACATACATACATACATACAGGAATACAGGAATGCAGGAATACAGGAATACAGGAGACTTGAGATACTTTGAATTCGATTTTAAGGGCGCTATACTTTGAACAAAAACAACGGAGAAATGATCGGAACTCTGAGTCCCAAGTGAAGCTGAAGAACATTGATAAAATCACATGAAGATCGGGCTGGAAAACCTGGATGTTGGATTATCAAACCCGAACACTATATAACTTGTATAACTAATTGCCAATATCATGTGTTAGCAGCTGATAATCGCTGTGTTAAGTTCAAAAAATGTGTTAACACATTGTGCTTCTGCCCATTCCCGACCTGGCACGGCACGTTGCGACGTAGGTGGACTTCCTGGCATGGAACTTCCAAGGTGAGGTCCGCTGAGGTGATTCTGAAGCCATGCGCCATGCGCTGCCTACAGTGACTTGATAGGGATAGAAACTGTAGAATCGGATAGAAGTAAAAGAGAGGAACACGAGAGTGGAAAACATAGGAAATTCATGGAAATTCTTCTTTTCTTCGAATTCACTGATAGATTGCATACACTATTATAAAGTATATATATAAGTTTCTTCTTGATGGATTATTTACACATTATATACAATGATTACAATGTACAAAGATTGTTGGATGATGTTGGAGGCAAAGTGTCATGTGGCTCATGTGGCTCTTTTGCGGCACCGGCAGTCGCTACACACTGTGGATCTCACGACTTGGGTTGCAAGCCGAGACCTTGGAAGGCCTCGAAATGACAAAGACGAAAAAAAAATGTTTACACCGTCGCCGCCGAGGCTACGATGGCGTCATGAGGCGCGACTGAGGCTACGACTGCTACCGTACACCAAGGAGGTCCAGTCTCGCCGCAAACTGTACATACATCGCAACTCATTGCAACTCATTGCAACTGGCATCACATCGTCGCATCGCACTCCGTTGTGCATCCGTTGAAGCTGCCATGCCATGTCGAAAAGGGAGTGGAAGAGTGGAAGATGGTGGAAGATGGTGGAAGATGGTGGAAGATGGTGGAAGAAAACGCAGGAAAGCAATGTGAATGGACATGGATGGATGTGGATGGATGTGAATGGATGTGAATGGATGTGAATAGATGTGAATGGATGTGAATGGATGTGAATGGATGTGAACTATGCAATCTGTTTTCATTTTTTCCCAAACAGCCCCTGAGTTGAGACTGCTCTTGGCTCAAAAGCAGACTGACAAATTCCAGTGGCATTTGGCATTAGGAGGATCCCAGCATTTGGCATTTGACTCTGGTGGATCATCAAACATCAAACATCAAACTGGTGGAGTTGAAACCCGTTTGCCGGTTTCGAAACTTCAAAAAATGGCACGTTGCAACCGTTGAGAGCTGCAGAATCATGTTATCATGTTCATGTTTATCACTGTTTATCGTTATTTTATGTTATTTTATGTTATGGATGATTGTAACATTGTAACAATTTGTAACGTATGTGATAAACATATGAATAACCCCATAACCATCATTTGAGAGGACTGTGGAGATCGATGCCATTAGATGCCTGCGATGGCTTTTGAAGGCTTTGAATTCCCCGCAGCCGTCACTGCCTTTTTCGTTTTGCACTACATTTGGGTGGACACTTTTGCTGTTGGAGCAGCCCGCACACCGTATCAGCTCAAGTGACTCGACGAAGATATACGAAGATCGAGCTAACATGAGCTAACTTCCTAAACATTTTTTGGAGAATCCTTGACATAAAGTACTTTGCAGAGGCCCCAAGGCCCCAAGGCCCCAAGCACGACATGTTTTGTCAACACATTTCGAATTCGAAGAAAAACTCTGTGGATCTTATGGATCTCCTTCTTTCGCTTTCACTGGACACCTGTTGTGAATCCATGAGTTTTAAGGTATCCTTTCACAACAGAGACGCACGATGCTAAGAATTTGGAGCCATTCATCCGTGCCCTGAGGGCACAGCAAAATCAGGCTCGTGACGCTCAGAGTGGTACTCTGACATATTTGTGAAGTTGCGATCTACTTATGACATCTTATGACTACTTATCACTACTTATGACTACTTATGACTTTCTGACCCTGTCTAACTCTGCATATCTCTGTATGACCCTGACTTTGTGTTGGTTTTAACATGTTTTAACATGTTCTTTCTTTCTGTGTTTTCTTCATGTCTTTGAGGTGGAGCAGGCGTGGGCATTTTTCCTGGTGCAGTGGCTCTGTGCCTTCGCTTTGGATCCGAACTTCGCGGGCGCCTGCGGCGTCGTGTGGGTCCTGGCGCGCATGGCGCAGCTGGGCGCTGTGATGTCGTGATGTCGTGATGTCATGATGTCGTGCTCGAGTTGTGTACTGATGAAGTAACGAGTGATAGACAATGTACATAAAGGATACATAAAGGATATAACTGTAACTTGATATAACATCGCTGTACATTACTCTGTACATCATGTATTATTATTCAGGTTCATCCTTTGTGCATCAGGTTCATCCTTTGTGACTGTTATATACTGTTATTCTGTTATTCTATAGCCTTTAACAGCACTCAATTCTACTGAATTCGATATAGAATAAGCAATGTAAAATTCATTACAAATTCAGCTTCTGATTTTTCATGATTTTTCCGAAGTTACCAGAATTTCTCCCAACTTCTCGGAATCTCCCACACTGTGAATCAGCATTATGTAGGATTATGTTGCATTTCCTTCCCGAAAGTCATGAAAGTTATATGCCAAAATGGGATCGAAAAGCAACAAGAGCAATTCATATAGCACCAGAGGTACTGTTTGTGATACTGAGGTATGGCTATATATACCGTGGCTTGACTTGTTTTGGAGGGCTGACTCATTGATGCACATCCTCCTGGGTCCTGTTGGACCTGATAGTTTCTTCCTATTGCGTCGTTGGTCACGTGTGGCATGCGCTTGGTTCATCTTGGTTCATCTTGGTTTGTATTTTAAGCCTTTTAAGCACCTTCCAGCGCTGAGGGGTCAATCCTAGCCGCAACAAGTCCGCCCCTCAGAGCCCAGAAAAAGAGTGAATACATTGAATGATGTTTATGCATCTTATGCTTCAAGATGCTTCAATATGTTTGAACATGTTTGAATGCACTTGAAGACACGCAGGAAGGAAAGAAATGTTGCACTGTTGCACCCCAGAGCAGCCGCGACAAGACGAGATCGGCACTAACAGCGCTGGATGACATGCTGAATCATGCTGAATCATGCCCCATAGGATCCATGGTGCTGGTATATATGCTAACATGACTGGGGTATATTGATGGGATCCATGTTACCATATAATACCATATATAACATGGATCCGAATCATGCTGAATCATGCTGAGGCTGATGTGGGCAACCGTTCCAGCCTATTTGGCTCTGACGCTTTGCTGTGGTGGCCTCCTGGCAGGGACGCTGGACGACGGAGACCGAACTCCGTCATATGGGAGCATTTTTACACAAACCCAGAGATCAGTGATCCAAAATGATCCAAAATGATCCAAGACTTGTGCAGACTTCATAGACTGCAACTACTCAAATCCAGCTGAAGCCAAGATATATAGCACGGGCACGTGGCAGTCAAAACATCGGAGCCAGCCCAGAAGCATGTTGCACTGCACCAAAGAAAGATAAGAAAGCAAAAAGGTCACACAACAGGAGTGTCTTGGAAGTCAAAAGATCACAAGAAGCTGAGAGCATCTCCCCAAGAACACAACTCAGAATGGCGTGGCGATGGTGCAATGAATTTCTGAGTGATGTGAGTGATGTGAGTGATGTGTTGTGCAATGTGTAGCTGGAAACGGCAAGGTATTTTGGTCGGATGCTTGATGTCCTGGCCGCCACTAAAGTTATCCCGGGGAGTCGCGATAGCTGTTGCGAGCAGCTTCTGCGTGCTCTTTGGCATCTACGGTTGGTTCGTATACCGTCCTTGGTTTGGAGCCTTGCCGAAATTCCTTGCTATCTCTGGATAAGGTAGGATGACAAATTGAATGACAAATTGAGTGACATAGGATGATGTTAGATTTTGGAAGAGATTGGACGCTGAACATCCTGAACTCCTGAACTGTGATGTTGCCGGAATCGGCAAAGGTTCTAGATCAGCTGATTTCATAGGATTTCCTAGTGCCACAGTTCCCAGTCATTTGGCGCCCAGGAAGCTTTGTGTTGGCTGAGAAAAAACGACAAGAAGGACAACTGATGAGTTCCAGTGAGGGCGACTGAGGCAAGGCTCAAAGAAGTCTCGAACATTTTTAGTTAGAGTTTTTCGGAGCCGGTGGCTTCGATTTGTTGCTTTATGGACCATTTCTTTGAAGACCTTATAACTATATATATATAACTATAACATCTTAAGACCCATGTCGGATGCAGAAAAGCACGGGTATGGAAGGTATGGAACGCTGGAAATTCATGGAATGACGCTGGTCTGCTGGTCTGTTTTCAAACCTTTTGTCCCTGTGCTATCTTTGCTATCTTTGCTATCTTTTGCTCGCCCCAGCCATATCAGACTTTACACAACAAGAGCAGATAAGAGCAGCCATGCTTCATCATGCTTCAGCAACCTCGCAGTTCAGGCGTCAAAGGAGTCAAAGGTCCTTGTTTTTATCCAACAAAAAATCCAACAACCCATGGCGGGCCCCGAGACAATCCGAAAGGTTCCCAAAGCACCTGATGAAAAACTCAGAAATTGCCGCCAGTCTCCGTTCATATCACGTTCCGGACATGCTGCGGTCATATCCCGGACTGCCGGAGATCAATGTCTTTGGTCTCCCTTGAGGCGGGCCTTGCGGTGTAATCGGTGTCCAAGTGGATGCCCAGAACCTGTGGGCTGCCCTTGAGACTAGGAAGGACAACAAGCCATGAGAAAATATGAGAAACCAAAAGCATCCAAAAGCATCCAAAAGCAATGTGTTAAATGAATTTGAACAATGTTCAATGTGATCAAACTCAAATTGTGCTTATGGTTTTTGAATGTTTATCCCGCAGCTGTAGCACTATAGCATCAGATATTAGTTGATAGCAATCACCACCTCCTATTTTTGAGTCTTTGCTTCCCTTTGGCAAAGTTTTCCAGTTCCTGTTTGACGTTTGAGGCCCTGTAAAAGACTTGGTATGGCGACTGACAGTGCTACGGCTCAGGGGAGGGTGAAGAGAAGTTGAGCAAGAGCAGTTCTGTCCGATTTTTTCTGCTATCTGATGCAGCTGTTTCATGTTGTTTCGGGTCTTGTCCCAGGTCTTGGACTTTATTTCCCACTCATTTTCCACCATCTGAACATTAGAATCTAAACTTTATTTAAGCTTTAAATATCGTTAATATGATGTTCAATATCGTGAATAATATGGTGTTGTCCATATGTTCAATATGTTAATATACCATCATATACCATTACTTTACTTAAACTTTAAATATCGTGAATTCCTGTTCCGACAGCACCACCACGACACCACGGGCGGTCCCTCACTCAGGATGCCGAGCCGGGTGCCGCGAGTTGCGGAGCGCCGTGTCGGCGCTGCAGGCGATGCCGTGCTAAAAACTGTGCATAGAAAAAGGGGGACATGATGAGGATATAAACTCTGATGTTTTTTTCTCAAAATCTTCCCAGAGGATATAACCCTCAACTCTGAAATATCAGAAAATCAAACCAGTTCAAGACTTCTGTGGCCCTTTCCGAAAGTGAAAAGAACTCTGAAGCCGTGCCAACTGCCGTGGCTCCAGGCGAAGATGCGAAACCAAGAGGTGCCGCAGAGCTCGGCCTTTTTTGTGCGTCATGCGTCACTTCATGCGTCACATGGTGTCATACCAAACATGTCATAGCTTTAGTCATAGCTATTAATATGGGGGTTTCCATAAATACCATGGTTTGAAACAATATGGAACATCCAATGGTTTAAATATTAATATAATATTAATTAGAGATAAACCATTGGATGTTCCATTCATCATCCATGGCCCCAAATCATCCATTGGATCCGGCAGGAGCTCCTGATGGACCTGGAGGAGCGCGTGGCAACGCGTGACAGTGGAGCAATCACCTTAGAGGGACCCCTAGGGACTCAGGTCACGACACCGCAGAAAATGGTGGCTTTGCCGCAGTTGAACATGTTGGAAAATGCTGGAAAACCACCATTTTGGACCAGAAAAAAATCATTTCAAATCTTCAAAATCACCATTTTGAGGATTAAAATATATAAAATTTGCAAACATGATCTGTAAAAAAGACGATCTAAAAGAGACGATATGAGTACTAAAATATGGCTTAAGGTGATCGGTAAAATGACGATCATCGATCATCGATCATCCATTGATTCATTGGATGTGGGAAATTCATGGAAATTCATGCATCGCCGAGGCTCATGAGCGGCTGCGAGTTGTTGAGGCCAGCATGGTTGGGGCCTCGGCAGCGTGTGCCGCGAATTTCTGTGCCAGAAAGAACCCAAAAGCAAAAGACCAAGAGGACAATCAACATTAATCAACATTAGTCGACATTAATCAACACTAATCAACACTAATCAACAGCTTTGGGGCCTGAGGGTGTTTGGCCGAGTCAGCAAAGATCAATGATACGATGGCAGTTTCAAGCCCATAATGTCATAATTTCAGGATATTTCAGGGACCCACAACGCCGAAGAATCTCTTTCGAGATACACAGTCAGCTGCGGCAACTCTGTGTGTTCTAAGGCTGCTCTGCGCTCGCGGATTGACTTGGTGAGGCGCCAAGCCGCTCTTAGCACCATCTGTTCTCCGGTGCACCCTCTTATCATGTCTTATCATGTCTCATCAAGTCCCATCAAGTCCCATCAAGTCCTCCCTTTGGCTCCTTTTGCTCTCTTTCTCCATTTCTTTTTCGCCTCAACCCCGCGATTTCTCCTTATTGTGAGCCAGTAAGCATAACGGCATAACCATGCATAACCATGATTTCTCCGTTGTGTCTCCTTGGGTTCCACGTGAATTGCCTTCTTTTTGAGTCAACTGAGGTTGACATGATGCATCCTGAGGAGAACATGGATGAACTATAGATGCATTCCGCAGAAACGCGGTCATGGCATATGTCAAGAAAGTATGAAATGTATGAAAGTGGTAAATATAGATGCTTATTATTGTTTATTAATGTTTATTAATGTTTATTAATGTTTATTTATTACCCATAGGATCCATGTATGGTATATATATGCTAACATTTGGGGTATATGGATGGTAAATGTTACCATATATAGCATACATGGATCCTATGGGTTATTGTCTATTTCATGTTTAACATGTTTCTTAAAAAGGCATTGCAGCAGCATCTCGGAATGGCAAGCCATGCCGCAGGAGACCTTGGAAGCAAAGAACTTCCCGGCCAAGGCGACCAAGGCGACCATAAATCACGAGCAGATGAGACTTATCTTTGAATGGTAAATTACGGTGATATACATTGTTTCATGGCCATAAATAGACGGACACAGAAACACGATCCAAATATTAAATTCAAGAGAGGTCAATAAATGGTTTTCGTCAGGAGTTTTCTCAGTACTAATCTGTGAGTCTGACCGATGTGTCATCGACGGTTTTGCGCTTCTAATGACAGCGGAAACTGTTAACACTCTCCCAGCAGGCCTTGCACAATGTGTCACAGTACTAGCATGTTGCGAATGGTGCAATGTCTGTATCCGTATTGTGTTGGGTGTTGGCACCGTTCGTTGTGCAAAGTCAGCGTGCTCACTGAGTAGATCTGAACATGCAGAATGAGTATGCAGAGCATCTCCTTGAAGTCCTTTTTTTTCCATTGCAGCAATTTTTGGAAGCAAAAATCACCATGGTTTTCGCACTCAGGGCCACGAGCGCAGCCCAAGATCTTTGAAGGTCGCAACACCCTGCGTTGTGGTTTCCTATTCACGATTCTGGTAAGACAGTCAGTTTTATCACCTGGTGGTTGTTGAAACTAGATGAAACTAGCTTTCTTGCATCGTGGAACCGTGCCCATGCAGTTGGAGTTAGTGATTAATGTCCAACTTTTGGACAGTGAATGGTTTCCTTGTTTAAAACAGATGGGAGAAGAGGGGAACACGTAAGATTCGCAAGCGATGAAGAGAAAGAAGAGAAGCAGATCACACAGAAGAGGCCAAAGGTCGAGGCAATGAAGACAATGCGGATGGATGCAGATGGATGCAGATGGATGCAGATGGATGGTTTTGTATTTGGAAACGGCTTTGGATCAACGATCCGGTTGAGGCTAGAGACGTTCAAAGTGCCTTGACTGGAAACCAGGGGAGCAGCATGAAGCAACTTTGAATCAGCCAACGGGCAGTGGAATTGTTCAAGAATGTTCAAGATGCTGTGGGATTTCTTCAACTTTCTTCAAATTTCTTCAGATATTTCTTCTATTCATCCGGGATCACAACAGTGGCAGATTTGAGGTGAAAAGCTGCTTGATGCGTCCATCTCTCAGCCGATGTGGACATATCAGGACATGTCCAGGTTTTCGGAGGTTTTCGGTTCTCAGAGTCTCAGGCAGCTTGAGAAACGTCTGGTGGCTTTGGAGGCGGGTTTACTACAACGTGGTCGTGCAACACGCAGAAATCACATCAAATCACCACATCAATACTACTAAGAATGTAACATAATATGATAATAATATGTATCTAAATGTTACTGAAGCACACTAAAGTAGTCACTAAAGCATACGAAAGCATCAAAGAATCTGCCAGGCTGGCACTGAAGATGCCCTCAAATGCCTAAGGCACGGCGCTGAGCCTTGCTGAGCCATGCTGAGCCTGGTCAAGGACGTTGCTGCACGATGTTGACCTTGACCTAGGTCTGATCTGAATCGTGTTGTGAGCATTGCAAAGGCCGCTGCGCCGTTTTTCATAGCCGTGTTGTACCTTTGTGGATCTTTTGTTGTGACTTTGTGGATCTTTGTGGTTTGCGGCTGATGATCTTGGCAAACACTGACAGATGAGTCACTGGAGTGCTTAAGATTTGACACTCGATTTGACCCTCGATTTGCCGTCGATCCGCATTCCGTTTTCCGTTTCAGGCCAATGGCTCACGTCTGCAAGCCCTCGAGGCCAAAGAGGTGTGGCTTCGCCGCTTCGCCAAGTCTGTTCCTACGTCCGTTCCCACAACCTTCAGATCCGCTCACTACGGTCACTATGGCAGTCACTACGGTCATTGAGCCGCTCTTCGTTCATGTTCTGAATTTCTGCTCCGTCCTTCTGCCAGGAGCCGAACAGCCGCATCTTCTCGTCTCTCCAGCGTCAGTTGCGGGCCATTGTGCACGGTGAAGCCTGGTGGAAATGAGACATCCTTTGCTTTGTGCATGGTGTAATACCATAATGATCCATAATGTACAATGTGTACATTGCAAATCAAAAAGCTTGCCTAAACGCCTACAGATATCTAAAGATTAGAAAGTCAGAGAAAGTCACAGTATCCTCCAAGCCGTCTATGCCAGGTGCGTGGAAGGTGCTGCGCAGGTGCTGGGGTTGCAATGTGAGTCCACAAGTATCTACAGGTGATGATATGAATATTATATGAATGATATGAAAAATTGTCGTTGAACCGTCCGTGCGGACCGTGAAAATGCGTGAAACTGTCCCAACTCTGCTCGCTCTGACAGTGACAGGTCGCCACGCGAGCTTTTGCATCACTGGATAGCAGTCAAGGGCCGAGCAATGCCGAGCAATGCCGAGCAGCTGACATGTGTGAAATGTAGATTTCAGCTCTGTGACTGAACTGAGGTGTCAAATCAATGGAGCTCCAGGTGCTTTCTGATCACATCTGATCACCTAGCATGACTGGGTATCACCGGTATCACCGGTATCACATGGCCAAACTTTTTCGGCCAAAGCAAAGAGTTTGCCAAATCAAGATCTAAAATGTCTAAATCAAGAGTATGACTGGGTCTCACCCGACGTGTGGAGTTTGAGGTGGTTTCGGTGCTTTCGGTTTCGGTGTGCTGGCAGTGCCAGCACCAGGTATCGAGCATCACAGCCAGTTTGACGGCCTGTGGTGAGGACTTGGGGAACTGTGGTCGACACAAAGTGGTCCCCAGAGTGGTGACGTTTCCCGACGTTTCCCGACGTTTCCTGGGTCTTGATGGTCTTGATATGTCTTGATGGTCTTGTGATTTTAATGATGTTTGATTCAAGTTTGATGCGTTTCTGTTGCAAGTTGCACGCCATCTTGTTGCTAACTTTGTCATCCTTTGAATGAACACGATGGAATGTCTGGAAAGGTGTGCGAAAGATGTAGTCACCCAAAGCGCAGGTAGCACCCAATGAAACACACCACGGATGTTTGCCATGTTTGCTGTCTAGCAAAACTGACTGGATCTTAGACAGGGAACGAACACTGACTTTACATTTGGTGCACAAGTCTTCCACAGGAGCAGCAGAGACAAGCTATGGAATTGAAACAACTCGGTCATCAGGCAGGCTCCCAGCACAAATTTCTCGCTTTTAGAATTTCATGATATTTAATGATATTTAATGGTATTTAATGATATTTAATGATATTTAATGATAGTTAATGATATTTAATGATATTTAATATATATATATATAAGTTATATAATTTTATATAAGACTATTTTATACTATTTCAAATCCATATTTAATGACCTTAGGACACTGACACTTGTGACAGCCTTGGCCAGCCGATAGGTTGCTCGTCTTGAGACTTCTGGAGCGAGTCAGGCAACTGATGTTGGATCACAAGTACTCGAGGGATCTCAAGGGTGTTGTCACTTGCGAAAGGAAGATGTTACAGTAACTAAAAGTGCTTAGGCTGTATAGGTGTTAGAAGAAGATGCAATGCTTGTGTGCAAACAAACAGAACTACAAAAAAAAGCGACGACTCTGGCAGACTTTCTGAGCTCTTTGCAGTTCCAAACTCGTTTCAGGTGCAGCTCCAGGGGCATCTCCAGGGGCAGCTGCAAGATGTTCACCAGTTGATTCACGACTGGACGCTGAAGCAGGATGACTTTCAGGCCCTCGGATCATTTCGGATCCTGGATACAACATGTTTGAACAAACAACGGATATATGATTAATATATATATAGTGTATATATATATATAGTGTATATATATAGTGTCTATATATATAGTATATATATATATTAATACTATGTTAATACTACATCATTGATCTAGATTCTAGATTGATCTGTTTACATTGGTCATTAAGAAAGATGTCAAGACGACATGAACTGACATGACATATTCATGACATATATTCATGAGATATCATAGATATCATTCCTCATTGGACTCTTTGGACTCATGTTTTTGGGTCCTAAAAACACGAACCTGACACACCTCCGAGTCCGCAAACTTGACAGGCCGCCAAGGAGGAGTTCGCCCGTCAGGCTAGTGTGCATAGTGGGCATGGTCTGGCCCAATATAGGCTGTTGCGTTTCTTGCAGATTTCAAAACCATGTGACATGGGATGACATGGGCTTGGCCTCCTGCTCCATGGTGGCAGTCACAGATCTAAATAAGACAATGACATTACCAATGGTATATATAATGGTTGGTAATGGTGGTTTTAATATTAGTTATGTCCCATAAAATCCCATTAATATGCCATTACTCACATGAGACTTTTTTCAAGCAGACTCGCCACACAACGACATTTTGCCGACGAGCATCGACAAGCATAAGAGCCGGAAATTGTGGCGCAAAGCTTCAGGGTGTTTTCATTTGAAATGATTTTGAAACGATTGGAAAAACCAAGAAGAAACTCATGACTTGATCAGATTTTATGACAGTCTTGACAGCCAAGTTGCTGCGTAGCATGTGGGGGCGCTTCCTACATGGTGTCGCATCCGGAGAACCTTCCAATCGTGCCATCGTTTTGTGGACGCGTCTCACTCCAACCAAAGACGCCAAAGATGCTGAAGTTTGCTCCTCAGGTTTGCTTGAAGCCTTCCTCAAGCCTTCCACAGTCGTTCCAAAAGAAACAAGTTAATAAAGCATCCTTAAAGCTTTGCAGCGTGCCGTAGCAGTTCACACGTAGAACAGCCTGTCCTTTGGTGATTTTTCGGATGATCTTTCAAGAGATTGGGAGAGAAAGCTCGCAAAGGATGATTGAAATTGATTGAAATTCTGGATGATTTTCTGGACATTGACACTTAAAAGTGATAGATAGTGATAGCATGCGAGTATGGACCCCTTTGCTACAAAGAAGAGCAAGACAGGAACATCCCCCCTGTTGGTCGCTGTGAGGTCCCTGTTCGATGGCAAATTTGGGAGGGTAGCAATCGTAGCAAGCTGCTGCTTTCGGGTGAGGAGCCTGCGGAAACGCAACTTCTCCCTGGAAGTTTCTGGTCACATGTGATTTTCCATGATTTTCCTATCTGCCAGGTGTTCGTCTGTGTTTGGCCACCAGACATTCTTCAAATTCTTTGTCCTCATGTGTTATATGTGTTCTTGTCTCCTAATATATCCTAAAAATTGCTCCTATATTTTCTCCTCATTTCCTGTTCTGTACGCTTTGTTCATCTCTTCTCTCTTCCTTCTTTCTCTCTTTACCTTCTGTGTTTCTCCACCTGTCCGGCGTGGATCGATTCCATACCGTAGACTGCGCAGGTTTTGACCTATCCCATTGTTGTCTTCAATGCGATAAACATACTATTGGTACATACTCTTTGAAACATACATCTGAGAAATATGATACATCAGGTGCGACACAACTAGTGTCGCGTGGTTGGTTGCAGTTCGCGAACTATTACAAGGGCGACTGCAGCTGGACTTCAAACTGGTGGGTATGATACATTTTAAAATAGATCTTTGCACAGGCAGTGCAGGGGATCCCTTGAGTACAAAGCTCACTTTATGTATGAGCTAATTCAGATTCAGATAAATTCAGATGCCTCATGGTAATTCTTAGAAAAGTGTATTACATTTTGGATCTTTTTGGATCTTTGTCATCTTTGTCACCTGAAGCAGTGCTTCTCCAGGAGAAGGCCAAGGAAATGCATGACTTCACTGTGAAGGCCTCTGCGGCATCACCATGTCGTGCTGACTATGCTGACTGAGGTCATGGAAAAAGACATGATATATACACTATAATATATATACACACTATAATATATATATACATAATATGATATAATATAATTTAATATAATATATATATAATTATATATAATACATAAAATATATAATATTATTATTATTTATCATTATTGTTATCATTATTATTATATATTATATATCGAAAATGAAGGCCCAGGTAGATTTGTCATGCCTAAGCCGCTCGAGACAAATTGTGCCCCTGCACTTGCTGCATCTTTTTCCAATCTTTTCTTGTGCTCGACTCGCATCGTCATGTTGTGACATGCCATCTTGTTACACGCCGTGGCCTGTAGATCTTCAACCACTGTGATATTTGCGACTCAAGAACAGGCTGTATTTAACAATGCAAAGAATCTTCTTCTGCTTGACACATTTCAATCTTTGAACTATTGCCTGAAGAAGTTCAAACCACGGCCCCTGTCTAGGTGCATGTGCACTCGGAGCTCTTTCGGCCGAGTGCTCCTCAATAAATGTCAGGAGAAAGAAGTCTTTAAAAAAATCTGAAAGATCTATAAAGATCTATCCTTCTTTCTAAGTTGCCCAACTTTCAGAATCTTTCGGATAGAGAGTGGAACAGTTTCCTGTCGCCTTGAGAAGTTTTATGTCTCGTGGCTTCAGTGGCTTCAACCGGAGCTTTTGGACACGCGAGGTGTTCTTTACACCTACGGATTTGACTGCGGTGTGGCCAAATTGGCCAAATCCCCTTTGGGTCAGTTTCGTTTGCCACCTGCGCCATCACAGCCTTTACACAGCCTGGACTATGCCATTTTCAGTTGCGCCAACAGGCCAGGGATGGGAGAGAGTACAAGGTTTTGGAATGCGAAGGACCATACTAGACTAGGTATATCCGTATATTCAATATATTTTCGGCATATATCAAGTGGATTTCCACGTGAACAGCAGATGCTCTAACCATCAGCAAATATTTGAAGGGTGCAAAACATGAGCCAGTACTTCTATGTTGGAACATGTTATGTATGTAGCGTCGTGCATTGCCGATATTCTTAAAAGATGTTTTTTACCTGCAGAAAGTCGGTGCAGGGGCTTCGGGAATTTCCGTGCCTATTCGGAAGCTGTTGATCGAAGTCCTCAAGGCTGAAGGGCGCAGGGGCTGGGCACTGCAGTTGATGGATCCAAGCATCGACGGAACACACACACACACATAATATATATATATATAGATCGTATAGATGGTAGTCCATATATATATATATGTGAAATAAATACATATACTAATAATTACGTACATATAACATGTGTTTACAATGCAATGTGTATATATATGTATATAACGCATACATAAATATCATAATTATAGATTGAATTCATCGAAGCATTTTTTTTGCATCGAAAGTGGAATTCAGAGATCTGCACCTCGCGCACCTCGCGCACCTCGCGCAAGTCGTCAGGTCTGGATTTCTGGCTTCACCTTGGGGACTTCATCTACGAGTCAGCTGAGATTTGACAGATCTCTGCAGATCTCAGAGAGTCCCAGATGTGTCCCACGTGTCCTGAAGTATGGACGTCAAAATTATCCAGAGCCTTCAGAGACTCGTGTCCCAGGCATCGGATAAGACTCGGATAAGACTCGATCTCTTCGGCGATTCGGCCATACCGTAGATATGTTTGCCGCAGGACTCCAACCTGCCAACGACGTGGTGCATTTGTGCTTGGACAGCATGTGGCATCGTAGAAAGACTGCCCTCATAACATATACTTTCACCCCTCTGACAAACAAATTGCCAGAGTATGAGTATGGTTGATAAACATGGTGAGAGTATGATAAACATGATAAACATGGATAAACTGTCAGAAACAAATTGGATATCCATGTTTATCCCATAAAGAAATTGCAGACAGCGTTTCCATGTCTTCCATGTCTCCCATGGATATTTTTCCAGTCCTTGCGATCGTTCTATTTGCCATCCTTATGTTTGCTTGTCAAAGTTGCCGTTGTTTTGCCCAGGCAAGAATACAGGCTCGAGGCTCAAACCAACAGGGTTCAGCATGGAAGAGGCTTCCGAGAAACTTGCACTGAGGAAGCGATACGCCTTTTATCGTGCCTCATCCGCATCGCAAGAATAGGTAGTTTGGGACTTGGTAGGCTGGCAAAATAGATTGCAATATATTGAAACATTGAAACATATTATATCAATTTATATCGATATCATATCGCAATAAACAAACTAAGTCGACAAAAAGCACCAGGGCCGCGGCAGACTTGGCGAAACGTGCTCGGAGGTCTTGATCCGGACTTGCAACGTCTCTCTGCAGCTGCGCCAATGATATCCATTTGGGACGACCACGAAGGTCACTTTCACATTCGCCTGACATCAGTTGATATCATTTGATTCATTAGTTTTTTTACTATATATTTTTTTTAGAAAAAATAGTTTTTGGGAAATGCATTTGATTGCATTCAATTGTTGCAGCGAATGCATTTGATTGTTTGCATTGACTTTGCATTGACTTTGCATTGACTTTGCACTGGTCATTCATCGACCATGCCAAGTCAGTACATAGTTTGTGATGGCCGATGCTTGCAGTTGCCAACGACGATTGGATGCATGGTGCCGATCCCGGTGAAAAAAAGTTCGAAATCTTCGAAGTTTCCTTTCAGAGTGTGGCTTCATCGCCAGATGGCAGAACTCCGAGGTGCCGAGAATCATCAATCCGACCAGGGGAACTTTGAGGCGGAAAATTTCGAAAAGCGATTCCCACTCCAAAAATTTAAGCATAGATAAGCATAGATGAGCATAGATATGATCAAGATCAGATCTGTCCATTTTTGTTTTTTGAGTATTGAATCAGCAAAGGCCCGCAAAACTGCGGCGATCCGAGCCTATCACGAATGGCTTCCAACTCCAGATTTCGAGCTACACAACGCCACAGCTGTTGCTCAGATGAAATATGACTGATGTTTATTTATGATATAATTTATGATAATCACATATAGTCACAATGCCTCAGAATCAAACTGTTGATATCAAAGTCAGACGAGTCCATCGTGGCAGATTCGATTCGTTGACGATTCGTTGACCTTTTCGAGGCTCCATGGATGCGCTGGCGACGGTTTGACTTCGGCCAGTTGGCGACACTTCTGATGCTGGAGACCCGACTCTGGGCTCGGACCTCCCAGGCGATTCCGTCGCGATTCCGTCAGATTCTGCAGATTTTCTCTGCCCATTCTGTTGGATCCAGGCAGAGATGACCACTGCGACGGTCTATCATGACATCCTAGGACCGGACAGCACGGTAAGTGCATCTTAAGTTCAACCTTGGTTCAACTTTGTTCAACCGTTGCCAAGGTTGCTCAATGAGGACATCATATTGATGTGCAACAACATCTATGACCATTTTCCTTGAACATGTGATATTCTTATATTTCTTGATATTTCTTGTTATTCATGTCGAGGAAAATTGGAGGGTTTCTTGGGAATTTCGCCCTATGCGTGGCCTGGCAGGGAGCCGAGATGGGGAAACGAAAAACCGAGATTGGTTTAGCCAAAAGCGACTGACGGTGGTAAAGCTCTGTCCATGCTGTTTTTTTGCAGTTTCAAAACCTTTCAAACGGTTTGTACAGGCTTCCTGTAGTGGCTTGAAGGTGGAGAGATCGAACAGGAGTTGGCCAAAGTGCGCTCCAAAGTCGAGGTGCCAGTTCCTGTCAAGACGAACTCCGCTTCTGAAAACATCCAAAAACGTCAGCTGGGAAGATAAGCAACCCAGTGTTCGCTACGATGCCCAAAGCTACGCTGCCGATCCTGGCGTTGACGCAACGGCTATGTGCCAGGCTCACAGGAACTTGCCACAGAAGCGAATGCTTGGAGAGGAGCAGCCCCTCGAATCTAGCGAAGACAGATACGGCATAGACCGAGAGCTCTCTATGGCACGTGAATCCATCATTTCATGATATCTCACGATTGCATTCACATGTTTGCCACGGCATGCCACGGCATGCCACGGCATGCCACTGTACTAGCTCGATTCTGGAATTTTACTGTTGACGTTCTATCCTGCTGTTGCAAAAACACCCTGTAAAAGAGTCATATAAAGCAAAAAAGGCTTCGTAGTGAGTTGCAGAGTGGAACATTTCCACGTTTGCGTTGCTGAATTATCCGGCAACCAATTTCAATTTTGTGTCTGAATGCCAATCTTCCGACTGAAAGTGGAACAGATTGGAGTAACAAAAACAATTCAGTAACGTAGATCGTTTCCACGTGTTTTCACGCTGTACCGGTACTGCATCCAAGGTTGTCGTGGATCAGAGAGCAAGTGGAACAAGCTGAGCAGCAATGGCTGCTTGTGGGACAGCCCCAGGTAGTGCAGGAGACGTAGGGCAAGACTTGGAACGTTTTCCAACATGACCAACTTTGAAGAATTGAAGATTGCTCAAGATTGCTATCATATGGCACTCCTAGTCACGTCTCAGAACCAAGATGCTCTGTGCAAGAGAATGAGGGTGGTCAAAAGTCGCCGTTGGGAGTTTCGAATTATGCTGTACAAAATCTGCATACTCAACTGTACTCAAACTGAAATTCTTGATTTCAGGAGCTGATGACCCCAAACTTCTTTCAGGCCATCACAGAGAAAAAGAAAGGTGCGATAGCAGATGGCAAGTTTCAATGAGCAATGCAGAGCCTGTTGATAATCTGATATTTCTTCCGAGTTTCGCAGAAATTGCATTCGCAACTACGCAGATGTCAAGGTTCGTTTTCTGATTCCAAACCAGAAATCGAATAAATCGACATGCGCTGACGTGCGGAACTGATCAAGTTTCAAATTGTTGACACAAGGGCGTGCTTGCAATAAAGTCCACCACACAGCAAGTGTCATGCGAGTCATGCATCATTTTGGGGGAAAAGGCCATGCCAACAGCGACTTGTGTTGGCCATTTGACAGAGGCGATGCAGACACAGCAAAGTACTGGTCTGCAGTCCTGCACAACGTCACCAAACTTGGTTTTACTTACCAAGACTTCCAGGCTGAATTCTTTCACGCTTTGCACAAGTCTCGCAAAGCAGTACGATGTTTTACGTTCACAAAGTTCACTTAGTTCACGTAGTTCAGTTATGTTCAGTTCAACCATTGGTTCAACGACGCCAGTGTTCAGACCTTGTCGTTAGGCTAAGAAGAACTTTACGACCACCCGAGAGATGCGAAACTCTTTCCTGCTGGACCGCTGGACAGCCGCTGGACCTGCCCAAAAAATGTTGACTTTCAATGTCAGCACGCGCAGATTCGTGTGTCTTTCTACAGCGAAACATGAAAGATGTGACAAAAGATGTGGCAAAACAATGCAAACCATACATCTTTGCATGTCACAAAATCACACATCACGAAACACGTCACAAAACGTGACAAAATGTGACCAAACACTTCACGAATCCAGGACCTGGCAGCAGGTGCCTTCGGCATCCAGTGCCCCGGATTGGACCGCGGGACCAGTGGTTCCCCATGGTTCCCCATGGTTCCACCGTTGACGATGTGCCAAAGGTGAACGCAGGACATCGCAGGACCCAGATCAAAAAACATCAGTGATCACATCAGTATCACATAATCCAGAATTTGATTTGCTGTGTGATAACTTGTTATACTCTGAAACGTTAAGTATTTTCTTAAGTTATATGACGAAATCCGACAACCTCGAGTGATGCACGATGATTCTGTCATCTGTCGCTTTCGGCCTAAGGCTCAACTTCGACAGCTGGACTGGATACGTGGCCGAACGCCAGCGTTTCATTGAGGCCCGGAGGCTTAATGATGATATAATGATGGTTGATGAAACGGTTGATGAAACGGTTGGTTGTTGGTTGATGTTGGATTCTGTATTTGATGTCAATTTGATTCATGTTTGCAAAAACCCGCTATTTCATGCCGGACGCTTTATCAAACTTTATCAAACTTTATGATCTTTTTGTCTTTTTCTCCTGGCTCCGGAGTTTTCCCTGTTTTTGATGTTTCCCCTGGGCCTGTTTTCGTGTCGGACCGTGACCGTGTCCGCGAGGTCCTCAGCAGGGCCCAGGAGCGACGAGGTCCGACCGTTCCTTTCGTTCCCATCGTCTACGGCGGCGACTCCCACAACGCCTGGGCAGGCGACGGTTGTGCGACGGGTCGGTGAGGGGATCAAACAGGTCACCAGTAGGCCACCCATGGTGAGGGCCGAAGTCTTACAGTATAGGTCCACAGTTTGATAATTTCAAGGCAAAAGTGAAGTGAACGAAGTGAACGAAGTGAACGAAGTGAACGAAGTGAACGAAGTGAACGAAGTGAACTTATCTTGCATTCAGTGAATTCTTGTCTTGTCCTTTCTTCCTTTTGTCGTCACCTTTTCGTTGTATATCTTGATGCCTGTGGTTCCTTGTCTTTCTGGAGGCCCTCTGAAAAGAGAAGATGGCAAGGTTGCCGCGGTTGATTTTGACGGCATGTCAGTGACCAGCCCCGGAGCAGAGAAGCTGCCTTAGTCATCTGAGTCACAGTTCCCATCTGGATCGGGGTAGACACCCATTGTTGATCAGTCTTCAAACCTGGGAGCCATGCTTTCACCATGCTTTCAGCATTGTCGGATACCATTTTCAGATTCTTGAGCTATCCCAAGGCTCCAAGGTCGAGCACTGTCAGGGTAGATAAGAACTTAATAACTGTTTACTTGAATTGCACAAAAATCATAAAAATCAAAATGACTCGGGAATGACGAACGGGGTGATTGAATAAATGATTGAGCACACATAATTCGAAGCACTGTCCAAGCACGGTCCAAGCATTTGACACATCAGTGACATCATCAACTCATGTTTTGGCGTCGAAGCACAGTCCGTAAGGCATGCGAGACCTTTCTTCCCACCGGACTTCGAAGCAGCCGCAACACGGCACGATATGGCACGATATGGCACGAAAAAAAACGAGAGATACCCACACTGTGTTGCAGTATGTTGAAAACACGTGACAAAATGCATCAAAATGCTGCCAGAATATGCCATCTGCTCCCTTAGTGCTACCTGTGACCTTTGTTATCCTTTGTTTGTATGAATCAATGTCCAACTGTGTCATGTCATGTCTTAAGACGTGATGAACTTATCAAATGCCGGGAGATTCAATGCAAGGCCTGGCACGCTGCCAACCCCGACTTGGTGTGGGCAGACGGAGACTGAGTAAGCCTGAGCACAGTCACAGTTTTCAACTCAAAGTCAGGTCTGTTTTTGCACACAAGTCTTCAAAGTCTTCCAAATATTCAAGTGCTATATGATCATATATGATCTATTTCTACAACTTGAAGGGTTCCGGTGGTCGATATTTTTCCTGTCATCATGTCATCGCGTGGGCCTCTTTCCCAATCTCTGGGGAGTTTGAGGACACGTCCAAACGTGGCTTGATGCTTGTACACCTGGATTCAGCAGTCCAGCATATCGAGGCACTCCAGCTTTCAAAGCTCTTGAAATCGCAAGATCTTGAATTCTGATCAAGTCAAACTCTGAAAACGAGTTTCAAAGTTCTGCTGAATTCTTTGGACTGTTCAAAGGAGTTTCTGATTTCTTTGATCAATTGGTGATCAATTGGATTTAATTGGGGATTTTCCTGCCAGTATATCGCAGTAGATGTCGAAGCGCCTAGCATAGGCCAGGGCAGGGCTGGGTGGCGAAACAGGATTCTGCGTTGAATACAGGGAGATCCACGCGATGAATTGATGAATTGCAATTTTAGGTGGGTGTGGGCCTGCATTTATTGAAGCAGGACCTTTCAGTCTTTTCAATTTGCTGATGTTGTATAGATTATTATGTTAGCGACTGCAGGCTCTTCAGAATGCTGGAGTTTCCTTCTCACGAGGGATTCGTGGAATCCACTTTTGCACAAGGATAATGATAACGAATCTTGATTCGAAAGTGAGGTCCTGATTGTTTTAATTTGCTTGTCCACGTTCGAATCTAGTTCGGATCAGTGTTGAGATGTGTAGGATTGTTGGAGGCAGTTGACATGTGAAAACACAGTGCTTGTGATATCTCGTGATATGCTTCTAAAAGGCTAAGAAAACGGTTCATGCAGTTGGCTACACGTCATGGTCTGTTTGGATATCCAACTGCCGTTCTAAGAGCAGAACATTGAGCGAAGAAGACAAAGTAAAGAGGGATGGAAAAGAATATATGCTTTGTTGAACATGTTACTGTTTCCAAATTTATAGAACAAATGATGTGGTAACTGTTTGATGTCATATTATGATTGTTGAATTTTGCTCCTGGGGGCATTGCATGTTCCATGTTTTGCAATGCAATGTACACATGACTCAGTTGGAAGGCTCCTCCACGTCCGAGTGCTTGGCAGCCTTTGATGTAAAACATGGAGAAGCGACAATACGACCAAGCAGTTGCAGGACTCCAACTCCTTCTGTGCTCTGTTTCGACATGTTTCGGCTGTTTCCAGTTGTTTCAACATGTTCTGTACCCGCCTTTTGAGGGCACAAAGTCATAGAACCGAGCTGAATCATTCTTCCACTTGTATCATGTTCTCTTTGCAGGGCCAAAGTTGCAGCTGAAACTGTATGTACGACTCAACCTACCGCGGAGCTCGGCTTTGGGTCGGGGAGCTCATCGCAGATGACACTCCGAAGAGGAAATTCGGAAAGCCGAGGGAGACGTCAGAAATTCAAGACATTTCACCATCAAAAACAAAAAGATCAAGTGATGTGAAGTGCATGTTTGACAAATGAAGGCAAAGTCTTTGTCGCTGTCAGAAGATCAAAGAAGTCTGGAATCCTCGGAATCCTCCGGAGTCTCCGGTTGAAGTCTTGGACTCCTTGGACTCCTTGGACTGACGTTTTAACGCCTGGTCGACATTCGCCAGATTCATGTGCTCAGTCATGCTCAGTCCCGTCAAAGGCTACAAGAATTATTTGGAAAGACAAGCAGAAACAAAGAGGGATTTTTTGTGTATGAAGTTTATATACGTTTATGTTGTTCAAGGATGTAATGACTGCGATTCGTATTTTCTTCCCCTTAGATGATCAACTTCTTTGGGTGTTGGATCTGGATTCGCACAGCGGGATAGTCTTGAGCGGAGCCTAGATCAGCCTATATGCTGTTTTGCGAACATCACTGGAACTGGTCGGAACCGTTACCGTCCCAACCGTCGGGTGAAACGGTTAAACTGTGAAACCGGGCGTGCCGTGCCAAGGCCTGCTCCAGTGATTGCTTCGGCATGCCTCGGCATCGTCGTTGGTGCCGTGGCTGTCCTGGCACGCAGAAGATCTCGTTGCCTGGCGAGATCACGTTGCTTTCTGTCAGGTTTTATCATGTTTTGTTTTTTTTTGGGAACATAGATCATGGAATGATCATGGAATGACAATGGAATGATAATGGAATGATCATGGTAGATATAATTAGGAACATCCGCAATAGACAAAGCGCCTGAAGGTTTCCAGAGAGTAAAAATACCAGACGCCAGACGTATCGAAGAATTGGTAGATGAGCTGATTTTTTCTTGAGACTGGGTTTCTGCTTTCAAAAGATGAGGAATTACGACAAATTGAGGACCAGATAAAGATGTGATCATATGTGATCATTATGTTAACACAGATGAAGCTGAGGCAAGTACCAGCACTGCGAGGAGGCGAAATGTGGCAATGCTGCACTCTGTTTGGACCATCTTGGACCATCTTGGACTGTCTTGGACCATGGACCATGTCGGGCCTGTTCCTCCTTGGAGTGTGCCAGTAGCACCATGTAGCACCATTTCGTTCGGGGGCTGAAACAATGTCTTAACCATATTCTCCGAAATTTGCAGTGTTTCGAGATGTTTCGAGCCTCAAAGCCTTAAAAGAACACTCGAATTACATACATAAGCCCTCAAATGACAATGGTGACAGGTGGCATACCCTATGGTAGCCATGGCATGAGTCCATGGTGGCTGAAGTGAACCGTAGCTGGGTCATCAATTCTCCATTGAGCTGGATGTGGGCAGATACTGAATCATGGATATCATGGTACATGAACATAACCCTAAAGCAGCCCCAGTTAGCACCAAAAAACCTTAAAGACACCGGAAATGAGCCCTAAATCAACCCCCTCACCCTAATTGAACCCTCAACCAAGCCCAAATAAACTCCAAACCAAACCCAGATAAAGTCTAAGCTAACCCTAAATCAACTAACCCCCAAGGAATTTTGGGCCGAACAGCCCGGGTTCAGAAAAGAAACCATGTAGATGGCATATCCATGGCTATACGCTCCGACCCCTCCGACTGTCGTACTCGGTCAGGCCAAGGCGGACTTCGCCGTGCCGCCCAGCCGCCTTGGCCAGTAGCGAACAGCATCGAACAGCGCCGCGAAAAGACGGCACGGGTGGTGCGGCAGGGCACAGGATGACAGAGACTTGAGAGGCAAAACATGGCATGAACACAAGATAACACAAGGCAACACTTTTATACGCTTTGAACTCAATGAAAAATACATGTTGTCATGTTGTCCAATGTATATATAATTATATATATATAATTATATTATATATATATAATTATATATATTATATCTTATCAATCTGTGCAAAGCATGTTGCTTTTTTGTTTATTTTAAGTTGCTAAAAGCAATAAAAGAGGACGATGAGGACGTCATTACCGTTGCACTGTAGCACGCTGTGTGTCACGCTCCGTCCAGATGGAGAGCACTGCTGAGCAAAAGGAGGCGCGACACCTGGCGTCGCTCAAATCTTCAAATCTTGGTGATCTTGGCCAAAGATGCGTTTGCGTCGCATCATTTTTGCGTTTGTATGTGGTGAAAATTTGTGAAAATTTGTCAGTAGCTTTTGGTTTCTGATCAGATACTGTCAGTTGATGTACCTTTTGATTCACGTGGATTCACGTGGTTTCTGATCAAGGCATTGATGCAAGGCCTCCAAGATGGTGAAGCACAGGTGCCGCTGGAACTCGGAACAAAAATGAGACAAAAATGAGACATATGAGTCGATGTCGTCTCAGACTTTATATACAATTACTATACAATGACATCATATGACATCATGAAAGGTTGGCACAACGGTTATCAACGGCACAACGGTTATCAAGGGTTATCAACGGTTGCAAGTGATGACCTCATTGAGCTCAGTTCAGTTCCTATCAGTTCCTCAGCGCTTCATTTCGATTGGCGCAGTTGGAGCATGTCGTGAAGAGCATGGCATCTTTGCGGGCAGAGTTTGGAGAACGTCTGGGGCCAAAAAAAGCGGTTGATCAGTGTCTCATCATGTCTCATCATGTCTCATCATGTCTCATCATGTCTCATCATGTCTCATCATGTCTCATCATGTCTCATATGTCATATCACAATTTTAGAGTTGAGCGAGGTCATGCTATGCTTGAGGAGCCACGTCTTTTTTCGGGTTCTCACAGCATCATACTGCAGCAAATTGCGCAGCAACCGATCAACCTCTACAGCCGAAAGTCATCAAGAGTCAAGAGTCATTAAAAATCATTAAAAATCATTAAACATCATAAACAATTGGATGCGTTAAATATGCTGTTAAGTGTTTTTTATGTTTTTTTTTGTCTTGTGGGGTATAATGACTCCGCATTCCGCCAGGAACGCTTCTCGCGTTCCCAGAACCGAGTTGCTCAGGACGTCCACGTCATGTCGACGTCATGTCGACGTCGACATTTCAAGACATTTCGATCAGGAGATCGGAGAGCAGCGTGTTCAGATCGTTCACACAGAAAGTGGCTGCCTTACGGCGCCATCAGGACATCCTATGAGGACAAGACTTGACCAGCTGTCAGAATGTCAGAACATGTCAGAATGTCAGAACTGATTCTGATGCGGAAAAACGAGATCAGCTGGAAAAACGAAGGGAAATTCCATCCGAAACAGGTCGGCTCCAAGAGCTCCAAGAGCTCCAAGAGGCCATGGCCAACGCCAAGGAGGCCTGCCGGCCTGCCCCGGAACCCGGGTCCTCACGTTGTCCTCACGTTGTCCTCACGTTGTCTCGTTGTTTGGTTGCCCAGTCGTGTTTGACCCTTCTTAGACTTTCCATAACTTTCCATAACTTTCCATAACTCTCATCTTTCCTCATCTTTCCTCATCTTTCCTCATCTTTCCTCATCTTTCCTCATCTTTCCTCATCTTTCCTCATCTGTTCCCATTGATCTTGGTGATGTGTTCGGTATTCTGGTCAGGAAGTCGAAGATGCTGTGCAGAGAAATATGGAACACGTGGAGAACAGGCGGTCAACACCGGTCAACACAACTTGCGACATGGAAACATGGACATGTTTCATCATGTTTCCATGTGCTTGTGTGGTTTACTGTCACAATCTGTCACATTTCCACAATTTTCCACATTTCCTTTGGGAGGTTGCGTGGAGTCTCCAGGTGCTTGCAGACACTCTACAGGAAGGCAGGCTTCAGAACTCACACTGGCCGCATCTGGCCGAACTGAAGAACTCGATTTCCGATTTCAAAGAGGTGAAGACAAAGCACCATAAAGCACCCAGCTTCTGGACATTTCTGGACAAAGCACCATAAAGCACCCAGTACTCTTGTTGCTCTTGTTCTGTGTCCCTGTACCGCAGGTAGGCCTGTCTGCCCGGGAAGCTTTGGTGTTTGGCTCAGTCGTAGAATGACAGAGAGTTACGAATATCTGCCATCACAGGACCACTCTAAGTTCAGTTGAAGGACTAAAGCAGAGAGGTCGGAAAGAATGACGAAGACGAAGATTGAAACATATTGAAACATATTGAAACATATTGAAACATATTGAAACATATTGAAACATATTGAAATATATTGAAACATATTGAAATATATTGAAACATATTGAAATATATTGAAACATATTGAAATATATTGAAACATATTGAAACATATTGAAACATATTGAAACATATTGAAACATATTGAAATATATTGAAACATATTGAAATATATTGAAACATATTGAAACATATTGAAACATATTGAAACATATTGAAACATATTGAAATATATTGAAACATATTGAAATATATTGAAACATATTGAAATATATTGAAACATATTGAAACATATTGAAACATATTGAAACATATTGAAACATATTGAAATATATTGAAACATATTGAAATATATTGAAACATATTGAAACATATTGAAACATATTGAAACATATTGAAACATATTGAAATATATTGAAACATATTGAAATATATTGAAACATATTGAAATATATTGAAACATATTGAAACATATTGAAACATATTGAAACATATTGAAACATATTGAAATATATTGAAACATATTGAAATATATTGAAACATATTGAAACATATTGAAACATATTGAAACATATTGAAACATATTGAAATATATTGAAACATATTGAAATATATTGAAACATATTGAAACATATTGAAACATATTGAAACATATTGAAACATATTGAAATATATTGAAACATATTGAAATATATTGAAACATATTGAAATATATTGAAACATATTGAAATATATTGAAACATATTGAAACATATTGAAACATATTGAAACATATTGAAACATATTGAAATATATTGAAACATATTGAAATATATTGAAACATATTGAAACATATTGAAATATATTGAAACATATTGAAATATATTGAAACATATTGAAACATATTGAAACATATTGAAACATATTGAAATATATTGAAATATATTGAAACATATTGAAATATATTGAAACATATGGAAGACCATGGGAATACCATGGGAAGGGAAATTGCAAGTTCTTGAGCACAACGTGATCGGCCCAGGCGGTCCAAGACGTGGCAGTGGTGTCAACCGAGTCAGAGGCCTTTTCAAGACGCAACAGATACAGTCAGAAAATGTCAGAAATGTCAGAAATGTCAGATATCTCTGCAATATCACAAGTTGATGCTTTCTGTTTAGACTGGACAAAGAAGACACAAATGACGAAGAAGATGCAATGCTGCAATACATCGCAATACCCATGCGAGAGAGAATGCCACCCAGAATGCCACCCTGGTAGGACGTATGGGTTGGACCCGGATTCTGTGTGGGTCTTGACATTGAACATTGAACGACACATCCGTTCATTTACTTTGCGACAAAGCAAAAAGCAAAAGTAAGCAAAAGTAAGCAAAAATGATCAAAATGCAAAAGTGTCACATTGTGTCACATTGACCGAGTCTGACCTGTGTCACAAAATGTCAGACACGAGCAAACAGGAGAGGAGCTCTGACATCTGAGGTCAGCTGAGATCCCATGGCCGCAGTTGGAAGACCTGGAAGTTGTGGAAAAACATGGAAAAACCGAAATACGCCCAAGCCAGGTCATGGCAGTTCATGGCCATGGCCATGGCACCATGGCACCATGGCCCGGCCCAAGTTGGTTGGGTCAGTTACGGTGAGTTGATATCAGTTGTGTCATGAGATGAACAATATGAACATATATGAACACGCATCACCAGCCATGAGCTGCTGCCATGAAGCCTTCATGAAGCCTTCATGCATTCTGTGTGATTTTCTCATCTTTTTTTCATATTTTCTCCACTTTCATCGCTTGTACCGATACCCGTCAAAGTAATTAAAGTTTAAATATGGAACTTGTCTTATCATGTCTTACCAATTATCAACCTCTTCTGTCAACTTTCTACTTGGACCTGCTCTGAGGCTCTTCACCGCGTTGTCAATGGTAGCCAAAGAAGCTGCAAAGAAGTCAGCTGCAGAAAGACTGGTGCAACAGCAACACTGAAGATTTCCATGTTGAACATGATCTAAGATTGCGCGCTGGAAATCATATCCTTTTTTCACGTGTGATCGAAGCTGCTGCGATGTTTTTCGGGTCTTTGGAGTCTTTGGTGCGCTCTCTGACGCTCTGAAACATACTATTTCGCTGGATTCTTCGGCTTAAAAGCCTTTGGCTGATGCGACCGTCTGAGAAGTGCATGTGACAAATCGCAAGAGCATACCGCAAGAGCAGACAGATGCAGACAGATGTATCAGAAAGTGCTTTGAGTTGAAGATAGGAAATCACATGAAATCACTATGCTGACCTCGAAAGTGTCAACAAGGTCATAACATGATATAGCATGTACATCAGAACATATCGCCAGTGTTGTAAAAACCCTGGGTATTGGCTAAGCATCCGGAGAGGAAGATCAAGAAGCCTCTACCACATCTACTACTTTAACTACCACCAAGATTGCCATGGCAACCAGCATGGCGACAGCCAAACGGGTTCACAGCCTTGGACCTTTGCAGAGGTCGGTCATGGGATCATGTTGGCTCCATGTCCTGACGCTGTTCTGTGTAACATGTGAGCCATGAGGCCAAAAAGACAGCGGAATGCCATGGAATGCCATGGAATGCCATGGAATGCCATGGAATGCCATGGAATGCCATGGAATGCCATGGAATGCCATGGAGTTATAATGCCACGTTATAATTATAGTTCCGCGTCCCTTGCCACCCTTGCCAAAGTGCTGGGGTCCTTTAGTTTTGATCACACAGTTTTCATGTTCCGGACCCGTTCCGGACCGGTTCCGGACTCTAGGACTCTTGACACTCGATTTGTTCCCAATCTCAAAGCATCCACATGCCGAGAACATTAAAAGTTCTGGGTTTTGACATGTTTTGACGCTGGAGGTGTGTCCGGTGTGCGGTCCTTTTAGCTTTGCCATGGTCTTTGTCATGGACATTCTGCGGACCACCGTTCTTCTCTCAGTTCAGCTCCAACAGAGTGAAAGTCGCTTCATTTTGCCCAGTCATTAATGTTCTCTATTGTTCTCTATTGTTCTCCATGCTTGATGAAATGTTTGACGGCTCTTCAAACACAAGAAACCTTTTCTTGATTTGAAGATTTTTCCTTTGAATGATAATTTGTTTGTTCATTTTTTGTTTGCACACTGAGAACCTTTGAGACATCTCGATCTATCGGAAGAGCTGCGACTGCCTCTGGCACTGCTTCCTTTCGTTCGCGGAGTCCAGAGATGGAGCCGCAAAGTGAGACATGTCATGAGATGTCATGAGACACCTCATGAAACATGACGATTCCCAAAATGAAGCAAGCAAATGTTACATCATGGAGACGCAGAAACCATGCCTTCCGATAGTGCTTTGATGTGCTTTGTGTCTAGAAAGCGGTCTTTCACTGATCTTCAGAGTTTCAGCTCAGTTGCTCAGTTTAGAATATGATTTTGGTCCATTTGGTCCATGGCAACCATAGCAATCTCATCCAAAACGGTTTTGGACCTCTGCAGGAGCGGCAGGAAGCACAGAAACTGCTGGAGGATATCCTGGGAGTAGCAACCTGGCAGGGTTCAGCATCCCCTCTTTCTTCACTTTTTGTCGTATTTTTGCCTAACAGTAGTTCCTTTGTTTGGTTCTTCAAAACTCCTTTATGGAGTAGACAATCTAGAACATCAAATTTTATAACCACATATTATATAATCAATAAGAAATCAGACATGTTTCTCCGTTTTGTTAAATATCTAGTAAAACACAACATCAACATGTATATTATAGAATGTTATAGAATATATATATATATATATATTAGATATACATTTAAAGCATTTAGATATATTATGTCATATTATGTAAAAATATATGATATATATATATATATATCATATATATTATATTAGATATATCTATTAGATATAGATATATAATAATGTATATTAATGTATAATATTATCACATCATGTCACACTTGTTCCACTTCAGTGGAAAGGTCCGCTCCGCTGGCCTCGAAGCCGGCGCCGTCCGCGGCCTCCAAGCGCTGCGCGCCACGCTGCTGACGGCCGTGGAGGCGGCCAGGGACGGCGAGCTCCAGGAGGTGCGCTGCTAACGGCCGGGGAGACCATCCCATTCGGATTAGACTCAGATTAGTTGATGATTAGTTGGGTAAGTTAGAAGTATCTATAAGATTTTTATAAGTATCTATGATGTTTTATGATGTTTTATGATGTTTTTTGTCAATTAAAGTTCTATGAAGTTCGAAATTTCTTCGCCAATTAGCCTTTTTTCTTATGGTTAAGCATCGCGAAAGCCGGAGAATTCTGTGAACATCGACCCACCCAAATCGCAGTGGAGGAGCCAATGTAGGTGGCTTAGTCAACCAACCTTTTGGGGGGTTATGGTACTGGGTTGATATAAGGGATCGGATAGTAGTAGTTTGGAGGTTAAGAAGCCAACTGGTTGATGATGTGATGATGGTGATGATGGTGATGATGATGATGAAAGTTGAACATTTCAGAGGATATTGGTCAATCACAAGTGAGTCTGGCTTTTGACCATTTTGACCCACCCTTTGGTGGGGAGTATCAGAATGAACTCGGAATCCCCATGAAAACCGACCATTGAAAGGAACATTTCACATCATTTCACGCTTTTTCAATTTTATGTTTGGAGTTTATATGAGTTTATATTTATGATATTTTATGATATGCATGTTGAGATTTATGAGTTCAAATCGTGAAGCTTTTCGAGGCTTTGCAGACCATCCAGCGCTTGGGCACAGAGCGCGTTGATGATGCACCTTTAGCACGCCTCTTGCGGAGGCTTTTCCAAAAGTCCCTTGGTGAAAGGACAGGAAGTTTGTTTCTCCGGTGGACAGATCAAGGATCGCAGTATATCGCAGTAAGTCTGGAAACTGACATGTGACGGACAGCTTCATCCACAGTCACAGCATGGAAGCAGGCCTCGGAACATGTTACCACATGTTATATACATGTATTGAGCGTATTCCACACGCATTCCCAAGCAATACAGCAATACATTATTGCACCTTTTTTTGGGGTGTGTGTGTGTGTGTCTTTTTGTGCCATTCGCAGATGCACTGACAGGCTTGGTAGTACCTACGTCAAACTTGGACAGTTCATAGCGCGCTTGCCTCAGCTGTGAATCAATCGCAAGACTCTAAGAGAGGATCTTGATTGACAACGATCAGTTGAACTTGCTGGATAAATTTCCGAGTTGCAACACTGCAACCCTGCACTCTGCAACTGTACCTCAACCATTCTGTGCCCAGATCATCAATCAAGTCAACCACACACTCACTGAGTCACTTGCTAGTTTACCTCCTACATCCTCCTACCATTTGGTCAACTGAACTACTTCCAATGAGCTTTTATGTTTGGTGTGTCGTTAAAGAATGGTGCGACAACCTTTTTGTTTCTTTTGGTCAGCCTTTTTTTTGCTATGGTCATCTATGGTCATCTATGGTCGGCTCATAGTGGCCTCTAGAGTTGATCTTGATTCATTCCAATTAGATCCAATTTGTAGACATTGAACAGATCCAAGATGATCCATATATGATCAATATGATCCAAGTTCATTGAAAAAAAACACACATCAATCAAATCATTCAAATCATTGGCTCCATCGTGTGCTCCATCGCCTGTTTTAAAAAAAGCTGGCTTAAACCTTGTTTATCCTAGCAACTTTTCTCCCAATTTTCCGCCTGGGGTGTCCAGCGGACATCTCCCACGGCAGATCCTCGTAAGAACCATGTGATCATGCTGGCCTTACCGATCTTACAGGGCCTTAGATAATCAGAATGAACTGTAATAATTTTGTCTATTTTAATCTTGTAAGATCCAATACATGGTTCTTGCAATTGCCTTAAATACTTTGTGATTTTCGGTTCTCATCTCAAGGTCAGGTGCAAGATGCAGTATAGGCCTAGGCATAGGCAGCTAAGCAGTGTGCTGTGCTTCGCTGAGTTCTTCACCTACTTTGTTTCCTGCAGCCTATGTGCGGGAGTTTCAGTGCCTGCCCCAAGACGCTACAAGGAACTAAATCATGACATGGGGATTGTCCCTCAACGTATAGATTGAGTGAAATCACATCTTCAGCAAACTTCAGCACGGAGAAAACTGGACTTTTTTCATGTGTCCTCAGCTTTGGTCCGGATTCAGCACTCAAGGCAATGCCTGGATCGTACAGAGCCCACAAACTTCCAGAGAATCAAGCGCCTCGGCTCAAAGCATCGAATTTTTTTTTGAGCCTCTAGAGATGTGTTGGAGTTGGTACATCTTGGTACATCTTGGTACATCTTGGCATTCCTTGGTTGGACTTTCTGGAGAGGGTTTTGCGCTGCCGAGGCGCATCGTAGAGGCCGATTTGGGCCGTCCTCTTTCGGAGGTCTATGAGTCCTTTGAAGAAGAACCACTTGCTTCGGCTTCAGTGGCACAAGTTCACTCAGCCGTTCGGGCACCCAGATGGGCAATCGGTATCAGGATGCACCAGGTGAAAATCATGGAAGTAAGGTAGATAGCGAGGATTGCAGTTGCCATATCTAGTCCCATATGATCTTGCAGCAAATTCCATGTCAGTGCTTGAAAACGGGTCATCTTTGGAACAAGAGGAAGGGAGACAAAGAGAAAGCAAAGGGAAGGCAAGGGCGACGGAAATGGAAACGCTGGAATAGGTAGTAGACTAATGTAGACTGTATAAACTGTAAAAGATCCGTATAAGAATCTGCACATGGTCTTGACTGGGATTATAATTAGATGATCGTTTATGAATTGACCCAAAAGCTTACCACTTGATTAAACATGATTAAACTGTTAACTGCAACTGATGTTGGTAGCCATGGTGTGAATCTTACCATGAGGTCCTGAAGACAGGAGAGCGCGTCGCTGTCAAGGTGCGCGTCGTCATGCCGTCATATGCCCACGGCAATCAAAGGTGCATTCCGGGATTCGGAAACCACCTTCAAAAGTGTTGGACGATGTTGGATGATGTTGGATGATGTTTTTCTTTGCATTCTACCGACATCTACCGACATCTACCGACCCCACAGGTACAAAAGCCTGGAGTGGATCGAGTGCTGAAGGCAAGAACCATCAAGAACAATTTTCATTACCTGTTATTACCTGTTGAACCCTTGAACCTGGGCCGTATCCAATCGGCGACTTCTAAAAGACGTTGAAGAGAGATGTAGGAAGACTTCCATGAAAATGGAACTTTGCAGTGGCATGTGGGTACAGGCTGCACTGGAAGAATCGATTTATTCCAGTTCGACTTGCACATTTTTTTTTCGTTCATTTGCAGGCCGACCTTGGTTTCCTCTTCATTGCAGCGCGTACACTGGAGTGTTGACCCCGGAAAAATGATGAAAAATGCATGTCTGTGCCAGTCTTCTTCTCCGAAGCCGCAAATCTCTTCGTCAATGACAGTCGAAACACTTGGAAACACTTGGAAACATGTTGAAACATGTTGAAACATGTCGAACCATGCTGACTTCAGGTTTCTCAGTCCTGAACTTGCAAGGAGTTCTTTGGTCAAGATCCAAGTTGCACACAGACGCAGAAAAGGAACAAAACCTTTAAGAGGACTATGGACACCAGATGGGGAAGTACTTGTGAACAGGACAACAGCAATCAAGATACAAGGGAACCGTTGTAGCAAGGAGATTCAGGAGGGACGATGGAAACCATAGAGGACAGAGAGCAGAGCAGCCTGGGCAGGGTAGTTCCAATATGTTCCAATATCTGATCTTGTGACATCTTGTCACATCTTGTGACATCTTGTGACATTTTTCTTTTTTTGATTGGCTCCATGTATTCTATGTCTCAGCTCACTGCTCTCTTCGCTCTCTTTGCTCTCTGTGATGTCGAGGTTGATATCGTTTCGGAGATCCGTTCTTCGATGCTTGATGAGCTCGACTTCACAAAGGCACACAGTGTGACACAGTGTGACACACACTGCCCATATTTGCCCCTGATTTTAGGATTTCCCCAAGGCCAGATGAGGCCAGATGACAGACCGCACACCGCAATCTATTGCATCTGTCTATATGAAGCTATTTGTTAAAAGTCTCGCACGTCACTTTTCTTCGGATTTCTTCGTTTCGGAAAAGTGAGATGGTGATCATATGGTGATCATACAATGTATTACATGTATGCAGATTATGCAGAAACGACAGGAGCTGGATAATGTCGAGACCTTCAGACGCTTTCTGCGTCAGAATGGACTTGAGCAGTGTCCTCAGTGACAATTGCGACTTTTGCAATGGCATGCCTATCTGCAGCTATGTATTTGCCTCCAGACTGCAACGCAACATGCGCAACATGTTTGTTCTGTTTGTCTTCGGAGAAAACTGAAGCCGATGTCCTCACTCTACTCTTGACATCCTCTTAATCTATTTCCAGCATGACAAGACTATGTCACCTGAGAAGCATGAAACTCGTCTTTTAGGGCCTTTCGAATCTTTTCAGGTTTTTAAGGCCTTCCGATTCAGATGTTTCTCACCTCCGCCCATCAGCTAAGGGAATATCATATCATATCATATCATATCACATATGTGCTAAGATGTTACTGGCACATTTAAAGTGTACTTGTAGGGAAGAGAGGCCTTTTGGGCGTCAAGAGTTTGCCTTAAGTTTCGGGTGTGAACTCAGGCGCATTGCAGCTGCCCCTAGGACGCTGAGTTCGGGGCATTCGACATCGAGATTTGCAAAGTGTCAGGGGATCTTCTTTACACCGCCGTTCAGGACATTTCCAGAAGCATCTTCAAAAAAGGCTTGGGTGAAGGATTGCAATGGATTGCAGGTGTCCCATTTATGGCCAATCACAAAAAGAACATAAAGCAACCAACTGATCCGACTGTTTAGTCCAAATCTGAGGAAATGGAAGGTGTGGCGCCGGCGCCCGATGCAGTCGATTTCGCTGTGCCGAGCTTGCTGTGAGGTCCTGACGATGGAACTTTTTTCCGGTGTCCCTCTGACAGACTTGGAAGGCGCTGTGGTTCTGTGCTGGAGCTGTGAAGAATGCACCTTTTGGGGCTGCTGATAGCTCTTGTCCATGCTACGGCAGGCATTAGCCGAAACAGCAAGAACCCGGAGCAGACCCTCATCAATGCATTGAATGTCAGATTCTCAAGGGGTGTTGGAACCACACCTCCACATGTCCCATGTACATCCATGTGCACGAGTTGGGAAGTGCAGAAAGTAGGGCAGGTGATTTTAAAATGTAACCCTTCCCAATGTTCCCCTAAAGCAAACATGAAAGGCCGGTTCAGGAATAACGATGTTCTGGCTGATTCTGGCTGATCAAACTGCGAAATCAAACCATGATCTCATGTGATTTCCATTGATTTCCTAGGTTTGGTCATTGTCAGTGCGAGGGTGCGAGATTTTTCATGCTGACGCCTGCTTCCCAGCAATGCCTGTTTCTATAACACTCATCTTTGTGATTCTGCGAATAGAGTTGAAATAAATTGAACGTATGTCGCCAAAAGCAGAGATCAAATTGGATCAAATTCTCCAGATTGCCCAGGTTTTTTATTGTTTTTTCTTAGAAATGGAATGTATTTATTGTTTTTTGATGGAATTTTCAAGGTTCATGCTGGAAATCTCCTAGTTCTGGAGGACGATCTAAGCGCTTTGTGAAACCACCTGGGCTCCCTGGTTTCACAATGTTTCACACACTTCATATGGACTCTTGTTCTGATTGTTCAAGACTTTTGATGAAAATCATGTTCATATTTCTTCATCTTTTGTATCTTTTGTGCTGTTGAAGTCCGCCAAAAAAGCATCCTGCAGCATCCTGTGCATGTGCATATTTTTGCTATGGTTTTTGCATCTGTTCAGTAGAAATTGTGGAAGGATGGCCGGGTGGGCTTTATCGACTTCGGGATCGTGGGGCGAATCCCGTGAAAGCCACAGAGACTGCCAAAACTAGCAACGCACCAGATTGAAGTGTTGAACATGTTGAACTATGTCATGGGACTTTGTATTTGTGTCTTTATTTGAATCTTTATTGATTTATCTTTCAATTTTGAGTTCCAATTTCATCTTGAGATATCTTGAGGCCTGAGATTTGGTCTGCAGTGGAGGGGCTTGTTGTCTCCTTTGCAGCCAACGATGCACGTGGAATGGCTCGCAATTTGATCGCAGCAGCCTCAAAGCTCTGTCGGATCCTGTCGGCTGTGGTTACTGTGGTGTAACCACCAGTTACATCGGTTGGTGGTTGGATGTGGTTGGATGTGGTTGGGGTTGTCATTGTGACTCTCTTTACCACAGTTTCGGGGTGCGATGCTTTCTTTTTGGACTCCTCAAGAGCGCAAGGGAACCACAGCTGTCACAGCAGTAGTTTCAGCAATGATTCCAAGCAAAGCACTCAAATAATCTCAGATTCCTGCATCCAATGGTTTCGTGCGGTTTTGGTCCGGATTCGGTCTGGTTATGTTTGGTTCGTCCTTGTTTTTCTAGTCAAGTTTCTGTTCGAGGCGATGGGTGCGACTGAAGCGACAGTGGACGAAGCGTCCCTTGCACAAGATGTCGCCAGCGTCCTTGGCAGGCGCTGCATCCGCTGCAATGATCTGCAATGGACATATTAAAAGCAACATAAAGCAACGAGATTTCTATAGATTTCTCGTTGGATGTTGGAAGACACACATTTCCTACACATTTCTGACATTTCCATCATTTCGCGTTGAAACATGATGAAACATGGCTCCAAGCGCCGCAATTTGCGTCGCCGCTTAGCCGTTGATCACGTTGATGTGTCGTTGATGTGTCGTTGATGTCGTTGTTTGGTTCAGGATTGCGGGCCTGGAGCCAGAGGCGATGCACTGTGCATATGTGTGCAGCACTATGTGCATATGTGTGCATGTAGAACTATGTAGAACTATGTATAACTGTACCATGTCACCATGTTATACCTCCTTTGCATCGTTTCCATTCGGTGATTTCTTTTGATCTTGCTCCATATGAGAATGATTGAGAAAGGAGAGAGTATTGACATGTATTGACCTACGGATTCCATCGATTTTTCTGTGGAGGTGGTCTTGCGAGGTAGAGGTGACGGCCGAGTGGTGGCCGAGGTCATTGGCACAGTGAAGAAACGTGGCAACGTGGCAACGTGGCACAAACGTGGAAAACTCTGGTGAATCGCTGCCCGTGAATCAGAAAGACTCAGGACACCAGGACTACACCGCATCGAAATCTCCGTATCGAATACCTGAGAATCTGAGAAGTGTCGTTTTTCGATACGGCGCTGCGCCAGGTCGCTTTGGACAACGACCAGGTGACCGAGCTCTTGCTCGAGGCGCCGCTTCGACATCGACATGGCACATCGTTGCATCCTTGACTTCAGACCTGTAAGGATCTGTAAAAAAACACATTTGTGCTATGATTAGATATGATTAGCATTGATTAGGTGATTCTCATTGATTGTCATGTTCTTGTCCAACTCAAACCTGAAATATCATAAATATCTACCTCAATCTTCTCACGATCTGCAGTCCTTCAGTTTATCTTGGACCATCTCGGACCAGTCTTCTTTTCATAGAAGTTGCAGCGTCGACGTCTCTGAGATTGAGGTGGTCCGAGTTGCAGAGTCCAATGGCCTAAAGTTGCCCAGAGAGTTTGCCTTGCTCGTCAAGCAGGCAGTGAAATATAGTGAAGCAGCTGTCAGCAGCTGTCAGCAGCAATGGGTTCAGACATGTTCAGAATGTTTCAGATCTGAATAGTGGCAGCTCCAAGAATGAGACGCTGAAGCGATGATGATTTCAGATCTTCGGCAGGCCTTATACTTTGATCGCTACACCAAACTTTTGGCTCCAGCAGATAACTCAGTGATATCAGGATGAAGCAAGGACCAATTCTCCCTCTACATTTGTCTTGGAATGGCCATGGCCAGAACACTCTGAAACAACTATGAGTCATTTCTATGTCATTTCTATATTTTCTATGTCATTTATGACTGACTTTGTAATATTTTGTAATATCAAAACCGTTCTTATCCGTCCTTGCTGTCCTTGTCTTCCGGTTGTCCTTTGCTGCTGAGGATTTGGATCCCTTGCGCGATGAGCGTGTTGCTGTGGGAGAGTATACATCAGGTCTCAACGGACTGCAGTTACACCAGTTGTTGCACCAGTTGCACTGCTCTTCATCTGTAGCAACTCAAGTTTGGCCATTTCAAATACTTATGTAACAATTATGTATGCTGAGGCAGACTTTGAGGTTTGAGTGGTGCATAGTCGTGCTGTTTTCATGTCTCGGTCCAAAGAGAGCACAGACAGAGACACAGTTCTTAAAGTTTGAGAGGAACATTAATTAAACCTAATTAAACAATATTAAACACACAACGTTCTCAAGACAACACTCAACATACTCAACAGACGCAACATACTCAACCAGCGTAGCTGCCACAATTCGGGACGTCGTGCTTCTTTGCCACCGTTGTGTGCCTAAGATGTATGCCCCAATCTCCGCTCCGGCGGCCAGCAGCACCACGGGCACCACGGGCACCACGGGCACCACGGACACGTGGGACTTGGAGGTCCAGAGCTTGGCCAACGCCGTGACGATCCGAGCGGCCAAAGCGATGACGACGGCGGAGCTCCGCAGCGAAATCGCCCAGAAACTGGGCATCGCAGCGCAGAATCAGCTGTGGCACGTGCAGGGCGAAAGGCTCAACATGCAGGACCCACACAACATTTGATGACAGCCCATGACATCCCACAACCGACAGATTATGACACATTATGATCATAATGACACATGATGCACTGTAGGCAACTTCCACAACTTCCACAACTTCCTCTTACAGCATGATGTGGTACCACGATGTACCACGTGTAACCCCATGATGACCTATCATTTCCGTATCAGTCATAACCAATCAAATTCCATATCAAATTCATGTTCATCGCATTTGATCGCATTTGCATGTCTCTCGTAAATGATATCGTTGAAATTTGTTCAATGTGTATGTTCATAATATGGTTTTGCAGTTTGCATGCTTCGAGTTGCACTGATGTTTCTTTCCTTACTTCAAACATATTCAAACATATTCAAAGTGAATTGTGTTTGATGCATTTTGATGCATTTTGATGCCTTCAACAGGCTTGTTTGCTTGTTTGCTTCTTGTTTGCTTCACAGGACTCTGAGACCTTGGAAACACAATTGACAGGCGTGACGCAGATGACAGTTCTACATGCGGGAGAGCCATTGAAACCGTTGCCAAAGCGTTTCGACATCAGGTTGACATCTGTTCGAGAACGCTTTCGGACAGGTTATTCCAGTGCTTTCACAATACAATACCGACTTCGAGCGGATGCTGAGAAAGGAGAGATGGTGTTGGAACCGTGGAGGAAGAATGATCACGACACCCTGCTCTACAACATGCGCCAGAAAAAAATGAAACACTTGAAGAGTCATTGGATGGCAGGCACGCAGGAGACCAATGAGGCGAGTTCCGAAACACTCCCATTCCCGCAGACTGAGCTTAAAAACCAGCAGACTCTTAGATCATGTCCCAGAATCTGTTCAGAATCTGTTCAGAATCTGTTCAGAATCTGTTCAGAATCTGTTCAGAGTCGGCTAGACTGCTGTAAGTCTGGTTGCCCTCCGCTCATTTTTAAATGAATTGTGTCAGTGGTGTTGAACCAAGACCAGGTTGAGTTCAACAGGCATTAAGTTGCTTTGTTCCTCGGGTCTTGGCAGATGTTTATCATGTCCTATACCTTCCATCTTCTTTCAATAAACGCTTCCGGTGGCATTCTTCATCTGTGATTATAATCATTATAATTTGTGTTCTGTGCATTTTGCGACCTCAATTAGTTCGGCTTAGCTTTGCCGTTTCCATCCAACAGGACTTCAAAGCTTCTCAGGCCTTCATTGAACATCATTGAAGCCTTTTAGACCAAATGTTTCAATATTTTCGCAAGAAACCTCTTGCTTGATCATTTGATATCATTTGCTCAACCCTTTTAGATAAATGTTCCTCCATTTTAGAAACCGTTTTCCTCCGGTCCCGAGTCCGGGAGTCCGGTCCCCTTGTGAAGGCCTTGAACTGGGATCCTTTGGCGGACCTGGTTTCTCGTTGGAGAGGATGCTATTTGGAGCCCAGCGCTACGCGCTTCTGGAAGGCAGACAAACGATACGAATCCGAACCGAAGAAATGATAAAATGATCTGTGGTTTGATAAAATGATAGTGTATTATATATATATATCATAAATATAGGGATACCACCATCCCTGGGACAATAAGACAAGACAATAAACACCAGCTGGACCAGCGGAGTAGTGTTGAAATCAGGATCGTCGCCATGGCACCGTGCCTCACCGTGCCAGGAGGCGTCGCCAGATCCCCCAGAGGGGCAGCCACGCGCTTTCTCTGGGGGAATGAAGCCACAGGCAGGGCATGCATTGGATCATTGGATCAAATTTAGGACGTATCGTATCATATCAAGAGTACAGTATATAACAGGTATATGAATATATTACAGTATGTAAAAATGATATATGACTATAATGAATGGATAAGTGTATCTTCTATTTTATATATATACACATATTTATAAATAGTTAGCGTGTTACACACATAGTTGATGCTACACATGGCGCACAAACGCTTGACCGCACGGATATTTGCAATTTGTTCGGATTCCTGCGTACATTTGGTGGTGGAGACATCATGAGGGCAAAGAGATCCTGAGCGAAAAGTTTGTTCCAGCGTCGATGTCCAGTATGCTGAAGAAAAAACAGAGCTGCAAACACAAGGGCAGTCAGGAAACCACATTTCGCTCGAGAAATTAGAGGGACTTCAAACAACAGATAGTTTTGGGGGTTGTACATGAAAATCACACTGTGTCTATACTATAGTGAAACCAACAATATCTGACAAAATCCACGACCCTTACACTACGAAATCTAAAATCTCTTCAAAATGATGACTCCAAATCAAAACTCATAAAACAAAACAGCGGTTTGTCGGTAGAAATAAACCCAAAAATAATCGATCAAAGCCGAAGGCCTCTGACAGGCACCGCCACTCTATAATTATCTATAATTTATATAGATATACAGACATTCATCACGTGTTATACAGGTGTATATCGCATTTTAATATATTTTTCAGTGCTATTGCTAGGAAGGAACCAAACTCTCCTTTCTGCTGTTCCTAATGGCGCTCCAACACTGGGAGAGATTTGTCTTCCTGGATGGGATTGCAAGTGACAGCACCCGGTCATGTCATGTCGCAACAAATCCCAAGAATTAAGAAAAGATGCAGCAGTTCTAACGATTCGTTTGGGGATTCCACACAATTTGTTCCTTGTTTGCAGAGTGGGCCTATTTGCGATGATTTTTCTGCTCGGTTAACGATGTAGTTGAGATATTTTTAGCGCGTAGTGTTCAATGTGTAAGTAGTCCGATGGCTGTTGCTGTCAAGCGCATTCACGCACAGTTTGATCAAAGCATATTTAGCTTTTGGAGGAGCTTGTTTATATGCAAGATTGGCAATTTGAGGATTCACAAGGAACGTTTCGCAGAAATGTGGATGGCTGTTGCGCATATATGTTCATTGGATCGACGATTTTATTGATGCCCTGAATAGTTGAATAGTTGCTATTGCAGGCAAGTTTGTATGAGAACATGCACAGTTGATGCACAGTTGATATCAGTTGATGCACAGATGCTTTGCCAGACTGTTCCGGACTATGCAGCGGTACCTGGCTGGTTTGTGGCACCTGAAGACTGCGAAGAGATCGAGACAGACCTGGAAATTGGTGGTAAAAAGATCCAGCGGATGATGGTCACCCAGGCTGCTGAGCCCGAAAAGGGGGCGGCGGTTGTACCGAGTTGTACCGATTTGTACCAGAATCTGAAGGCTTTGTTGATGAGTTGTGAGTTGCCAGCAGGGAGTTCGGATCTTACGGGGTGCAAGATAGCTGCAAGATAATCAAGATACACAGCAGCACCAAGTAGCACCAAGATGCACCAAGTCTTTCTGTTGCACTCTTCGGCTTTAGACCTTTTTCGTCCTTCCATTTTTGTGATTATTTTTTGTTGAGAATTAAAGGCCAAACTTGTTACCAACTTGTTACCAATAGAAAACCCAACATACCTAGCGAAACCGAATTTCCTAGATTCATGAGCCTCCCTCTCAATAGAAGTTGCCATGATGGAAAAGCAAGGTACATACTAGACTATATATGTACTGTATGGGATGAACATTTTATATGCAGTTGTATACTATGTAGATATTTCCAGATATAGGAGAATCGGACATGGAAACGCGGACCAGTCAATGATAAGTCCATGACATGTTCATCGGAAGGATGGCAAGCCAGTGCGCATTGCAATGTCTCAGTGCCGCATCGGTCCTCTTCACGACTCTTGGCATTGTGGTCATAAGGCCATAGGCTACGTGGCTACACAGAAGTAGAGTTCATTAGTTCATTGAAATTATTGAAATGAAATTAGTTCATTAGTTCATTAGTTCATTACTTCATTCAGGTTATTTCAGGTTATTTCAGGTTCATTCTTTTTGAAATGAAATTGTTGAAATGGACTCCGAATGTAATGGACTTCGAATGGACTGAGAGGAGTCAAGGCTTTGATGCCAGGAGTGAAGGGACACTGGGCAGAATTCAATAGAGTTCATTTGGGAAGATTCAGATACTGCGAACAGCTCCTTGAGTATTAGTATTATTATGTATTATTAGTATTAGTGTCTAATGGTAATATCGTTTCCTGAACCTAGTGTGTTTTCACCATGTGTTGATTCGTTCCGACTTTGATCACAGGAAGACATCGAGGAGTACGAGGTTGAACTTCGCGAACTCGCAGCCGACGAAAAGCTTGAAAGCGATGAGTTTTGAAAAGACATTAGGCTGGTAGAAACCCAACGGAGTTGGTTTGTAAAGACATGTCGCCACTTATTTCAAGACGATTTCGTTCTGTGGTTTCATATGTCGTAGAAGACATTCTTGTGATGATGTAATTCCGGCTTACTTCCAAGTTTGCGCCTCGGCTGAACAGCTGAACAGCTGTGAATTGCAGATCGCACGTCCCGCAGAATGTACAGATCTGCAACATGACAGGGCGTGCATTGTATCTGCAGCTGTATTAAGTATGCGAACCTGAGAAAAGTGACGATGCCAAGTCGGGTCTTCCTTCATATATTAGCAGACAGTCAATGAATCAAGAATCTTATAGAATCTTCAAACAACTTCAAGATATTTCAAGATATTTCAAGATATTTCAAGATATTTCAAGATATTTCAAGATATCTCAAGATATTTCAAGATATTTCAAGATATTTCAAGATATTTCAAGATATTTCAAGATATTCAACAGCATCATTCCCGGTCCATGAAAAGATTCTGCTAATTATTTGTATGTATTTGTATCCGTTTCGAAATGTGTCCCGTCCTTGAGAACCGATAAGACTGAACCGAGTGAGGTAACTTTTAAAGTGGAAGGTAACTCATGGTTACTTTTATTTACTTTTTAGATTTGGCAATTTGGCCATGTTGCAAACTGTTCAAACTGTTACGAAACTGTTCAAACAGTTCAAACTGCTACGCATTTTCCATCTTTGCGTTTGCTGGTCAGGTCCTGTGATCGATGTTTGATCTCTGCACGTCCGATGTCTATGATGTCTATGATGTCTACGTTTCATATGTCGCATATGTACAGCTTTGAGCTGAAAGTCTCAGCACCAAAGGGAGGATTGAGCAAATACATTGAACAAATGCTGAAGTTTGAGTCAGACATCCTGCAGTGACATTGTCTTTGTTTTCTTGAGCATAATTTGTATCATATCCATATCATATCCATATCATATCCATTCGTATCCCTATGGCGATTTCCCAACCCTTCCCAGCGTTTTCCGTTTCACAGCTGATCATGTCATGCGATGACAGATCCCATCTCACACGAATTTTCTCGCGCTCGCGACATGCCTTCGGAACATGAAAATCAAGAAACGCAAAACTTCCCGGTTGGGAAAGAGACAGAAACGACAGAAAGTGGGAAGAGCTTCAAAAGTCGAACGCCAATTTTTGCAGTAAGGATGCATGATGGAGGTGATGCCGCTTTGGCTCAGTTGCCACATGTTGCCACCTTGACATTTCTGGGCCCAGTCAAGCAATTGATGAATGTCAGTCGACTTGTGAATTCCAGATCATTCCAGTTTCTATGTAACTTTTGCGAATTGGCATGAATTAGCTGTGGAATCATGTGAAAACTACCTGTAAAGAAGCTCAGTCAAGTAGCATTTGTGGATAATCCTTGCCTGTAGGCATCCATGCCCATGTCTACAAATTTCCACCAGTGGAACAGCGAAGCAGGTTCAGCGCCAATTCCACACGAACCAGAGAATCCACAAGTGACCAGTACTAACATAAATTAGGAACTGACGTGCTGGCGGAAAGCCTGAGTATGGCACTCCAATATCAAGAAATCTAGAAGCTCAGAACAAAATAAGATGGGATCGATGAACAAACATAGCCATGGCAATCCTGGCATGGATTCTGCTGATTGGAAGGCGGAACTGGAATGGAAAAATTTGGCGTGTGAATGCTATAATTTCTCCGAGCCGTTGGGTTTCGTGACTGCTTCAAGTTGGAGTTCACGTGATTCACGTGGCTATTTGAGCATATTCTACCGTTTTCTATCGTTAAACTTCGGTCTTTGCAGCTCGCAGGCAATCCACCACTACTTGCAGGCTGAGTTTGGAATCCTTCGCCAGGTGCGTCAAGCTACGTCAAGCTATGTCAAGCTGCAAGCTCTACCAGTTTCTGAGTTGCTCACTGCTCTCGAGTCTTAATACCACTTTTTGACATTTCTTGACACGTAGCCTGACGTGCAGGAACTCTCAGACATTGGTCAGAAGCTAGGCAATGCGAGGCTGGAACTGGCGCAGAGCGCAGGGAGCGCAGGGAGCGCAGCTTTCCTTGTCGAGTAAAACTGTGTCCTTTCTCGTCCTGTAAACATCCAGGACGCAAATGACGGCGTGGCAGAGACCTGCTTGCTTCATCTCAATTCCAAGTTCATCCTCAAAACCCTTTAAAACATCCGAAAACATCCTAAAACATCCCAAAACATCCCAAAACATCCCAAAACATCCGAAAACATCCTAAAACATCCTAAAACATCCCAAAACATCCCAAAACATCCGAAAACATCCTAAAACATCCGAAAACATCCGAAAACATCCTAAAACATCCTAAAACACCTACAATATCCTAAAACATCCCAAAACATCCTAAAATATCCTAAAACATCCTAAAATATCCTAAAACATCCCAAAACATCCTAAAATATCCTAAAACATCCTAAAGTTGCCTTTAAGGTTTTCTGATGTTGTTTGATCTTGTTGTTTCAGGGTCCGTGGCAGGTGGGACACAGAGAAGATGTCAAAGGATGTCTTCCAGCGGCGTGTGCTGCTTCGGTAGCACTTTGAAGTTTCAAGGATTTACTTAGCTAACTTACTGTAACTTACTTAGATGATCTTAGATGGTACAAGACAGAAATATATCACTGCCACACTCTGCCACATGTTGAGTTTGTTTGGGTCCTAGTATGTCCTAGTCTTCCTTGTATCACAATGTTCTACAGTGATAGGGTCCTTGCGCGTTTTGCGCCAAAATTTGGCATCTCCGATTTCTTGCGTCCCGTTGATGTTCATGACAGCTTAAGCACCGGCTTGGATGGTTGGATCTTGACGACCTGAGGAGCAATGCCGTGATGAAACTGGAGAGATCCGACTCCATGCATCGTCCTGTGACCCCAGTCACACGGAGAATTTCCCTCAGCGTCGTGAGCCCACGACTGAGCCCACCCCCGCAAATCGTGCACGTGGAGCACGAGACCGAGAATGACAACTGCAATTTCGATGAGAAAGAAATGAAAGAAACGGAAAATCAATTGACCCGCTTCGATTCTGAAGTGGAGTCTGTTAATGAAGTCGAGACAGAGATCCAACCGGTGATTACCGGGGACGGATTTCCCCACGAGCCCGTCATTGGAGATCTCGTTGGCACCCCATCTCTACCAGGTGCCCTTCACAGTGCCAAACATGTACGCAGGGACGGCAAGTCTCACATATCTTCTCTTGCAAGTTTCAATATGTTTCAATCACTTGAAGATTGTCCAAGTTGTTCGCGGGATCTCATGCTCGCTGTCTTGTAGGCTCTATGCCATCAGAAAGCAAAGACATTTTGACCAAAAAGAATTCAAAAAAGTGGGAACAGGCCAGGGCCTAAGGCACATGGCATGACACAGGTGTCACTGATGGTTCCAATGTGAAGATTGAATAGACCACAATAGATCTTTGAACAACCGTGTGATGATGCAGGCACTTGTCGTGTTTCAATTGACCATTGACCAGCAGTTGGCAGCTTGCAAATCTGCCAGGCAAGCCAAAGGTGGGCAGACAGCATGGAAGGCAGCCAGCAGAAGCTGAACCTATTCGAACACAAAAAAGAGACTTGATCTATCTTGATCTGCCATCTATTAAATATTACTTGATCTCATTTTAATCGCGTTTTGAGGTGTGAACCTGCCTGAATTGTAGTTTGAGATTCGGCAGAGACCGATCGCATCAAAAGCGGCACTTGAACAGTCTCTTTTCGTGCATGGTAGAAATCCTGCCACAGTACTCGAATAGCTGCGTTGTTTGGAGCAGCTGTGCGACAGTCCTCTAGAGTCACTTTCAAGGCAGTTTCATGCAGTGTTTGCATCTCTTGGGCATCTCTTTGGCATCTCTTATCCATGTTTCTTCCTTCGCAGTTTGATCCAGTTTGATCTTGCCCTGAGGAAACCGCAGATGCCTTTGGTCGTGGAATGGGTTTGGTCTCGAGAGCAGAAGATGCCAAGCAAGAGAAATCCTTCTCTTCCAATTTCCACCGCCGGTGCTACAAGGTGGACCATCCAAACGCATCAAAACCCGTTCTGTGTGCAACATGAATTCATGAGCTTTTTTATGCCAGAAGTCAGGCTGAGAAATATTGAGCTTGGCAGGTGGTGACCAGCAATTACTTTGAGCTTTTGACCATCTTTTTGATCTCTTCCAGCGCTCTGCAAATTGGACTTTCGACCAACTGGATGGCGGAAAATTTGGTCGACACGACGTCTTCAGAGCACAGAATCATTGAAGTTGCTGGATTCTCAGTGCCAGTCTGTGCCTGCGCCAATGAGCACTGAGAATCCTCATGAGTTCAGATCAGCTACCTCCAAAGGCAAGCCAACACTATGTCCAGGGGACCATAGGGGACCATAGGGGACCATAGGGGACCATAGGGGACCAATGACAAAAAAACATATAATTCATATATAAATAAATAAATAAATAAATATATATATATTGGATCGAGACAAAGGACTCAACTTGCATCCTGAGAGCCTTTCCTCGTGTCGACTCTAAGATTTACTGCATCATCTTCACTGCTGAGCTGATGCTTCGCCTCACGGCATACCGGTTGGCATTCTTCACACAGGCGCCATGACATCATGAACACCAGAAAGCAGAAGCAGACAGAAGACATCAGACGTGCAAGGAAGTGGTTGAAGTGGGCACTGATAGCCTTGTTGACTCATTCCTTGGGCCGGGCCCCATGTCATCACCTATCATATCTATCATATCTATCATATCTATCATATCTATCATATCTATCATATCTATCATATCTATCATCATCTCAGCATCCGGCAGTATCCGGCAGCATCCGGCGCCACGTCTTACCACGACAATGTGCTTGGCCTATTTTGGCCTTGTGAGGTCGGCTGGGCGTGGAATGTATTCGATCTGCTTCTGGTGGGCGTCCAACTTCTGGAGGAACTTCTCATGGCATTGTCAAGCGGAGGTGACGGTGCGGGCACTGTACAAGGCACTGTAGGAGCTTTGATCCCTGGCTGAACCTGGCTGAACCTGGCTGAAGAGATTTTGATCTCGGCTGTTTCGTTTTTCGATGTTTTTCTCATCTCTCTTTTTGAAATTGTGAAAGCATGTGAAAGCATGTGAGAGCACTGAACAGGGAAAAAGCGGAGTCATTCGAAGTTTTTGTGCTGTTGGTTTGGCGCATCGTTGATTTTCCACTGTTCCAGCTCATTCTCAGAATCTGGCCATTTATTTTCCGTATCAGTTATCAATGTCCAAAACACAGCAAATGGCAAAGGGTAATCAATTTAAAATATTTAAACAGCAAGCACACTGTTTTGGTAATCTATCTAAACATGGTATGTTTTAGTCACTTCTTGTGCAGATCCCTCTGGCCATGAGGCAGCAGATGTCTCCCACCACTTTGCTTCGCATAGCTCGAGTCCTGAGAGCTGTGAGGGTACTTCGTCATTCCCTCAGCCGACAAAAACGCAGTGAAACACAGAAAAATCACAGTAACACACTGCCTTTCTGGGCATCTGCGTTTCGCGTTATCTATATGACATCTAAATATGCATGATACGATGATATGTAATATGTATCTATCTATTTTTATACAGTTATACATATATAATATATGATATGCAGGGATGTTTAGGGTCACAGGCCACGCCAGGAATTCTTCGAATCGCTCTGATGGCGGAGGACCTCCGTCTCCTCGTGAGCTGCTTGCTGTACTGAGCCTCGACAACGAATTCGGCATGGCAAAGTCATGGCTTAAGACCTAAGTTAGGACCTAAGTCACCATCTAAATTTCTAAATGTTCTGCTTCGGTTCGTTGCATTTTGCATTTCGTTTTACGTTTCTATCGTTTCTATCCTGTTGGTATTTCACATTTTTGTTGCAGATTCGCATTATGTTCTATTCATATTTCGGTTTTGGACACATTCTTTGGACACATTCTCCTGTTTAAAACGTTTCAGAGACCGTGACCCAGGTTCAAAGCCGTTCTTTTGGACAGCAGTGTTGCTGGGCCTGATGATATATATTGTAGCCATATATCTGACACAAATTGTATTAGTCTATCGGGTGGAGGGCGACATCGGTGTGAGCTTGAGCTTGGAGCCCTACTTCGGTTCAGTACCACAGCAGGGAGTCCCAGCATGTGTCAGTTACTGTGTCAGCATGCGCCATGTGCACACGCTTCTGCGTTGAAATTGTTTCACTTGGGAAAGTTTGGGGTGTACTTCTTGGTGTTCAAAGCAGACGGCACTGGATATCAATGGACTAGGAAATCACGTTTGATGAAGACCTGAGGTTTAGAATCAATGTTGTCAGATATGGTCAGATGTTGTCACATGTGGTCAGGTGTGGTCAGATGTGGTCAGGTGTGGTCAGATGTTGTCAGATATGGTCAGATGTGGTCAGATGTGGTCAGACGTGGTCACATGTTGTCAGATCTTGTCAGATGTGGTCAGACGTGGTCAGATGTTGTCAGATCTTGTCAGATGTGGTCAGATGTTGTCAGATGTGGTCAGGTGTGGTCAGATGTTGTCAGATATGGTCAGATGTGGTCAGATGTTGTCAGATGTGGTCAGACGTTGTCAGATGTTGTCAGATGTGGTCAGATGTTGTCAGATGTTGTCAGATGTGGTCAGGTGTGGTCAGATGTTGTCAGATATGGTCAGATGTGGTCAGATGTTGTCAGATGTGGTCAGACGTGGTCAGATGTTGTCAGATGTGGTCAGATGTTGTCAGATGTGGTCAGATGTGGTAAGATGTGATCAGATGTGGTCAGGTGTGGTCAGACGTGGTCAGATGTGGTCAGATGTGGTCAGACGTGGTCAGATGTTGTCAGATCTTGTCAGATGTGGTCAGATGTTGTCAGATGTGGTCAGGTGTGGCAAGATGTGATCAGATGTGGTCAGATGTGGTCAGATGTTGTCAGATGTGGTCAGGTGTGGTCAGATGTGGTCAGATGTGGTCAGGTGTGGTCAGGTGTGGTCAGATGTGGTCAGATGTGGTCAGATGTGGTCAGGTGTGGTCAGATGTGGTCAGATGTGGTCAGATGTTGTCAGATGTGGTCAGATGTGGTCAGATGTGGTCAGAGGTTGTCAGATGTGGTCAGATGTTGTCAGATGTGGTCAGGTGTGGTCAGATGTGGTCAGATGTGGTCAGATGTGGTCAGACGTGGTCAGATCTTGTCAGATGTGGTCAGGTGTTGTCAGATGTGGTCAGGTGTGGTAAGATGTGGTCAGATGTGGTCAGATGTTGTCAGATGTGTCAGATGTGGTCAGGTGTTGTCAGATGTGGTCAGGTGTGGTCAGATGTGGTCAGATGTGGTCAGGTGTGGTCAGATGTGGTCAGATGTGGTCAGATGTGGTCAGGTGTGGTCAGATGTGGTCAGGATGTGGTCAGATGTGGTCAGATGTGGTCAGATGTTGTAGATGGGTTCAGATGTGGTCAGGTGTGTCAGGTTGTGGTCGAGTGTCAGATTGTCAGATGTGGTCGATGTTTGTCAGATTGGTTCAGATGTGTCAGATGTGGTCAGATGTGGTCAGATGTGGTCAGACGTGGTCAGATCTTGTCAGATGTGGTCAGGTGTTGTCAGATGTGGTCAGGTGTGGTAAGATGTGATCAGATGTGGTCAGACCTTGTCAGATGTGGTCAGATCTTGTCAGGTGTTGTCAGATGTGGTCAGGTGTGGTCAGATGTGGTCAGATGTGGTCAGGTGTGGTCAGATGTGGTCAGATGTGGTCAGATGTGGTCAGGTGTGGTCAGATGTGGTCAGATGTTGTCAGATGTGGTCAGATGTGGTCAGATGTGGTCAGATGTTGTCAGATGTGGTCAGATGTGGTCAGGTGTGGTCAGATGTGGTCAGATGTTGTCAGATGTGGTCAGATGTGGTCAGGTGTTGTCAGATGTGGTCAGATGTTGTCAGATGTGGTCAGATGTTGTCAGATGTGGTCAGATATTGTCAGATGTGGTCAGATCTGGTCAGGTGTGGTCAGGTGTGGTCAGATGTGTTCAGATGTGGTCAGGTGTTGTCAGATGTGGTCAGATGTGGTCAGGTGTGGTCAGATGTGGTCAGATGTTGTCAGATGTGGTCAGATGTTGTCAGATGTGGTCAGATGTGGTCAGATGTGGTTAGATGTTGTCAGATGTGGTCAGGTGTGGTCAGATGTTGCCATGTGGCCAGGTGTGGTCAGATGTGGTCAGATGTTGTCAGATCTTGTCAGATGTGGTCAGATGTGGTCAGATGTGGTCAGGTGTGGTCAGGTGTGGTCAGATGTGGTCAGATGTGGTCAGATGTGGTCAGATGTTGTCAGGTGTGGTCAAGTGTGGTCAGATGTGGTCAGATGCGGTCAGATGTGGTCAGGTGTGGTCAGGTGTGGTCAGATGTGGTCAGATGTTGTCAGATGTGGTCAGATGTTGTCAGATGTGGTCAGATGTTGTCAGATGTTGTCAGATGTGGTCAGATGTTGTCAGATGTGGTCAGATCTGGTCAGGTGTGGTCAGATGTGGTCAGATGTGGTTAGATGTTGTCAGATGTGGTCAGATGTGGTCAGGTGTGGTCAGATGTGGTCAGATGTGGTCAGATGTGGTCAGGTGTGGTCAGATGTGGCCATGTGGTCAGGTGTGGTCAGATGTGGTCAGATCTTGTCAGATCTTGTCAGATGTGGTCAGATGTGGTCAGATGTGGTCAGGTGTGGTCAGATGTTGCCATGTGGTCAGGTGTGGTCAGATGTGGTCAGATCTTGTCAGATCTTGTCAGATGTGGTCAGATCTTGTCCTGTATTTGGACAATTAGAAGAGGATTGATGTTGGGCTGAAGGATCGGTTACGCCAAGATAATCCAGTGCAGCCAAGGTCCATGCTATCTCTGTTCCAGGGCATGACCGGTGGAATCGACTGGGAGAATATGGTGTTCCTTGGATTGGGACACTGATAACCATCTACATTTTCTAGATATTTCTAGATTCTAAATGAATTGCATTTAGAATCATGCAGTCAAACTTGTTGCCAGTATGGATTTGAGTGTCTCAACGTGTTCGGAATGCTTTTGTAGTCAACAATCAGCAAGACCGATTTGCGAAGTCTCTCAGGACACCGGTCTTCCGAGACATTTCCACTCTAGCAGCTTGGAAGCAGACGCCATCAGACACCTTGAAATACATTTTAGAAGAGTGGAATACAAATAGAAACACATATTTCAGCACAAAATGTCTGAATGTTTTGGAATCAAATTAGTTCCTTTTTTTGGGGGTTCTATAGAGTGCTGCTTTTGGAGTGCTCAGGCTGGCAGCATGCTGGTATTATTCATGGTCTCTTCCTCAGCCATTCAACCTGTTTTGTCTCACCCCACGACAAAGTTCACCCCGCGTCGCCCGCTTTAGCCTTTCTTGTCTGAACGCACCATGCGCACCATCGGTTCAGTTCTCTTGGTCTTCGTTCTTGCAATTCTGTAGTCGTCTTAGAGTATTGAATTGCATTTGATTCAGCGGTCACAGGTGATGCAGTTTTGCCTCATTAGGTTTTGGAGTATCAGAATGTAAATTTGGCCAATGGAGATCACTAGACAGACATATTGGCAGCAGGGAACCCCATGTACCCCTTTGTTTATCTTTGTTTCCGGGGCCGTTCAAAGCTTTGCTGAAGTAGTGATTTTGCATGAGATTTTGCATGTGGTGGCGTTTCGGGGTCTAGGCTTTTGCCATCCTCGGAGTGATGTGCCTCAGCTGATTCTTTTTTGGACGCGTCTTTCCCCTCACTGTCGCAGAGCAACAGAGAAGCATGGGGAGAGAGAGGGGGAGAGAAGGAGAGAAGCAGAGAACATCAAACGATACCAAAGCAACGGCATACCAAAGGTATTCAAAGGTTGTGGCTGGATGTTCTTTTGAAAATTCTTTTGGATGGGATCGGTGAGGATCAAATACCACAAGCAAAGAACTTCAAACATTGCAGTCTTTCACACAGAAAGGTCTAGAAAGCACGAGGAGAGATGTTTTGGAGAGAGCATGACCTGACCGTAAGCAATTTTCCAAGGAATGTGGTGACAGGCACCTTTGCCGTGACCTCAGCACCAGAGAGATGAAATTAGTGACCGCACAAAGTTCAGAGATGTTCAGAGTCTGTGAAGTAGACCGTCAAAGCACCGAGAACTTCACAGAGTGTAGAGATGCAAAGCGCGCACAGCGGCAACGAGATGGACCAAAGTTTGGCAGCCGATTGAGGTGCAAAATGCTATTTGTAGAGCAGAGGAGGTGAAAGACATGCAGAGGGTCGCTGGCCGAAATTGCGGATCTATCCTGCACACGTCCATTCCTATCCTGCAGTCATCAAGATTCGTGGGATTTTTTGAGATGCGACGAATTCTTCAACTTGTTTAGGGTTTAACATGGTTTACCTGTTTCTGTTGTCAATTCGTTTGTCCTTTGAGTCTGGTTTACTGAGGCAATGAAAGCTCGCCGGTTGTTCAAATCGCTTGATGATGACGAAACTGGACAAATTTCCTTCAAAGAGATTCTGAACCACACAAAGGACTGTGGATTCCTTGAGTTTTTACCAGTAGTACCCGCCTTAGGGTTATGCTATAAGACCTTTCTCCTCTATAGAACTTGCATGCGCCGTGCACCAGCCAGGCCCATGCGTGCGTGTTGAATTGCTGTCCAAGAACACGACCTGCGCGCGACCCCGGCGCAATGCAACGCCAAGCAATGCTGTGCGTTCCAAAGCTTAGACTTCACCCTTCACGTTGCAGAACACAGAGGAGGAACCGGTTTGCGCCCGGAATGAACGACCGCAGCCGCACCCGTCGCACACACGAGGCACACAGAAAAACCCAAGGTTTCGCGCTCCAGCTTCCTCCCCAACACAGCCCCCATGCAAAAGTCATGCAGCATGACGTGGCTAACCCACATCTCTCTACGCACATGGCAACAAAACGTGACAACAATCTTGCAGCCATTACACTGCAATCTGCAAGCACAGATTCCAAAACACCCTACAACTCCACGACTAGGTGAACGACCTTTTATTGGCCGTGGTACAATCTGCATTCTGAAATCTCAAAAAAGTGTCTGGCGTTGTGGCGCCGTATCGATTTTGATATCTTAGGTGTGAAAATCAGGGTTTTGGAATTTCACAAAACTACTTTTTTTTGCACATCATGAGCGTGTCTGAAGTTCCAAGAACATGTTAGAAGCGTAGCATCAAGAGCTTGTCTGAAGTCCCAAGAACATGTTAGAAGCGTAGCATCAAGAGCGTGTCTGAAGTTCCAAGAACATGCTAGAAGCGTAGCATCAAGAGCGTGTCTGAAGTTCCAAGAACATGCTAGAAGCGTAGCATCAAGAGCGTGTCTGAAGTTCCAAGAACATGCTAGAAGCGTAGCATCAAGAGCGTGTCTGAAGTTCCAAGAACAAGTTAGAACAAAACAAAGAAGCGCGCGACAAGAACGTTATTACACCCCCCCCCACCCCCCAACCGCAGAAATATACAAAACTGTACGAAAACGCCAAGGGCGTGTGCCTCCGACTACATAAGTAACGTAGCATGAACAATGTCAAAAAACAATTAACGCGGCATGAAAGATGTCAAAAACACATAAAACCACACGGCCAAATAAAGGTCGTGCTCCAACTACACACACATGCACAACCACACGTTGCAGAACACCAAGGGAGAAACGATTCGAGCCCGGCACGACCGCAGCCGCACCCGCCGCGCACACAAGGTACCCTTCATCGCCGCCTGCAGCCACTTTGCTCGAAAAAACACAAGGTTTCGTGCCCCGGTTTCCTCCAACCCAAACCCCATGCAACATTCATGCAGCCACTACAGTCACCACTTCCCAAAGTTGCAACTTACCAAAGTCACCACTTCCCTTAGTCACCACTTCGCAAAGTAACCATATTCCCTTCGTCACCACTTCCCTAGGTCACCACTTCCCTTCGTCACCACCCTTCGTCATAGTCAGCACTTCCCTTGATGTATTGTTATGTTGTTATGTGGTGTAAAGTCTCACACCACCCTTCGTGACGTATTGTTATGTGATGTAAAGCCTAGCACCACCTTTCAAGATGTATTTTTATGTGATGTAAAGTCACTTGAATAAAAGTCATCCGTAACTCGGAAGATTGCTTCCCAACTTCCTTTGATAATAACTTTATACATGAGGCTTGTGGTGGTTGTTTAGTTGTTGATGTGTTTTTGCCCCAGCATATCCAACATCTTTCACTTTCAGTGCTGCTTTCTGTTTTGCATTCTATGAATGGACATTTGCTACAGGCAGAATCCTCAAAAAACATGTGAAGATATTGAAGATTCGAACTCGAACCAGGAAAGACACCATGGAAAGTTGCACTGTGAGTAGTTTTGCCTCAGAACGGTGTTAAAGGCAATGGATGATGCAGTCCACAAACTTGAGGCCAAATTGAAAGCTGCAGTAGAAGTTCTTTCCCAAGCGATGGACATTTAATGGTGGGCTTGAAGTTCGAAACCGAAAAGTACGATCCGCTGATGATTCCGAAAAATGTGGCAAATCGATTTAACAAGAAGTGGAATGCTTGTTTTCAAAAACCTGACTTGTGATGGTTCCATGATCCGTCCTTCAGTTTTTCATTTCCAATATATTCCAATGAAGTTTGCCAGCCCATGCCTTTGACTGGCACGTCTCATGCTCAACCAAAGCATTCTTTCAATTTAAAATCTGTGCCGTCATACCGCAAAATGTGTGGACATGTGTGGGCTCATCTTCGGCCCCTTTTTGTTTTTTTGTTGCAAAGTTTCGGGCTGGAGCCTGTTTTTCCCCACATCTTTGTGTGGGGTTCTTGTTTTTGGTTCTGCACTCCCGCCTCCGGCCCTCCTCCTCCTCCTCCCGCCTCCTCCTCCTCCTACAACTTGCCCACACACAACTTGTCCACACACAACTTGCTCACACACAACTTGTCCACACACAACTTGCTCACACACAACTTGTCCACACACAACTTGCTCACACACAACTTCTCCACACACAACTTGTCCACACACAACTTGCTCACACACAACTTGTCACACACAACTTGTCAACACTCAACTTGTCCTCACACAACTTGTCCACACACATCCTACAACTTGCCCACACAGAACTTGTCCACACACAACTTGCTCACACACAACTTGTCAACACACAACTTGTCCTCACACAACTTGTCCACACACAACTTGTCCACACACAACTTGCTCACACACAACTTGTCCACACAACTTGTCACACACAACTTGTCCACACACAACTTGTCCTCACACAACTTGTCCACACACAACTTCTCCACACACAACTTCTCCACACACAACTTCTCCACACACAACTTGCTCACACACAACTTGTCACACACAACTTGTCCACACACAACTTGTCCTCATACAACTTGTCCACACACAACTTGTCCACCTTCACTTTGCGTGGCAGGCGTGGCACTTGGCGACATGGACCTCCACTTTGCGTGGCATTTTTGCGTGGCAGGCGTGGCACTTGGTGACATCCACCGTCACTTTGCGTCGCAGGCGTGGCACTTGGTGACATCCACTTTGCGTGGCAGGCGTGGCACTGATGGCACTGGGCTGGCTCTGGTGGCGCGCTTGGTTCCCAGATGACGCCGTGGACGCCACGGCTCTTTGCGTGGCAGGCGTGGCGCTCGGCGACATGGACGTGCATCCTGCGTGGCAGGCGTGGGGCTTGGTGACATCTACCTTCGTTTCAGGTGGCAGGCGTGGCACTTCTGGCACTTCTGGCTCTGGGCTGGTTTTAGTGGCACGATTGTCCACACACAACTTGTCACAACCTGTTGCCCACACACAACTTGTCGACATACATTTGTTGCACATGCCAATCCTTCACCATCTCTTTTCAAATTCCCGCGTTTCCCATCCCATCTTTACCTTTCTTTTGCCAGTTATCGGAAGAAGTTGACATGTGGGGTTATCCGGTCCTTTAATTTTCCAGGATTTTTTGGAGTTGGACATAGTCGCGCGCGTTTGAAGTAGACCTTTGCCGCGCTTATATCTCAGGGCTGGAATTGTTCGGAGTTACGCATCAAATAAGCTGAAGCGCTGCTGGCAATCGGAGTCCTTGGAGCCCTGAAAGGAGTTCCAAAAGTTTCGTATCTTGAATCGGCCTCTTGAAAGATCTTGAAAGCGCGTCGAAGGACAGAGAAGTCCTGGCATTCTTCCGGGATTTGGATATTGAGCCAAGCGAGGCCAAGTTCCTCTTTGACATGCTAGCCTCCCGGCCAAACAAGGCACATCACGAACATGTGCAACAAACATTTGCAACATTTGACAAGTCTCTAAGCTTCTCTAAGTCTAAACTTGGCGATGATAAATCAGGAGCATTTCCCTGGTGTCCGGCTGTCAGGTATTAGTTCACCTGGTAGGCACCTGCAGAGGGCTTGTGTTTTTAAGGTCACATGTCAAGATCTGTCAAGGATATTCCCGCACTTAGTTGCATTGAAGGAAACTTCGGATGAAATCTGACCCACTTGATTAGATACGGAGCAGGCGCAGGCTTATGTAGTCGCAGAGGCAGGCGAAAATGAGCGGCTTATGCTTGATGTCGGAATGTCTTTGAACTTAGGACATCAATCAGAGCGGCAGTATTGATTTCGAGGAATTCTTGCTGCTCGGTCCTGCTTGGTTGTTATTCCTTATTATTTCAAGACCGTGAGTTGCAGAACGACCGTGGTGTGGGCGATGAAGTTGCTGCGCAATGCACTGGATTTCAGACATGGCAACCAAACAGCAACTTGGCAAGTCAGGAACGGTTGCATTCGACTGCAAGGGAGTGCGAAGGACTCTTGGCGGGAAGAGTGAGGGAAGGTCAAGCATGGTCAAGCATGGTCCTGCGTGGTTAAACCCATGGTCAAGCCCATGTTCAAACATGTTCAAACATGTTCAAACTGCGATTTGTCATCTTTGTATCACATGCTATCACATCTGTAAGGAAATTTGCTAACAGCTGCTAACATGTGTATGTGTACATGTGCGTACTAATAGTATATGCGTAGTAATAGTATGATTCGCGCGCCAGGCGATTGATATGCTGGTGGTGACTCGAGAGACCAGACTGGCTTTTGAGCAGCTCTCTGGCCACATGCGACGATTTCAGGTGGGAAGTGTTTGGTTTTCCGATGTTTTCCTTTTCAGCTTCAAGTCCTTCAGATCGTGATCTCAATGAAATCTCAAGTTTGAACGGTAGATTTGTGTAGATTTATGGTAGATATATGATATGAGATATGTATAGATATGATAGATTTGAAATCTAAATGAGATGGGCCAAACCGAGACGCGCAACACGGATCTCGCAACACGGATCTCGCAGGCAGAGCTTTCAATCCTGACGGAAAAACTCATGGGGTGGAAGCGGCAGGAATCCTAGGGAATCCTCCTGCGGAGGGTTTCCAATGGAATTCCAATGATTTCCAAAATGTCAAAAAAAAGACTAGTCAAAAAGGCCATAGATAGAGATGGCAAGGGTGTTTATTTCAACACGGTCAATTCAGCTGAGCTGCTGTCCAAAGTCTCAAAAGTCCGGCGGTTTTTGCATCCACCTGGCCGGATGTTTTGATGTCACTGCTGTGACTGCTCCAAACCTGGACTGGTCTACTAATCACAGCATGTATCATAGAAGGAAATTTAGAACTCAAACTTCCGACAATATGTACAGATGGAAAAGCAGAGGTGGGAAGACTCAGAGAAGAGAAGAGAAGAAGAGAGAAGATCAGAGAAGAGAAAGAGTCAGAAGAAAGGAGATGCAGGTGCGCGAAAAGGTGGAAAGTGGCGATTCCCTGTGTTTTTCTCATGATTTGTGGCCCCGGAGGGTTGAAAAGTAGGCTCGCTAAAGCGGTGGGTGCGGAGCCACCTGGCCAGATGAGAGAGGAAAAATTGCACGCCGTTGTGGCGCGAAGCACTCCGCGTTCAGAGCATTTTTGGAAGTTGAGATGTCGAAAAAGTGCATGCCGTTGCGGCGCAAAGCACATTGCGAAGTCAAAATGTACAAACCACTTTTGGAAGTTGCCATGTCAAAAAAGTGCACGCCGTTGTGGCGCGAAGCACGTTTCCAAGTCAAAATGTACAAAGCACCTCAGTGTCGGACCACTTTTGGAAGTTGAGATATCGAAAAGGTGCACGCCGTTCTGGTGCGAAGCACATTTCCAAGTGAAAATTCTAAAAACACCACATGTTCGCGCCACTTTTGGACGTTGAAGCGTCGTTTTGTGTGGCAGGCGCCAGGGATTCTGCACCTTTCCAAAAGTGAGCAAAACGGGAGGGTTTTGTAGCATTTCCAAAAACGATGGCAGTCATGGGACATTTCAAGAAGCTCTGCAAAGATGCATTTCGTGTGGCAGGCGCGGTACAAGAGACATGTTCATCAGAGATGTTAGGAGGTTAGGGCGCTGATTTCCTGAGAGGGTTGCATTTTGGAGCATCAGATCTTCAGGTTTGCTAAGATGATTTTGCGTGACAGGCGCAGCACTTCGTATGACCTGGCATCACTTTTTCGTGGCAGGCGCAGCGCTTACACAGATAGAATGGAAAAATCGTAAAACGCATTGGCACGAGGCCGTCAGCTCTGCACTCAATTTTCCATGTTCGAAGGAAATCTCGCAGAACTGCTTCGTTTTTGATGTTGTCAACTTCCAAAATTGAGGAAGTCTCGCAGAATTGCTTCGTTTTGATGTTGTCAAGTTGGAAAATTGTGGATGTCTCGCTGAATTGCTGCGTTTTTGATGTTGCCAACTTCGAAAATGGAGGAAAATCTCGCAGAATAGTTTCATTTTCAATCTTGCAGGTAGACAGATAGATAGATAGACAATTACAACTACAACTACAGCTACAACTGGAACTACACTACATTACGCTACATTACACTAATTACACTACACTACACTACACTACAGCTACAATGTTACAACTACAACTACACAGTCACTACACTACACTACACTAAATACACTACACTACGCTAATTTCACTTCACTACAACTACAACTGCAACTACAACTACATGACACTACACTACACTAAACTACACTACATTAACTACAACTACAACGACAGCTACAACTACAACTACAACTACAACAACTCTACACCACACTAGACTACATTACACCATTCTACACCACAGTACGCAACACAACAGTACACTACACTATGCTACATTACGCTACACTAATTTCACCACAACTACAACTGCAACTGCAGCTACAACTACAACTACAGCTGCGCTACAGCACACTACATCCAGCAGTTTTGGGTGAGGTGACCACTGCAACCATTGCTAGCATTCCAAAAAACATAACTCCGACAACCTTTCAGTCCATCAGTGGATTTGCTCTGCCATCCATGCATCACAACAACCCACCTCTCCTATAGTGTCCTATCTTTGAAACTTCCGCCACCGCCTTGTGCGGCACTACTGGTATGCATCGAGGACAACTTCAGACAATTTCAGACAATGTTGATGACAGGAGGCTTAGTATGTTTTCCATTAGTGAACGTTGCTGCTGTTGTTTTTGACACAGCTCAGTGTTTCAAAATACCGAATTGACTGAGTTGGTTGCAGCATTTAATTCTGTTTAATTCATGATTTTCAATCCAACGTTTTTCGTGCTTCCAAAGGAAGCAAGCGGCATACCCAAAGCCCGGAACACCTGAGGTGAAGCATGGCTCCAGAAAAGATGTTCCGAAACTGAAGCAGGCGAACAGGCGAACAGGCGAACAGGCGAACAGGCGAACAGGCGGCAGGTGCAAAGATGTGCCATGATGTGCCATGATGTGCCATGTGCAAAGTGAGAACGAAGTGGCAGAACCAACTGCAAAACCAGCCGCACACAGCTCTCGGATCTTCTCGGATCTTCTCGGGCTCAAGATCTGACAGCTGGGCACTGGGCGCGGAGTTACAAGGCGGGAGTTAAACCAATTTTTGTTTGGCCAAAAAACGAAGATAACGATAGGTATATTTGAAATATTCATCAGATATATCACTGATGTCATCTTGAGATATACAATAGCTGATGATACGCTAATAACATTAAGGAAGGATCTTACATCTGAGACTGATCTACATTTGAAACAGCTGCTAACCACACAGGTGAAGTGAGATACACATCTGATGATGACTAGTGATGACGAGTGACTTGGGAGATTTCACTGTGCAATCTGCAACACGTCCATCATGTCCTCATTTTTGCTTCCCTGGAAGGTCCGTGGCCGTACACCATGACGGAAATGGATGGAGTCATCAGGGAGCACGAGGTGGGTCTTACTAGTGACATGATTTTTGAATGTTGAAGGGCGTCATTCTAGATTTCTTAGGTTTACGGAAATTCACCTGGTTCGACCTGGTTCGACCTGCTTCAACGCACCATTGTTTCGTTGCTGGCATTGCTGGTTTGCGGCCTAGGTCTACTTTGCCACCTTGGCGGAGCAGGCTGAGCGCTATGACGAGATGGCGGAACACATGAAGTCAGCCGAAGCCCCGGATCACTTGGATCACTTGGATCACTTGGATCACTTGGATCACTTGGCACATCGCACCTTCGATATCTTCGATCTTGCAGCGCACAAACAAACAACGTCCGTGTGTCAGCGTCAGCGTGTCTGCAGATGAAGTGGTTTGCACCAGGAATCAGAGAGAATCATGGAATCAATGGAAAATCGAGAGATATCGAGAGTCACAGAGAATCAGAATCGATCCACGTCTTGGTGTTTTGTGTTTTTTGATGTTTCCAACATCTCCAAGGCTGCTTTGTTTGAGCAAGAGTTGGATGCTGAGGACTTTGCCACACAACCCACAGACGTTGACGGACATTAATCACATTGGATAGCGAAATGGAATGCGAATGGATAAATATGGATAAATCATGATAAATATTGATAAATCGTGTTTAAATCGGTTGTTTTCTGCACTTGTTTTTTCATTATTACCGACAGAGTGTCCACTTGCTACCTCAAGACTTACTGACAGACTGCACCTAGTCCTTGTACTTGCCACAATTTGCCACATTGTGATATAGCCTGTCTTGAACAGGCTGAGGTATGTCTGTACTGCATTGCTGCATTGTGTAGTCAAGAACGTCTAGACCTTCTGACTCGAGAATAAGAAGTGACAAGTCTGACAAGTTGCATGGTGACCTGCCAGGTCAGGTATATCACAGTATATCACAGTATATCACAGTATATCACAGTATATCACAGTATATCAGGTATATCAGGTATGATGTTGACATAGGTTGACCTCACCCTTCACGGATCTTCACGGATCTTCGCAGCGTCACAGGAGCGAAATCTACTTGCAGTTGCTTTCAAGCAAGCCGCCAACAGCTCAACTGGCCGAAGGAATTTGCAATCTGGTCAACCGATGGTCAACCGACAAGACTGTTTCTTTTTCAATGCAGCATAGCCATTCAGAGGGTGTGAGAAAGCAGTCCGTGGTGCATTTGAGCTGCCCTTTCTTGTCATCCTTCAATAGCTGCAATTTGTCATTCCTTGTGCCCCAATTCTCTATGTCACGTAGAAATCTGTAGAACTCTTGCTCTCTGGCACCAAATGGCAGCAATGTTGGTAACGCTGCTGTCACCGATTCAATGACCGGTTCAGTTGGGTGCTGCCATGTCCTGTCGATTGCATGTCATCGTTGCCGGTGGGCAAAGGATGCCATTGTTTGATTTCTTTTGTGCTGTGAATCCTGTGAAAGTTGAATTCACAATCAGATTCGTGAGCAATGAAGTGACTACAATCACCTCCAATCATCAGACAATCATCTACAATCCTTACCAAGTCTTTGTTTTCCTTCATTTGCCAGCCATTTGCCAGCCATTTCTAGATATGTCATGAAGTGCTACGGTGCTACGGTGCTACGGTGCACGACACTGCCCGGCGTTGGGGGTGTTGACCGAGTCGTCTCGAGTCGTCTCGAGTCTCGAGTCGAGGTTGGCCAACGCAGATGTGCCTGGCGCATCGTCTGCGCCGCAGAACAGGAGGAGCAGGTCGCGAAGACATCGCAAAGACCGACATCGGTTTTTTTCACCGACATGGGTTTTCGGTCAAGATTGTGTCAGCAGATGTCGGTGATTGTTTGGCAAAGCTTCAGAACATTTCAGAACTCTTGAGCAAAAGTTTCTCCAAAACCTTTTCCAAGACAGACATACAGACATAGCCTGCTGATTCAAAATTGTGATGTTTTTCACGTGACATTGCCTTAGAAAGCTTCTGCAAAGCTGGTGCAACAGAACTTAAGCAAACATATTGACATGCACTGACATACACTGACATACACTCTTGTTGCATCAAACTGGACCGAAGTTGTTTGCATCCGCCATCTATTTGGAGTGAAACATACGTGCCATACGTGCGCCAGGCAAAAGGAAACCACATGACCACAGCCAGTGCTCGTGGTTACCGAAAAAAGGCACCTTGGGAAGCTTTGTGATGCGGTATATGCAATGCCTAAGTCACCATGGACACAGGGTAGAAGGCAATATGGGTACAGGTACAAATGTTTGAGTCTCAAGCACTGTGAATTTTCGGAACGATCACTTGAGAGCACTGTGTAAGTCCAGTAAACAACTTATTAACATTTATTAACAAACTATTTAATGAATTTAATGATTATGGTGTTTGGAATTGTCTAGGCGTCAAAGCTTTCCGTGTTTTCCCATGTCTGGTGATTTCCACCGCAAGTCCTGCCAGATTGAAGCAGAGCTCACGAGCCTTTGCCAAACGATCCTGGTCAGCCGGCAGATTTCAACATGTTTCAACATGTTTCAACTATGAACATGCCAAACATTGCCAAACAGCAGTAAGAAACATAAGAAACACAGTGTGTTATGACTAACCCCATGTTGTCCATGCATTTAGCTTTAAGAAACAAACCACTCAGCATCTGTTTGTTTCAAAAAGGTTCATGGAAATTTCAGGCTGACACCATTCATATTACAGGGAGAATATGGATGGCGACTTGTGATATTTTGTGACACAGAAGCCATACAGAAACCATCAGAAACCTCTTTGGTCCTTAAGTCATATATAGATCATGCATATCATACATAAAGTCATGGCAGATCATGGCAGATCATGGCAGAAAATGTCACGTTCTGTCCCATGGTCCCAGAAATTCAGCGGATTCCCCAGAAAACCCCAGAAAATCCCAGGTCTTCCGGTTTCTGCCCGTGGCACCCCGTGGCATCCCGTGGCGCAACGGTGCCAGGCTTTGCTGACGGACAAACTGATCCCCGGCGCGACCACGGCCGAGGCGAAGGCACGCGAGAAACTCTGGAGAGATCTCTCTGGAGAGAACCAAAAGTTAGCATCAAACTAGATCAACTATCAACTTAAGGAAATGGCCACGAAATTGGATGAAATCGGGTAAACTAGTAGTAACATGTAGTAACATGTAGTATTCTCCCATATTTTGATGCATTACACTGCATGGCATCGTTTTGTCCAGCTCAGCGCCGCTGCTCCATTCGTGGGTCGGAGAGCGCCATGAAATCCATGAAATTGGACATTCCTTTGAACGATGCTGAACGATGCTGAACGTGCATGTCCATCATATGTTGATCATATGTTGATCATATGTTGATCATATGTTGATCGTATGTTGATCGTATGTTGATCATATGTTGATCATATGTTGATCATATGTTGATCATATGTTGATCATATGTTGATCATATGTTGATCATATGTTGATCGTATGTGGATCATATGTTGATCATATGTTGATCATATGTTGATCATATGTTGATCATATGTTGATCATATGTTGATCATATGTTGATCGTATGTTGATCATATGTTGATCGTATGTTGATCATATGTTGATCATATGTTGATCATATGTTGATCATATGTTGATCATATGTTGATCATATGTTGATCGTATGTTGATCATATGTTGATCGTATGTTGATCATATGTTGATCATATGTTGATCGTATGTGGATCATATGTTGATCATATGTTGATCATATGTTGATCATATGTTGATCATATGTTGATCATATGTGGATCGTATGTGGATCATATGTTGATCATATGTTGATCATATGTGGATCATATGTTGATCATATGTTGATCATATGTTGATCATATGTTGATCGTATGTTGATCATATGTTGATCATATGTGGATCATATGTTGATCATATGTTGATCATATGTTGATCGTATGTGGATCATATGTTGATCATATGTTGATCATATGTTGATCATATGTTGATCATATGTTGATCATATGTTGATCATATGTTGATCATATGTTGATCATATGTTGATCATGTTGTCTCAGGTCTCAAAGCAAGGGCACAGGGTGACTACTACAGGCCACTGCAAAACCTCTGTTTTGTGTCCGTTTGTGACCCGGATCGCTATGGACCAATCATGGACAGTGTCTCCATGTGTCTCAGGTACATGGCAGAAATCAACGATGACATGGACCGCACAAGAGCCACCACTGCCGCCAAAGCAGCGTATGAGGTGGCTGAGAGAAAAATGAGAAAAGGTGAAAGCATGGTGAAATCATTGCATCAGGTATCAGATACAACTTGAAACTTGCATCATCACAACTTGAATATACTTGAAACAGAAAAGGCAACACGGAGTTCAAAAATAGGTTTCCAATCATTTCCAATCAGATGTGTTTTATTTGACGATTTTGACGCTTGGAAAACACAGCATTTGGCGATTTGGAGTGCTCCAGGATGGCACCAAAGTGGCCGAGACCTCACTGAAGGTGACAAGCCCTTTTCGTTTAGGACTCGTCCGACCCCAAGAACTGCATCCTACCACGACCACATCTATACAATATCTATACAATATCTATACAATATCTTACCACCTGCAAAATACACACAGGCCATGCTTCATCACCGTACTGTTCATTAATGCTTTGGCTGTATGCTATCAGCGAAACAATACTTCCAGCGTCTGGATTGAAATAGATCGAAATGTACCAAACGCAGAAGAGAACAGAGGCAAGGCACACTTCCTTGCACTCAAAATTTGGCAGACGCGCATTTTTTGCAGCGTCTGTTTGCAAATGTTTGTGAATGAGGCTTTGAATCATGCCGTGTTTTACTACGAGGCCAGAAGCTATCAGGACAAGACAAATGAATACAAATGAGACAATTGATAAAATGTTCAACAATACTTTGAGTATCTTTGAGTCTTGGAGAGTTCGCCCGGAAACATCTCGGAATCTGTATGAATCATCATGAATCTAGGCGCTGGAAACTTTCGAAGTGTGCAAAGTAAGGAGAGGTATAGAGGTCTATACACGACCATACACGATAGCATCAATAGCTCAGATTCGGAGAAATATGAGAAATGAGATGAAATGAGGTTGCTATGGCAGCTATGGTTCTGTTATGCATGGGATTACGCTTGCTGCGCTTGTGCGGCTCAAGTTGATCCTGTGAGGTGAGGTTTCTTTGAAGCTGTCGATGTCAAGAGATGTCAAGAGTCAAGACACCCACGTTGTGTTTCCAAGTTCTTTCCACGTTGTGCTGGGAAACCTCAACATTCTCAACGTGCAAAGCACTCGAACACAGTGCCCACGGCATCCGGGATGACATCCGGGATGAACACGTGCGGACGGATGGGACGCACGGGATGCATCTTTGTCACCTCCCAGGCCGAAAAACTGGGGAAATCCTGACTCTGGCGGTGATGATGTAGATAATTGTAGATATAATCAAAATTGGTGAAATAAATTGACATAGTATAAAAATATGAATACATATGAATAAATATGATCAGATATGATAAGATCATCTTCTGGAAATCAATGTAAAAAGAAAAAGTCGAAACATGGTCAAAACATTGCGAAAAACCAGGACCTCAATGTTTCGACTCCCGGTAGGCTGCCGTGAGGCAAAGACTTCCACAGAGGCCGTCTGGATTGTCTGGATTCTACTCACACCTCCCAGTCCATGATGCCGCATATGTTATGCATATGTTACATATGTTCTATATCTTATGGTTGAGATATGGTTGTTATGGATTGGATATGGTTGGATGGCGAAGATGTCCTCTTTACATTTTTTTACCTTTTTGCTTTGGCTTGAATAGAGAAGATTGATGTTAGCGGACAAGCACAGATGCAAGTCATGAAACTGGAAGAGTGTTGCATCATGGTAAGATTTAAAATGTGACAACAGGACTTGGAAAGATGGGTGTTTAGCCGGCGTTTAACACGTTAGGACTTTCTCACCAGTTTTTCTGTTGTTCCCCCGAGGGCCTGCAAAGCGCAACTGGATCCGCATGCACTTCGTGTATTTGTCAAGTTGGACGCTGTGAACAAGGACCTGCAAAAATGGATGGGCACTGGACTCTGCTTCTGTGCACTGTAGGTCCACTTGCAGGTGTTTTAAATTGCATGGAAAGCCTTGACCAAATTGTAATTGTATATATACTTATATATAATATATATATATATCATGGGACGGTATGTGTTTTGATGCTTTTTTTGACACCCTGATAGAACTTGTCAGGATTGTCATAGCTGGAAACAGGAGAAATTCATCGCCCCATGTCACCATGTCACCTGGAATTGGGTTATGTTGGTTACCCCAGCCATAGGGTGCCTGGATTTGAGATGTTTTCCAGGTGTTACAGTGCGTTCCGGATGAAGATGTCACCCATCTTACATGCCTGGGTCCCTATGTCATCTTAACAGATTGAAAGTGATCGATTCGTCGATAAGAGAACATTGCATGAAATTGCCAAGCGCGTTGATGGTCAAATCGGTCAAATCGGTCAAATTGGAAACACGGCTGCTCTGCCAAGTGCTCGCTAGTGATGGACGACATTTGGACTAGAGATGCTTTACTCGAGCGATGGTGAAGAGCTTCGGCAGTTAAGAAAATGTTAAGAATTGATTTAAGAAGTGTGTCTTGTCATGTGATTTCATGTGATTTCCTCACTGTGGGTCATCTCGACACATCTCATCTGCTTTCTCTTCTTCTAAACCTAGCATCGCAACGTGAGCTAATGCTGCTCTTGGAAGCATTCGATGAAATTCGATGTGATTCAGAAATTCTGGCAGGACAAGTTGGTGCAGTGGCTCCAACAGGCGATGAACACAGAGAGTTTGTCGTTGGACCGAAGCAACCAGAGTCGGCACCAAACTGAACAAAGATCCGTAGACTCCGTAGACTCCGTAGAGGCTTAGAGATACCCTCTGATAAACTAACATAGCCATGGAAAATCACTATTTTTAATGGGTAAATCCACTATTTCTATGGCCATTTTCAATAGTTTTTTGTATGTTTACCAGAGGCTACTGACATTGACTATATTGACTGGTGAAGGCTTCGAAGGGTCGGATCATGACGGATCGGCGTTGTGTTGTCCAGGTGATAGCAGTGGTGGCCATCCTCGTTTTTGCTGTGCAACGCAGACCCGTTTCTGGCCAGGGCGCCTTGAAGTGCACACAGGCGCCCAAAAAAAATCATCGTCCATGATCTGTGTTGCATCATGTTGCATCTAATGATTCCGAAAATGTCATAGACATTTGCACCAATCGGGCCATGTATTTCAACAATGCTGCATCGCTTTTCTTTCTCTCAACTTCTCTTTTCTCACCCTTGTGAATCACGTCTTCGCGATGGCCCTATGGCCCTATGGCCCTTTTCCTGGCTATCTCTGAATTCCTTCTTTTCCTGGCTCTCTGATGTTTAGAAAAGATGTTTATTCTCCAACAATAGGCATAAGTCGGTATAAGCGCTGTGTGGCTCTGGCCGAGGTAAGCCTGTTGCAGAGCTTACCGCAAAAATCGCAGGCGTGCACGGAGAGAACAACACGGGTTCGGGTATTGCCATGACTGCAGTTCCCTCTTTCAGTTTCTTTCAGTTTCTTTCATTTTCTCTCGGAAAAAAAACTATAAGGAAGTAAATGCAATTGAATGTCATACTTCTTAGCTTTAGTGTGTCCGTTTTTATTCAATGTTGATACATGTTGATACTTGGCTCAGGAAACATCAGGAAACAAGCGGAATTCTTGTCAGACTTTGGGCTGGCTCCAGGTGCTGGTGTAGCACGGGAGAACATCAAGATTTTCACGACAGAGACATTCTCCGAAGTGGCGCCAGATGCCTTCCTCACACTTCTCTTTAGCAAATATGCTGGAAGGAGGCATGGAAACGCGGCTGGAACATGTTCGAAGGAAACCATTGAACATTTCGTTAATTGATGTTGCTTGATGTTAATTGTAATACAGGTATTATTATTACGTAGTGGCTATTATATGGCTATTATATCTATGATATGCATCATGTAGTAGACTAGATACACATATACACACAGTCGATGCGTCGATGCACATACGTTGATGGATATATATATATATACATACGTATATGATATATGTGTGTATGCAGACACATGACAGGTCCAGTTTCGTGTTTGACTCTTAAGCGCCCCAACTTTCGTCCGTTGGAAGGAACTACTTGATCACAGAGACGGCCGAGACGCCCCGGCGCCGCTGGTTCGAAGAGCTCCTTGCCCTGACGCCGACAAACCAAGTGACGGTTTGGCTGGGAAGCGACTTCCAAGTGCAGGGCCGGACCAAGAAAAAGTGAGGACATCTGAGGGCCAGTGTTCAATACATGTCAAATTTCTGTCAAATGTCAGCAACCACTGTCAGATTGGAGACGCAGGGAATCCTTGGAGATCCGGGATTCGTCTCGGCAGCAAATCCACTTGATGCTTGACGCGGCGTGACGCGTCCATGTTGGCGATCCGTGTGATCCATGTGATCCGTAGGCACTGCGACCAGTCGAAATCAGTCAACCCGACCAGTCTGTGTCCATGCGACTTGGGATAGGACCAAAGTGAGCAATGGACGAAACCATACGAAACCACTTTGCGAAGATGCTCAACGCTTGCTGAGCTGAGCCATGCTGAGCCATGCTGAGCCCTGTGGAAGTAGGAAATGGTGGGAATCACTTCAATCTGAGAAAAAGTGCAGAAAAAAACGGTTCATGTGCATTTGTCAGCAACATGTCAGCAACATGTCAGCATGCACACGTCGATTTGGCAAATCACCCATCCAACTTGCTCTCCAAATCTTTCTTGTGATCATAGTTTCATGATATTTCATGATGTTTCATGTGATCCAGGAGTGAAGTCTCCGCTTGTGATTCATATCCTGAAATTGCTGAGTTTCAAGATGTTTTTCTGTTTCAATGCCGGGCACCTTGGCGAACTTGGCGAGGTGATGAATGCTCCAACAGAAGCTGTGCGGATCGGCCGAAAGGCGCGAAAAGATGCAGAATGGCAGGCCCAGAAAGCCAGAAAGCGCTCGGTGCTGATTGTTGCCAGGCCTTTGAGGATGCAGTCCGAGAGATAGACAATCTTGGAGAAGAAGGGGCAAAGGAGATCCAGAAATTCTAGAAATCGCTTCGAGCTGAAAGATGAAAGTCGTTTTCCATGCGGAAATGGTGCCCAGAATGGCGCAGCGTTGCAGCATGTTGCAGCATGTTGCAGCATGTTGCAGCATGATCACACAGATTCACACGGTGATTTCGAGATCTTTCGAATTTCGCACACCGTGTGATGTCTGTGTCCTCCCAGGAGTCTGCGTTGGTGATGCAGCTGCTCCGAGACAACATCACTCTGTGGACCGGCGCCGTGTCTTTCGTGGTGGATCTTGGTGGCTTGAATTGGCAATACAAAACCATACAAAACCATACAAAACTTACAACATGTCACAACATGTCACAACATGTCACAACAATTTTGGGAATCTTTGTCACAACATTGATCTTTGTAAGGCTTCTTTTCATGCCTTTTCATGCCTTTTCTTCCATTTGCGAAGTGTCTTTTCGAGTCTTGTCGTTTGCAGGACATCAGATCCCAGCTGATGACTCAACATGTTTCACCGCTGTGCTGAGCCTCGATGCTCTTGCTTCACATATCTCAGAAGTCCTTACAAAGATCAATGAAGGGTACTACATCATACTACATAGTAGAATTGTATAGATTATTAGATTTATAGGTGTATCTTTATTCTGCCATATATTATGATCTACAAATGTCATACATTTCTCCACCCTGTGGTCTATTTGTCATGACATAAGTTCGACCCATGTCATGTTGTGCATGGCCTTCAGTTGACGCGATGTTTGCATCGATGCATCGATGCCAGTATAGCGAGGGCAGGAGCTCAAAGCTAGTGCCTACATGCCTCGCAATGCCTTGCACATGCGTCGCACGTGCATGCCTTCGTGTCGTTCATGACCGTGACTTCCAGTGACAGAGGTACGTTGCGGAAAACCAACATAAACCAACAGTTCATTGACGACATGGGAGAAGCATGGAGAAGCTGGAAAGCAGAAAGCAACCAATATTCGGCCAATTAAGCAATAGTGAACCATTGGTCCAAGTTCTGCAGAGCATGGTGAGCACAGACAGTTCTTCAAACCACAGACTTGATAAATCAAAGCTTTCTTTGGGGGTCAGAAGAGCGGTAGCTGCAAAGTCGGGTTTGCATAACATACTTATCACTTATCATCACTTATCAATCCTCGACATTCAATAGGCACCCCAGGACCTAGATTTGATGCACTCCACCAGATGTGTACATTTCATTGGCACACCTTTGTTTTGAAAACGACCCTTGGAAAATTTGGAATGGCTCTTGCTTCTTTTTATTAGTTTTTTGTATTTTCCTATCTGCGCTCCTTCGTCTTAGAGTTGGCTCTGAGCAAAGTCGGCCACGGCTATCGACCGTCGCAGGTGCCTTGATCTCGACCGTTCGATGGGCTTAGACTGTCGATGAATGTCGATTCAAACATACTGAGTTGCTATTTCTGATAAATAAAAGATAGTTTTTGGATCATTTCAGGATAGGAAGTTGGACGCCTTTGTGTCAATATCTACAGAGTAGACTTATCAGTGGACTTTTGAGAATCTACTATAGTAACTACTATAGTAACTATACTATATAATATATATATATATCTAATTATCATATCTACTTCAACCTTGTCATAAAATGCCTTTCACCTCCTCGGGTTCTCGATGTTCTCGGGTTGACCTGGCCATCCTGGCCGTGCAGGTGGACCATGTCTCATCGCAAGTTCGAACGTCCACGCCATGGTTCCTTGGGCTTTTTGCCCAGGAAGAGGACCAAGTGTCTTGGCCGAGATAGTTCAGAAGTGTTCTGAATGTTCAGACACCCGATGAGATACCTTCGATAACATGCGATAACCGTCGATAACCGTCGATAACCGTCGATAACCGTCGATAAATCAGAATGAAGCTGGAAGTCGGGATGTGCAATACTTGACACTGGCATGTTTGATGCGCTTTGTGCTTTTTGCGTGTTGAATCTGGTACTCATATGTTTGAGTCACATTCTTGATTCTTCATGCGGAAATTAGACAGGTGCCCTGTATGAGCATTGTGAGCGTCAGAGTTTCAACATGTTTGAAGCTGCTTGAAGCTGCTTGAAATGTAAGGCACCATCACGGCAAGATCAAGAGCTTCCCCAAAGATGACCAGTCCAAGGCGCCACATTTGACCGCTTTCATGAGCTACAAGGCAGGCATGACGCATATTGTGCGAGAGGTGGACCGACCTGGCTCCAAGTTGAACAAGAAGGAGATTGTTGAGCCAGTGACCATCTTGGAGACTCCTCCAATGATTGTGGTTGGTTTTGTGGGCTACGTTGAGACCCCCCGGGGTCTTCGTGCCTTGACTTCCGTTTGGGCAGGCCACCTTTCTGAGGAGTGCAAGCGTCGCTTCTACAAGTCTTGGCAAAAATCCAAGCAGAAGGCCTTCACCAAGTACCAGAAGCGATGGAGCGAGGACAGCAAGGAGGGCACTCCTATGCAAGCTGAAGTCGAAAGGGCCAAGAAGTACTGCCAGGTGATCCGTGCTATTTGCCACACTCAGGTTGGCAAGGCAAAGATCGGACAGAAGAAGGCCCACATCAAGGAGATTCAGGTGAACGGTGGTACCACAGAGGCCAAGGTGGATTTTGCCATGGGCTTGTTCGAACAGGAGGTGAAGATCGACTCGTGCTTCAGTCAGGATGAGATGATCGATGTGATCGGTACTACCAAGGGTAAGGGTTTCAACGGTGTGGTGACCCGATGGGGCGTCACTCGTTTGATGCGCAAGACACACCGTGGTCTCCGAAAGGTGGCATGCATTGGCTCCTGGCACCCTGCTCGTGTGTCCTTCCAAGTGCCTCGATCAGGTCAGCGGGGCTATCATCATCGTACTGAAATCAACAAGAAGATTTACCGCGTTGGTAAAAATTTGAAGGATGATCCTGTGAATGCCAAGACGGAGAACGATCTCACCGAGAAGCCCATCACCCCAATGGGTGGCTTCTCTCACTACGGTGAAGTGAACGAGGACTGGGTGATGCTGAAGGGCACCGTGATGGGTCCCCGCAAGCGCGTCATCACCCTCCGCAAGTCCCTCTTGCCTCAGGTTACCCGAAAGGCTTTGGAGAAGGTGACCTTGAAATTCATTGACACCTCCTCCAAGTTCGGACATGGTCGCTTCCAAACCAGTGAGGAGAAGGCCAAATTCTATGGAAACGTGCAGAAGAAGGCCAAGACTGAGGCAAAAGAGGACGCCTGAGATGCGTCAGAAACCTGAGAGATGCCTGATGAGCGTGCCTGCGTCGAAAGAAAAAGAGCTCTTGGTATTAAGAAATGTCCAAAACCCGACCCCCCGACCCCCCCCGACCCTCCAATGCTCCCAATAACATGGAGTGAAGACTTTTGTTAACTGTTCTGCTTTGCTTTTCTATCTAACAGGACTCAAAATGTTGTTCCACCAACCTATTGAAGTTCTGGGCTGCTCCGATGGATAGTTCCTTTGCCGCAATGGGGCTGACCACATGTCAAGACTTGGTGCGATACCTGTTTTGGGTCGCTGGAAATCGTCCCCAGATCGGTGAAAAGATCTGGCAATTGCAATGTGTATACAGGATGGGGGCTTGGGCTGTTGATGCTGTTGCATGCTGTTGCAGCCTGTTGACATGTGCTGACTTCTCCTTTGCTGCAAGGGTTTTCGGTTCAGGCACTGTACTAGCCATGTCTCATCGCAAGTTCGAACGTCCACGCCATGGTTCCTTGGGCTTTTTGCCCAGGAAGAGGACCAAGTGTCTTGGCCGAGATAGTTCAGAAGTGTTCTGAATGTTCAGACACCCGATGAGAACCTTCGATAACATGCGATAACCGTCGATAACCGTTGATAACCGTCGATAAATCAGAATGAAGCTGGAAGTCGGGATGTGCAATACTTGACACTGGCATGTTTGATGCGCTTTGTGCTTTTTGCGTGTTGAATCTGGTACTCATATGTTTGAGTCACATTCTTGATTCTTCATGCGGAAATTAGACAGGTGCCCTGTATGAGCATTGTGAGCGTCAGAGTTTCAACATGTTTGAAGCTGCTTGAAGCTGCTTGAAATGTAAGGCACCATCACGGCAAGATCAAGAGCTTCCCCAAAGATGACCAGTCCAAGGCGCCACATTTGACCGCTTTCATGAGCTACAAGGCAGGCATGACGCATATTGTGCGAGAGGTGGACCGACCTGGCTCCAAGTTGAACAAGAAGGAGATTGTTGAGCCAGTGACCATCTTGGAGACTCCTCCAATGATTGTGGTTGGTTTTGTGGGCTACGTTGAGACCCCCCGGGGTCTTCGTGCCTTGACTTCCGTTTGGGCAGGCCACCTTTCTGAGGAGTGCAAGCGTCGCTTCTACAAGTCTTGGCAAAAATCCAAGCAGAAGGCCTTCACCAAGTACCAGAAGCGATGGAGCGAGGACAGCAAGGAGGGCACTCCTATGCAAGCTGAAGTCGAAAGGGCCAAGAAGTACTGCCAGGTGATCCGTGCTATTTGCCACACTCAGGTTGGCAAGGCAAAGATCGGACAGAAGAAGGCCCACATCAAGGAGATTCAGGTGAACGGTGGTACCACAGAGGCCAAGGTGGATTTTGCCATGGGCTTGTTCGAACAGGAGGTGAAGATCGACTCGTGCTTCAGTCAGGATGAGATGATCGATGTGATCGGTACTACCAAGGGTAAGGGTTTCAACGGTGTGGTGACCCGATGGGGCGTCACTCGTTTGATGCGCAAGACACACCGTGGTCTCCGAAAGGTGGCATGCATTGGCTCCTGGCACCCTGCTCGTGTGTCCTTCCAAGTGCCTCGATCAGGTCAGCGCGGCTATCATCATCGTACTGAAATCAACAAGAAGATTTACCGCGTTGGTAAAAATTTGAAGGATGATCCTGTGAATGCCAAGACGGAGAACGATCTCACCGAGAAGCCCATCACCCCAATGGGTGGCTTCTCTCACTACGGTGAAGTGAACGAGGACTGGGTGATGCTGAAGGGCACCGTGATGGGTCCCCGCAAGCGCGTCATCACCCTCCGCAAGTCCCTCTTGCCTCAGGTTACCCGAAAGGCTTTGGAGAAGGTGACCTTGAAATTCATTGACACCTCCTCCAAGTTCGGACATGGTCGCTTCCAAACCAGTGAGGAGAAGGCCAAATTCTATGGAAACGTGCAGAAGAAGGCCAAGACTGAGGCAAAAGAGGACGCCTGAGATGCGTCAGAAACCTGAGAGATGCCTGATGACTCTGACTCTGCGACAGCGTGCCTGCGTCGAAAGAAAAACATGAGTTGTTTTGTATCGTTTATAGTTTCCAGGAATGAGACTTTCGTTGACTTTTTTGCTTTTTCGTTTCGTCCTGTCTCAGCCTTGGGTGCAGGAGAGGGTGATGTGAGAGATTGTGAGAGGGTGCAGGGGATTCGCGCATTGTATGTATTGTTGTGTGATTCTGTACTTTGGCTCAAGCCTTTGTCCGTGACTTTTTGTGTGCGTCGCCAATCAGGAGGGAAAAGAGAGAGGCTGTTTTGACTGGAAAATTATGAAAAGTCAAAAACATTGGGGGGTTCAACATAAGGGCGCGGAAAATTTATCCGTGGGTTCAAGAGTAGAAGGACTAGGTGACCAGGTCAAGTTTGCTCATTTTGATCAGTAGTACATGACAGACAGTATGTGGTTGAACATGGTTGAACACTTGGACAAAGTCTTTCAGACTATTGAGCGATGGATACGACGGCATGTTACAGCTCTGTTTCTGGCTGCATGTGGCATGCTGTGGCTCGCATTGCGTTTTCCAGGCAACACTCACGCGATGGCCGTGGCAATGCCATGTGTCAGAGAGAACGATACGCCAGGAGTGCTGCGGGAGTGCTCCGGAAGACTAAGATCATATTACAGACAGAATGTCACACAGATATGAACTGTATATAATTGAACTTGCATGAACTTACTACATTTTCAATATTTTTCTATCGATGAATTTATGAAGATGAACACACCTGCAAGTCTGGTCATTCTTCTTCCCGTTTGGCTGTGTATTTGTACCTGTCCAGCCTGTCCGGCTGACAGAACTGAACCTTACTATCAGTCATTCACCACCTGCAAAGCATGAAAGCTCCGTTCTCATGCTCCTTCAAGCTTCTACACATTCTATACATTCTACACCGATTCTACACGGATTCTACACCATGTTTCTGTCCAGTCAGGGTGTCAAGGTCTTAGCATTTTTGGCAGGTCCAGACCAGAGGGCAAAACAACTTGAGGCGGGCGGGACAGCTGCGACATCATGCGTTGGCGTCCAAGGACGGCAGAACGAAACGACAATGAACGTGCAATACAGTGTCGTCCCACGGCAGAACGAAACGACAATGACAGTGGAATACAGTGGAATACAGCAACCGAAACTGAAGTGGGACTTGAAGTCACTTGAAGTGGCTAAAAAAACTCAAGAGTTCCGTCTCACGAAGACTATCGAAGACTCGTGCTGTGTCCAGGTGGAGAAACTGAAGGCAGAGGCAGTGATGTTTCAATGTGCACGGTGCATCGATTCCGTCCTTGTAAGAGAAAAACCATCTGCTACCAGGTTTCGTCGTGTTTCGGTAGATGGGGTTGAATGGTTGTATCGGTAGCATTGTCAAATGGTTGTTGTTTTAGCTTTCAAATGTTTGCTTTGCATGAACAAGGTCACCGGTGGTAATATCAATATCTCTTAGTAAGCTGGTTTCACCCACTTGGTTTGTTGTGCATCACTCATGTCCTTTGACGACAAGTGACGGTTGAAGAAACGAGCAGATGTGGGCACTTCAGTCAGACTGCATGTGAACCGGAAAGATTACATTTTTCTCACCGTTGTTTCTTTCAAGAGGGGAAGAAACGACAGATGTTGCCAACCGATCAATGGAAACCACGGACACGGCAGAAACAGCGGAAATGACGAAGCGATGGAAACTAAAACGAAAGATATACAATAGATAATATACATATTGAGGAATCCAAATCATAGCTTGGAACGATTGGCATGATACACTTGCCTGCACCTGAATCCATGTGCCGCTGCCGTTTTACATTTCATTCGAAATACTAGGCCTAAAGCCATTTATGCTGCTACGCCTGCGCCGGAAAAGCTGCTAAGCGAGCTGTTGCAGCTTGGAAACTTCAGTGGCACCGGAGCCTTTGATTTGGGGCATTGCGCTTTCTTGCTGACGCTGCGCTGACTCCGATCTCTTTGCACGGTGGACTTCAACTAGGTTCTAAAGAATTTGGCCGGCAATCCACGCGGTGACCTGGCAACGTTCTTGGGGATCAAGGGTGCGGTCCTTTGTTTTCACCATCTACAGCTGGCAAGCGCCTTAGTCTGTGGCCGGTTGAAGACTGAATTCAACCTTTTGCTGATTTTTGTTTCATCTCCCGAAGGGGAGCCAATTCAAGTCATGGGAGATGCAGAGAGGGACCAATCTGGAGGTGCCTGGTCTCGCGTTCCAGTTTGGGACGGATCGCCACAGACGTGGCGAGCTTTCCAGAGAGAAATGAAATGGTGGACTAGCAGCCTGGACTTAGAAGGAAGGAAGAAATACAACCTTGCTGCACGTTGGTTGTTGAGGCAGTCCGGCGTAGTTCGCCAAAGAGGTGAAGAGTTCAATCCAGATGAGCTTGAGTACCAGAAGGAGGTCAAAGGTGAAGATCCGCAGACAGGTGACGAAGTTGTCATTACGCCTGAGGACCCGCTGAGTGGCTTGACAAAGTTGCTGAAGGCGTTAGAGGGCATCAATGGCAAAACGACACTTGACAAACGTGGAGAGCTGAGAAATTTGTTTTACTTGGAGCTGAAGAGAAAACCAGGTGAACGCATAGCTGAGTTTTGCTCCAGGTTTAGAGTTTCTCTTGCAGACCTCAGAACGGAGGGAGTGACCTTGCCTTCCGGTGAAGTTGGATGGTTTTTCAAGACAAAGCTTGGTCTTGACCCGCTGCGAGTGCAACTCCTGGAAACAGCCTTGTCAGGCGCTGAGGAGTACGAGACGATCGAACGTGAGGTTCTTCGACTTTTCAAAGATCTGCATTCTCAGGATCCGTTGGTGCGCAAGTCCTTTGGAGACAGCAACAACAAGGGTGGTTCCTTGATGCAGAGGTTTTTGACTTCACAGAATCCTTCAAGCAAGCCCTCGTCCTATGCACCTTCGATGGCTAGCTCTGTGCCGAGGTCTCACAAGACTTCAACGACTTCTGGATCGAGCAGGTTCAGTGGATTTAGAAAGCCTTTCCCGGCCAGACAGGCCCTGGTTTCTGAAGCAGAGGAGCCTGAACCTGATGAAGAAGCAGAGCTGTTGGAGGATGAGAATGAGGCTGAACCGAACTTGGAGGACATGCTGAAAAGTGAAGCCGAAGCTCTTGCGGCTGAGTTGGATGACGCTGCAGACCACGGCGTCGATGCCTCGACCTTGCAGGAGATAGAAGAATCAGTTGAAACCGCAGCTGAAGCACTCCTCACCATGAAGGAGGCACGAACGAAGTTGCAGGAAGTGAAACGTGATCGGGGTTACCTGAAACCAGCCGATGGTACCTCGAAGAACAACCCAAAGAAGACTGCCAAGAACCCATGTTTCGATTGCGGCCTTCCAGGACACTGGGCTGGAGACCCGGAATGTGGCAAACCTGGGCAAGGCCTTGCAAGGAAGTCTTCGTTGAAGAAACCCGGCAGCCGACATGTCAAAGTGGTTGAAACTTTGAATACAGAACATGTGGATGAAGCGGAAGGTGAAAGCCATGAGGTGCTCACCGTGTCGGCACAGCCTTTATCCCAGTCCTTTGTAGCTGCACTTGAAGATGCCCACTCCGTGACAAAAGAAGCGCTGATTGCACAGCTGGCAGAAGACAAACGTCTTGTTGGAGCTTTGGATTCGGCATGCAACAGAACATGTGCTGGACCGGATTGGTTGAAAGGGTATCTTCATGGACTTCAATCTGCACCAGAAAGCATTAGGAGCCTAGTGACCTCAAAGCCTGAGCATGAAACCTTTCGTTTTGGAAATGGCGGCACCAAGGTGTCGGACATGCGATGGAGATTGCCAACAGTGATAGGAGGGAGGCTGTTTTGCTTTTGGTGTTCGGTGGTGCCAGTTCCATCACTTGGTCTTCTACTTGGCCGTGATTTTTTGGAAAGTATTGGAGCTGATCTGTCCTTTTCACGCCGTGAACTTTGCTGTGAACGTTTGGGGGCTGAGAAGATTCAACTGAAACAGCTGGCTGCAGGACATTACCTACTGCCTTTGATTCCTGCTGCATGGCCAGGTGTGGGCTCTCAGCGTTGGCGTAGGATTGGACAAGATGGCATCATTGAGTTGCAGATGTCGACACCAGATTGGTTGAACTATTGTTTCAAGGGTCAACGTTCATTGAGGGTGGCAAAACATGACCATTTGCTCACAGAACGCAGTGTACATGTTGGAAATTTGGTTTGCACCGTGATGTCAAGCCCTGTTTCTGGTCCTTCGGTTCAAGCAACTTCAATGCGCTCTTCTTCAGAGCACCGTGAACCGACTCCTTCCTCTACGACCAGGACGACATCAAGGACATCTGTGAGAAATGCTAGTGCCAAAGGTCGGCGTGCAGACCGGCAGATGGCGCCGAATGTTCCTCAAGCTGAACGAGCGCATGCTGTGGGCCGCAAGAGGCGTCCTGCTTTGGCTTTTACAAAGGCCTTTCTTGCGCTTTCTGCCCTTTCCATACCCCTCGACGTCATCAACAGACAAATGGTTGGAGCAAGCGCGCAAGCAGGTTTCAGCCGGGGTGATCTCAAAGCGCCATTTCAAGTTGGCGGTCGCCATGAAGCAGTTCACAATGGCCAATCTGGGAGAATGCATACACCTGAGAGGAGGCATTGGCCTCAAATTGGCGTTCTGCGAGGATCCGACGGTGGAGGGCATGTTGCAAGCTCTTCCGATGAAAGGCATGGCCAACAAGATCCGAAAGGCCGTTCAAGCAGAAGCTGTGGCCGCAGCCAAACAGCTTGCCAGCGACAACAAGCGAGAAGCAGAGGCCCGGACCTTGATTGGGCCAAAGGGGGGACTTCCTTCACTACGAGGGGACCTGGTGAGACTTGCAGCCCTTCTCCAAGTGACTCTTGGAGACAAGGACACCATCGAGGTGATCAAAGAAAAGGTGAAGCCAATGGTGGCCATCCTCAAAGAGAAGCCTGTGCAGCCGACCGCTGCAAAGTCATCAGCCAAAGCCAAAGCTGCCAAGCCGAAAAGCCATCCCAAAGATGCGAGCGCTTCCTCAATGTCTTCAGAGGTGCGCCCACTGTCCGTTCTTCAAGATCAGGTGGCAAGCTTGACAGCACAGTTGGAAGCAATGAAAGCCTTGCTGCCGGAACAGCACCAAGTGCCGGTGGTGGATCTCATGGAGGTGGATGCGAAATCGGAAGTGGAGTCAATGACCTCCGAAGATTACAAGCAAGTTCAAGAAGCGATGCTGGAGGATTGCTATGGAGAAGCCCTGAGAGCACAATACGGGAACATCGACCTGGTGGATCTGACACAGGAGCAGATCGAAGCAGTGGTGGATCCATGAACTTCCCTGACTTCAATCCCTTCAGCTTGAACCAGAAGATCAAGAGCGGCCAAGCTCAGATGATTGCACAAGCCTGGCAAAAGCATGAAGCTGACCGTTTGAAAACCTCCTGGGGCCCAGCCAAGATCCGTGAGACTTTGGTTGCTGACTATGAGAATGATTTCTGGCATGCATTGACGGAAGAGACCTTCATCCAACCCATGGTCTTTGATTTTGAGTCCTTTGCGGTTTCTGACGCCAATGCAGTTGAAAAGAATTCCAAGACTTCAAAGAATGTCAAGGTTTCTGAGTATAAGCAGTTTCCCAAGAATGCCAAAGTCCCATCGAATGTCAAGGTTTCTGCGAATGACCTGGCCACAAAGAATGTCAACCGTTCTGAGCCCTGTGCAGGCTCGTCGAAGGTCAAGCCGTTTGTCACAGAGGTCTACACGAGTGCTGAGAACGTCATGAAAGAGGCCAGAAAACGTGGACAATGTGGGGCAATCTATATCTTTGGAAACTGGTTGGAACTTCTTGGATGCCAATGACAGGTTCAAAGCCTACAACAAGATCAGAGATGAAAAGCCTTTTTGCGTGGTTTTAGCATTTCCTTGCAATGGTTTCAGCCCTCTTCAACGTTTGAATGGACTTCATCCCGAAAGAAAAGCAGAAAGAAGGGCGATTGGTCGTGAACTCATGAAGTTTGCTTTGGAAATAGCTGAACTGCAGATCAGAGAAGGTCGACATGTCATCTTAGAAAATCCTCGAGGCAGTGAAGCTTGGAATGAACCTGAGATGTTGCGTTTTCTTGAGGAGAATGAGCTCTACGCCGCTATCTTTGACCAATGCCGTTTTGGCCTCAAAAGCCTTTCTGGTTGGTTGCACAAGAAGCCAACGAGAGTGGTGAGCTCAAGTTCAGATGTTGCTGCGGAATTGGATGGAGTGACTTGCATGCGCAACCACCCTCATGCGCCAGTTCTGGGCGGCTCTCATGTGACAGCCCGTGCGGGCATCTACCCAAAGCCTTTGGCACGCGCCATGGTTAGGGGCCTTGAGAAGCAATTTGAACGAGAGTTTGCTCCTCGTGAAGCTCTTGCTGCCGAAATTGGAGAGGATGTTGAGGAGGAGGAATTGGCTTTTGAAGGCGGTGGATTGGTGATGCCTCAAGATGATGGCAGTGACGTGGAGGACGAAGTGGATTCAAAAGGAACTGCAATTCCTGTTTCTTCTGGCATGCACGCGACAATCCTTCGACTTCACCAAAACACTGGCCACAGATCGGGCAAAAGGTTAGCCCGAGCCCTAGCCATTGCGGGTGCACCTGCAGAAGCAATTCAGGCGGCGAAACAACTTCAATGCTCAGTTTGCCAAGAGCGACAACCACCTCGTGCCCGTCGTCCTGCTTCTCTTCCTGTGCCTCGCGACATGGGTGACCAGATCCATGTGGACTTGCTGGAAGTTTTTGACACCAGCGAGAAGAAGTACGTAGTGGCCCATGCAACTGATGCCGCTACACGATTCCAAATGGCTGAGATTTTGCCAGACAAATCAACCAAGCCTGTGGTGCGCTTCCTTTCTACCAGATGGATTGCAACATTTGGCCCTCCGAGAGTGATGGTCGTGGACCAAGGCAGAGAATTTGTGTCTTGGGAAATGGAGGAATATGCTGGAAGCCAATCCATTCTTTTGCACCACATCGCCGTTCAGGCGCCCTGGCAAAATGGAATTGCAGAAAGAAGCGGTGGAGTGTTAAAAGCACTTTTAGCAGCCATCGTTACTTCTCAAAGCGTCCTTGGACTTGAGGACATGCAGGTAGCTCTTGCCGAGGCGACATCAGCTTACAATGGCGACATCAATGAATTGGGTGCCTCTCCTTTTCAGGCAGCCATTGGACGTCAGCCTAGGATGGTTGGAGACGTGCTGGGTGGCATACAGACAAGGCTTGCAGAACATGGACTCATTGACTCCAAGCCTTCGCTGGCTAGACAGTTGGCCATGCGAGAAGTTGCCAAAATAGGAATGACCCGCCTTCACTTCAGCCGAAGTTTGCGGAAGGCAGAACTAGCACGATCCCGAAACCCAACCATTGAGCAGCTTCCAGAGCCTGGCACAATCTGCTACTTCTACAGGCCTTTGAAGTACAACAACAAGACAGCGCCGTCCAAGAAGAAGCTCACTCTGAAACGTTGGCACGGCCCTGCACTTCTTTTGGCCATTGAAGGCAGAAGCTCTGGATACTTGAGCTACAAGGGGCAATTGACCAAATGCGCCCTGGAGCACATTCGTGCAGCCAGCACGATGGAACAGATAGCTGCAGATTCTTGGCGTGAAGCCATAGAAGAAGCTGTTGAGGCTGCCACCTTGGACTTGTCGGCCCGTGGACTTCCTTTGGCCGATGGTGGCGATGGAACTGCTGTTCAACAACCAGCTGCTGTGATGCCAATGCCTGGCACTCCTGCCTTCTTGCCCTCATCTTCAGCAGCTGCAGTTCCAGAACAAGCAATGCCGGTTGGCGATGATTTGCCTCCGGTAGCGCCTCAAGAACTTGCTGGTGCCTTGATGCCTGCCTCTGCACCAGTATCGACTGTGCCTTCCAGAAGAATGAGTGAGGCAACGTTTGATCGAGCCACCACTGATGGACTTTCGAGTGGACTCGGCGATGGACTTCGAAAACGGGCCTCAAGCTTTGCAAGTCAGTTGCAGGGCGTCATGGAACAGGCACAACGTCAACGTTTGGCAGAGCCTGCAGGAACCAAACGAGCTGCAGACACATCACTGGAAAGATTGAAGGCTGAATCCTCTGAGCCTCCTGATCCTCAACCTGATGGACCTCCAGTGATCACAGCAACTTCAACAAATGAGCCTGCGGCAGAAGCATTGCAGACCACGAGAGAAGATGTTTTGTCCAGTTTGGGCGATCCTTCACTACATCCACTGCAACACATCTACAATGCTGCCTGTGAAGACAGACTCAACCCTACTGAAGCGCGTGTGAAAGATCATGGTTCTTGGGATGGCAGATGGCCTTTACCCTCAAGAACGGAATGGCATGCTCACCAACGGCTTGGACTTCCTTGGCCTTGTGGGCATGATGATCTGGTTGAAAATGACGTGATGGCAGTTCAAGCCAATCGCAAAGAATTTCACTGGCGCTCCATGAGTGATGCTGAAAAGGCTGAGTTCAAGATTGCGGCCGAACAAGCCTGGAGTGTTTGGAAGGAGAATGATGCGGTTGAAGAACTATCTCCTGAAGAATCTCAACGAGTGCGTGAGAGACTGAAGAGAGAAGGCCAGCAGGGGAAGATTCTCACCCCCAGATACGTGTTCACCGACAAACACGAGGGCCTTCGCACTGAGCAGAACAAGTTGCCTCTCCGTGCACGAGCGCGCATTGTTGTTCCTGGTTTCAAGGACATCTTTTCATTTGGACTTCGAAAGGATGCTCCTACATGTTCAAGACTGGCCCAACATTTCCTTTTGACCTTGACGGCATGTTTCAATGTAATGGCTGTTGGAGCTGACCTTGCCTGGACTTTGCTTTCAGCCGACATCAAGTCAGCCTTCATGAAAGGAGATGCCTACATGGATGGGACCAGAGAGTTGTTCATGGGAAACATCCGAGGAGCCTCTGATGAACCTCGCCTGCCTTTTCCTGGACTTGCCAGGATACGCAAAGGAGTGTTTGGTTTGAGTGATGCGCCGAGACGTTGGTATTTGAGGTTGAACAAGTCCCTGATTCAGCAGGGATGGCAAAGAACTACACTGGACTACGCCTGTTGGGTTCTGTGGTCACCATGTGGAACGAGGTTGGATGGCGTCCTCATCTCACATGTGGATGATTTGCTTTTGGGCGGAAACCGCCGTGCTGTCGCCAAACTTCAAGAGCTTGGACGAGAACTGGGGTTTGGAAGCACCTCTGAGAAGGACATCACCTATTGTGGCAAACGTATCCGCCAATGGGATGACGGCCACATCACCATCACCATGGAGGAGTACCACAGCAACCTGAAGACCGTGAATATTCCTGTGCCTCGCAGAGCCAACCCAGACTCAGACTTGACGGAGATGGAACGACGTCAACTTCGTGCAATCCTTGGTTCACTACAATGGCTGGTTGCTCAACTGCGATTTGATTTGGGTTTTCAGCTCAGCACCTTGCAAGGTGAACCGCCGAAGATCAGCACCCTGATGAAAGCTAATCTGCTTGTCAAGCGCTTCAAGCAGGACCCTGACTTTGCCCTGACCTTCAAGCCGATGGATTTGAAGGGAGCTGGAATCATGGTGGTAACCGATGCCAGTTTGGGGAATGTCACCAAAGCTGGCGGAGCTGATGGAACTGTGTTGGAAAAGGTGTTTAGCCAAAGCGCCTACTACGTCCTCCTGGCCGACAAGGACCTTTTGGCTGGACGAGAAGGAAGCTTCTCAGTGCTGGACGCAAGAAGCCACAGACTTCCTCGAGTATGCCGCTCTACATACGGAGCAGAGCTGCTGGGAACGGAAGAAGCATTTGATGTTGGATGTTTCTGCCGTGGCTGGTGGGCGATGTTGCAAGGCCTTCCAATTGAACACAAACGTGCTGAAGAAGTCATGGACTGCATTCCTTTGGCAGTCGTCACTGATGCACGTGATGTCTACGACAAAGGGTCTTCAGACACACCTTCCTACGGATCTCAAAAATCCCTGGCGTTCACAGTTGCCTGGATTCGTGGAGTCCTTAGCAAACCCAACACCATGCTCAAGTGGACATCAACGGAGAACCTCTTCGTGGATTGCGAGACGAAAGACATGAGCACTGAGCATGTGCATAAGATTCTTAGCAGCTGCCGATGGAGCGTAACCTTCAACCAAGAGTTTGTCAAGCAGAAGCAGAAGACGAAGCCGAAGAAGCTCGCTGCCGGAAGCTGTGAGAGTCTGCTGGTAGGTAGTGCTTTGGGTGAAAACTCACCTATTTACCCATACCTAGCTCAGCTTAGTGCAAGCCCTGGATGGCACCAACGTGAAGGTGTCCTAATCAATGTGGCACGCCATGCAAAGTCTTTCAGAACTCCAGGAGCCCGTGTGGATCCAAAGAAATTTCCTTTGAGAACCACGTATGCCAGAATTGATCATCCAGACGGGAAGTCAGACTGGAGAGTTTTGGAAGAAGGTACAGAATATGGCATTTTGCCAAATCCCCATGCACTTTTAGGCACTTTAGCTGGCATCCTGGTGACGGTGTATCGTTCACAAGCTACCAAGAAAGAAATATCAACTGAGGAATCCAAATCATAGCTTGGAACGATTGGCATGATACACTTGCCTGCACCTGAATCCATGTGCCGCTGCCGTTTTACATTTCATTCGAAATACTAGGCCTAAAGCTATTTATGCTGCTACGCCTGCGCCGGAAAAGCTGCTAAGCGAGCTGTTGCAGCTTGGAAACTTCACATATATATATATATGAGGCCATATATATATATAATCTCTTATACATATATATATAATCTCTTATACATATATATATATAAGAGATAATATAAATATATAGATAGATATATAGATAGATATATAGATATATAGATAGATATATAGATAGATATGCTAGGTATGGAAAATGAATGCATAGATATCCGCATGGATATGATGGCAAGGTGGAAGAAGTTCGCCTGCAATCCCAGCAGCTAAGACTCCAACTTCAAGTGCCATGGCCTGCATTTTTTGGCGTCAGATCTCATTGTTACATATGTGTTACACATGGATATCTTTGTGAATATCTTTGTGAATATGTTTGTGAATATGTTTGAAGTCCTGGAAGCGGGTCTGCTATCCACGAAGATCACGCATCAAAGTCGGACTCGAGACTTTACGTCTTAATGCTCCTTCGTGCGTCACGTCAGATTAGAATAATGATTAGCAGGATTTGTTTACGGACTTCCTCTGACATTCCAATGATGTTCTAGGATTCTAACACTAGCTGTTTTGTGCTGCATCATGTTGATTTCTCTCTTCATTACCCCAAGATTTGTCTTAGTTGCAGTCCCATGATATTCAGTCATTGATGGCTTTGAAGCATAGAGAGGCTAGGGAAGCAAATCAAAGCTACCATGTTTATCGTTTTTGCATCCCTGAAGTATCCTTTCAATCTGGAGGACCAGGCACTCCCAGCGCTGTTTAAGCGGATTCTGTAGGATGGCTCATCACATCAGTCTGAGGCCCTTGGTGCAGATGCTTCTTTGGTACCTCAGAAAATCAAGGCCAGTGCAGCAGCTGCGCAGCAGTGTATGCACCATAGCTCCATACCTCGCAACAAAATATGCACAGATGATATGTGTCCAGGAACAAGGAGTATAAGGAGTGGAAGTGGAGTAACAGGCAGCACTGGTTTCACAAGAATTTACCAATAACGGTTTTGCAGATAGATAAAAACAAGGAATGGACATGTGTAAGGATAACAGGCTGGAACTGGTGTTGTGCTGTCAGTGGGAAGTGGGCAAAGTTCACAGCTGTCAAGCTGTTCTCACTCACAGGCTCTAAGGTGAAACCGCTGTGCCCTGTGAAACCCAGATAAAAAGATTTCAAGACGCATCAAGACACGATTCAGTGAAGGGTTCTCATGTGATTCACGTCGCCGCAGGCTGGAACCGGAACCGGCCTAGATTCTCATTATGAGTTGCGTTCGCTTTTTCAGGCCAGCGAAGAGGTTTCCAACGGTTTCCGTGCATTTTTTTTCCATCCCAAATGCCCTTTGCACAGATTGTGGGACGCCAAATCATTCCAAAGTTTCTTTGATGCCTTCATGCTCTCTCTCCAAGGAATTTTTCAAGAGGGTGTCAATGGTCCACTGTATTTTCACGCCCTTTGATGAAGCCCCTGGGGCTACTTGTACCCTGCTCTCTTGGTGCCCGCCAGTGGCTTGTGGAAACAGTGAACCTGGAGCAGCAAGTTGTCTTTGAATGCGGCAATGGAGAGGCGGGGGTTCCCATGTTTTGCGGAGAGTTCAAGAGAGTAGTGTTGTCTTGGTTCTTTTGCCAATATTGCAAGATATTGCAAGGACAAAGGTTCTATAAGTTCTATAGCTTTAGAAAGCAGAGCAGGAAAAAATTGCAGGCTGACATCCCGCCTCCCTGACCTGCACTGGGAAACATGTCAATTTTGAGATTGATGAGAGATCCATAGAGCCATAGAGATCATGCTGTCAGATCCTTTCGCATCCTTTCTTCATCTCTGACTTGTCGTATTCTTACAGTTGCTCACACTACTTTTTAACATGTTTAACATGATTAACATGTCAAGTACTTGTTGTTTGTCGTGATCGTTTTCTTGACTACCTGCCAGGGTGAAGTGCAAGTTGGAGGCTCCACCCTGTAACAGGATCCGGTTGTCGTGCAGCGTGTGACTGGAAAAGAGTAGAAACTGCTGGGTATCCCAAGACTGTCCAGTTCCAAATAGTTCCAGATGTTCCTGCTGGTTGTTGTTCTCTTGGCGCTAGTCCTGGTATGTCCTGGGAGGTCGGCATGTCCTACTTCACAGAATGGCCAGATCCTGATGCTTCATGCTTCACATGCACATGGCAGAGCCATATTTTGCTGGAGATTCTTACGATTCTTGAGATTTCCAGCTGGAAATCTTCAGATTCTCTGGAAATCTCTGGAATGCCTCCTATTGGCGCCACTTTTTGATGCTTCACCATGCATGGAATCATCATGGAATCAACGCCTCTTTTGAACTCCACAAGACAAAGATCGAAGTCGAGAGCTCCCGGTCCTTTCCCTGACTCCGCCTGACTCCGCCTGACTCCGCCTGACTCCCCTGACTCCGCCTGATCCGTGACTTCACGCTGCTTCGCATGGCGTCGCATTGCTTGGCATTGCTTGGCATTGAGGCAACCTGGCAGCTTTCAGGTTCACTGAAGTTGTCAGTCCCTTTGGAGCTGCAGGCCTCGATGCGAGATGTCGAGGAAATAGAAAACATTGTGGAGCGCTATTACTTATTGTAAATTATTGTAAATTGTATTCATAAAATTCAAATATCTGTTCAACCGTGTTCAACCTTCTGTGCTGCAGACTACACAAGTTTACAAAGCAGTGATATGCAGGTGATATGCAGGTGATATGCAGGTTTCTCTCGTGAGTATGTGACGTATTGCCTTCTTGCCTCATGTTCCCCAGTCATGCATTCACGCGTTTCAGGGAAGCTTCTGGGAAAGCAGCACCAACTTGGAGTTTTTCAACTAACTACTTTAGCCTGAGCAATTTTCGTGAGAGCAAAATCAATTCCAAGCATTTAGTCTCCAAAAATACCTCGGGGTATGTTAGGTGTACGAAAGAATGTTTCCAGGGATCGTATCTTGCTTTTGTCTCATACTCATATTTTGTCAGATCCTCTGGAGAGGCTGAGATTTCCGGACTTCTTCTACAAGCTCGGAAGCGAGGACCGAGAATGACCGAGACCCGAATTTGAAAAGTCGGAAAATCTATGAAAATCAACAGTTTTTTTACTTTGCCATCTGGCATCTTTTGGTATCCTCTGGCATCTTTTGACACCTTTTGGCTTCCGATCTGGACATGGCTTGGCGTGTCAAACGCGTCTAGCACGAAGCGCTACGGAGCAGTTCAAATCAGACAAAAGTCAACCGCTGTGGCGAACATGAAACCTGTTTCTGACTTTTGTCGAACATGTTGACTCATGCTCTCCCACGGTTCAGGACGTATAGATGAAGAAGTCGAGAATTTGTATAGCGCCTGGGAGTTACTAAGTGCCGAGGCCGGCCGTCTTTCTTGTTTCCATGTTCTGTTTCAATTTTCAAGATCTTCTGAAGACCAAAGTTGGTCCGTGTCAGATATTGTTTGAATTGTGTCAAATAATTGTGATCACTTTGTAGCCGCAAAGCAACCTATTCTTTACTCAGATTCGCGGACATTTTAGCTTTTATTGGCATCATGGTCTAAGTTTGCAAGGGATGCTCCACTCACTTCTCTCTCTCTCTCTCTCCCTCCCTCCCTCCGGTACAGCTCGCAACCCACCAAAGAAACCAATGAAGATCAGATCGCATCATAAATCTCCATAAACTCCATGTCCCTAGACCTCCAAACATCTGCATCGCTGCATCTCCATGATATCTATGTCGTCTATGTGTTATCTCCATCCTGTCCCCTCCAGATTCTCTGCAGGTGGTTTCTGCCACTTCTACAGTCTCTGCACCAGAGCCTGCCATCTTCCTGGTTCACCGGCAGACTGGACAGGCAGATGTCATTCTGGTAGGATTGTCCCGGAATAGTATGGAATCATATGGAATCATATGGAATTGAAGCGTGTAATCACAGGAACGCAGTCACCAAAATGGATGTGTCCAGCCATAGTATTTGCAAAAAGAGTGTCACAACATGTCACAACCATTTACAGCAACTCGTGTGCCACAACGCCATGAGGGAATTGACTTGTCAGAAGAATCCGCTTTCAAATTGGCAGGCTGTGGTTGTGGCAAAGTGGCCAACAGTTGAATTCAGGCGCCAACAATTGTGAATTTGAGAGCTACTCTGGCTTGTTCATAGTTGTTCTGAATGTGTTCTTAAGTCTTTTTTGTTGAAGTCTCTGATCATTCTGATCGGAAGTGTTCACTCGCAGCAGAGGTTAATGGATCTTAATGGATCTTGGATGATCTTTGCAGCAGGGGTTAATGGATCTTAGCATATCTTAGCATAAATCATCAGTTCGGCCACGTGGCCACGTGACCATCAGCATCATCAGCCATCAGCCGTTGGCCCTGAAATCGGATCCGCATCTCGATCATCTCGCATGTCCAACGTGGCCGTGGAGTCTGTCACGTGTTTGTATTGTCAAGGCGTACGAACGCAATGATCATCAATGATCTTAGTAGTACTGTAATGTAATGTAACGCAGTAAGATTCACATGCAATATCAAAATATTATCCAATATTCATGCAAATTCATGCATGATTCAGACTACGATGCAATGAGGTTCTCCAATAGTTATCTTTTGCCCTGCACATTGTGAGTTCGCATTGCTCTCAGGCGGCCTGACAGTTTCGATCCGGGCAGGCACTTTCAGCGGAGGCGCAGTGTGTTACTTTCGGTGACCAGTTGGGACTTTGCGTGACTTTGCGTGACTTTGCCACATTTGCCGCAAGTATGTCTTTGCATCTGTTTCCGGAGCAAGGGTGGCAGCGACCGCATCTGGTGACGTGTGCAGAGCTAAGAACCACTATGTCACTATGAGAAGATGACCACGATGACAATGGCATGACTGCCTTCGCTCATTTCTTGATACGATGGTAGAATAAAGTCTGTGTACGACATATACTATAATCTGAAAGCAGCGCTGTGAGCGCTGCACGTTTCCAAAATCTCAGTATAACATCATATGATGGCAATGATTTCTTTGGTGTAATTATATGTAAATTACAGTTTTGATAGCTGCTGTATACACACTCTATGATATGTACCGTCAGAATTTGATATGTTGGGCAGTGTGACTGTTTGCAGAGACGCATCTATGCCAACTTGATCTCGGTCCTGGCGGTCCTGGCTCACCAAGGCCTACTTGTGGAGACCGTGTGGAAGTGGAATATGAGGCGAGTGATGATCCGATGGCGAGTGTGTTGAAAAAATGCGATCGCTGCAGATTCCCTGCTCTGAGATACGGCATGATATTCGACTCATTCGACATTACATATGTGAGTTTGACCTGTCCAATGTATATTTTGTATAGCCAAGTGATCACATGCCCCCGTTGACATTTGGCTTTAGGGCCCTTGAGTCATACCGCGCTGCCGTGGTAAAAGTTGGGCATTTGACGATCCCGTTTCCAATTCATATTGGTAGCGGAGCGGGTGACGACCCGCATCCGGTGGTACGTCAGTGACCCAGGGAACCCTTTGTGAATTTGAGTCTGGTAACTTTGGGAATCAACTGAACTTCGAGTGTGTCGTGGTTCGGGAATCTGTCTGACCCTGACCAGGGCAGACACTTGTTAACGTTTTTCCTTGTTCGACTCCGAACGGAGCGAGCATCATGTCGATCAATGGCCTTCGTTTCAATCAGGAGCGCCATTCGTCGGCACCACTTGAGACGAAGAGTGGCTCATACATCTATGCAGGTGATGCGGCGAACTTTCATGATTGGCAGTTCAGGACTCTCCTTCGGATTCGTCTTTATGAGCAACAATTGGAGGAGACAAGTAAGTCTGCGGATCCCGTTGGGACCACAGCAACAGAGCCAGCCGCAGAAGACGCAGAAGAGTATGCTACTTTTCCAGATTTGTCGGGTGCTACTCAAGCAGCCCAGCCTACATCAGCAGTCTCGACTCCGAAGTCTGGAGCGAGCCGAAAATCCTCGAGGTCCGGCAAGCAGAAGACAGACATTGATCGTGGACCATTGGTTAACAAGGTGATTGAAGGACTGAGAGGAGATGCTTTCTCAATAGCTAGGGATCTTGGACTTGAAGTGTTGTCCAAACCTGGTGGCCTTGTGAAACTTGTGGGTGAGATCAAATCCCATGTGTTTCCAAGAGCCCGTGAGGAAGCCAAGGAATTATATCGAGCAGGACAGAAGCAAGGTGGTCCTTTGTCTCGCCAACCAGGCGAACCCATGCTTTCCTATGTTCAGAGGAGACGACGTTGGTGGCACATGCTATGCGAGTTGGATGACACAATGGTGTTTTCAGACAGCTTGAGGACAGAGTTGATGTTAGAGTTGAGTGGGCTCAATCGACAGGAGATCCTCGTTGTGAAGGCCTGTGCAGACACTAAGGATTTTGAAGGTGTTGGCAAGGTGCTGATCGAGAACTACAGTGGCACTCACTTGCGAGAAGGGTCACGATCCTGGACAGGACGTGGTAATCCTCAACAGCATGGCAAGTCGTCAGGCAAAGGTTATGGCAAAGGCAAACCTTCTTCGAAGGGATCGTATTCCCAAGCAGCCTATGCAGCCTACCCCGATGATGGGGAGGAACATACAGAATCTTGGGATGAAGCTGTGGATCAATCCTGGGAGGATGATTCATATGTTGGCATGCTTGGTGACATTGCAGAAGAGGAGCCAGGAAACCTAGAAGGTGACAACGAATTTGATTACTTTGACGACGTCGATGAGTACGAAGCAGTTGCATTGAACAGCTTGCTTGAAGTTGAAGGTGCAGAAGACGATCGACAAGCAGGAGACGCCATCCAGCTACAACTTGCTGCTTTCACCGCAATGGGGAAAGCAGGTGGCAAGGGCAAATCCTTCGGGAAGCCCAAAGGAAAGGGGAAAGGAAAGATCGTGAAGTCCAACCTCACGATCGATCAGAGGAGACGGAAGCTCACAGAGCTGAAGTCGAAGAGCAAATGTTTGAGATGCGGAGTCATAGGGCACTGGGCCGGTGACCCGGAATGTAAATTCCCGGGGTCGAAAGCCGGAGCCCCTGGAAAGTCAGCCCCAAAGCCCGCAGCTCACTTTGCCGACATGAGCGATTCTTCAGATGACGATGGTGTGACTTTGACAGCTTCACCTGATCGTGACAGAGATGGAGTTGCTATGATGGCAGTTCGACAAGCGAAGCCCAGCAGTCGACCTTCACGTGCAGCAGCATCCAGCAGTAACGTTGGCTTGATTTCCCGGGATCTCGATGTTACAATGAGACCCGAGGACCATGGGTGCATCTTTCCTGTTGGACAGTTCAAGGGTTTGTCTTTTTGGAATGTGTTGTTTGAACAGACAGGGTACTATCATCATGCCAAGAAACATGCCCCCAAGAGTCCATACTATGTCACATGGTTGAATTGGGTTGACAAGTACTTTGTGGTTGGTGCTGATGGGATTCACTTGCGCGAAGTCCCTGTTGAGCGTGTCGAGCACCGAGATTTGTTGGTGACTCGGGGAACTGGCAGAAAGAAACCCCCAAATCCTCCTTTGCCGAACAAGTGTCAGGAATGCCGTGAGTTTACAAAACAAGGTTCTACGGGGTACACCATCAGGAAGACCTGTCTTGTGTGCGGTCATTCCGAAACAACAAGGCGTGACATGGTACCGTTGATGTCCCCTGAGAATTGCCCTCATGATGACACCGATTTTAGGGGATCCAGCAAATCAACACACCGTACTTTCTGCAAGAAGTGTTGCACTTTCATTGATGAAGCTCCCATGCAGATTCGCAAGGAGCGTGTTGCCATTGCCAAGAAGGTTGAAACAGCATCAGTTCGAACAGTCCCCATTGTTGAATCATTGGTTGAAGAATCGGATGGATTGAATCCAGTCCAGTTGGAAGAATTGTTGCCCCTGTTTGCCACTCTTGTTACCGAAACCTGTCAATCTGAGGTTATGACCCGTGCACGTCTACATGAACTACTCCATCAAGCCATCAATGACGTGACAGAGGAAGAGGACAGTTTTTCTCTTGTCAATGAAGATGGGCACGGCGACCCCTCGGGCAGGGAGTTAGCTGGGTACGTTGGCATTTGTTTGCATGGAAGTGACATTCAATACCCTCAAGACTTGGTTTACATGAACTTTGAAATGAAACTGTTGACATTGCCAGGTCATCCCATGTCTTTGCAGTGTTGGATGAAGGTTGCAACAGCACTTGTCATAGCAAAGCCTGGGCAGTCGATGCAGAAGCACGACTGGCCCGTTTGGGTTACAGCATGCCATTGAAGGATGACAGTTGTAAGAGTTTCGCTGGTCTGGGAAGTGGTAGTACCAAGACCGAAGGTGTGAGATCTATTCCTTTTTCGCTGCTGCTTCCAGACGGGAACATGCATGGGGAGTTGGATTCATATCAATTGTCAACAGGCAACAGCCCATTGCTTCTTTCATTGCATGCGCAAACCAAGTTAGGCCTAGTGAAGGACCTAGCAAAAGGGGTGATTTCCATCAAAGATCAACCATTGAATATCAAGAGATGTTCCAAATCAGGTTTACTTGTGATGAACTTGACTGAAGGATTGACCAACATCATCAACACACCACCAAATGAGCTTCCCAAAATTCCAAAGTGTCATAGAAAGTATAACTTGGCGTACACTGCATCGACAAGTGACTGCGCCATGGCCGATCACGATCAGACTGGTTTTCATTCAAGGGACTATGACGTCTTGCAATCAAAACTGAATGAAGAACAGCTTAGCAACAGACAGGTGATCATTGTGACTCGAGGTCGACGATTCCAACGACATGCCATGAGGTCCAATCGTGCCACCCTTTCCATCAACTGTGAAGACATTTACGATCCTGATCAGGACGTAAGTCTCAGAGCTCATGTGGGTTGGCACCATAGGATCCTCGAGACGTTGAGCAAGGTGGACAAGTTCAACGAGCATCTCAATAGCATCTTGGAGTTCGTCACCCAGCATCAGCAGGAAAGGATCTTGGTGGACCTGGAGTGCAAATCAGGCTGCCATAGATCGGTTGGTCAGGGCTTCGCAGCTTTCAGGTGCTTGAAGGCCTTGGGATACGACGTTGTCTTGATCCATTCGTCGTCTTGGATGTGGGGTGAAATGCGTTGTGGAGGAGTTTGCAACGACTGCAAGAATGTTGGGGCCAGTGTGGGACAGATCAGGCATCTGATCCCGAGGACACAGGCCGTGACGATGAGGCCTCGTGGCAGTGTAGCTGCCAGCCGTGCAGGCGTTGATGATGCTCCAGCCGATGGCGCTTCAGTGGAACATCCTACAACAGGTCAGCTCGAAGAGATCAGACGACTTGTGCAGGGTCTTGCATCTGACGTTGGGGGCCTGGCATCTGATGTGGGACATCTTCGCTCTGAGCAGAGGAAGATAGTTGCTGAAAGGAGATCCAGGAGCCCATTGCGACGAAGGCGTCTTCCTACACCTCCATCACCACCAAGACGCAGACGAAGCCCGAGCTATAGTCGCAAGCTGCCCCCATGGAGACACCCAAGATCATCCAGAGGGAGGAGCTTGGGAAGAGATCGAAGTCCATCCTCGAGACCGGCTCCATCAAGGCCAATTTCTTCGAGACCTGCCCCAAGGAGTCCAGATCACCCGCCTCCACATATTTCAGATGTGCCTGGGACCGATGAAGGATCCCGATCGACATTGCCACGACGTTCCAGAGAG